GATATTACTGCTAAGGTTTTTGTTGTTGTTGTTGTTACCGCTGCCTTTCCTGTTGTGATTATTCTTTCCTTGTTGTTCTGATTGCTTTATTTCTTGTTTTCCTGATTCCAAAGGTAGCAACCCCCAAAAAGTCGCTCCTCTGTAACTAACATATTTATGTAACAACCCCACCCTGTAAAAACAAAGCTGCTACAGAAACTTCAGTACAAATGAGTCTGCTTGCGACAAAAAAAAACACAGAAAGAGAACTCATCATGCGTAGAGAAGCACCTTGGAGAGATGAATGAAAACATCATCTCATCTCATCTCATCTCAATCCCAAGGACACAAAAGTTAGAAGAGGAGTAAACGTTGGCTCAGACCACTGTCTCGTTCTAGGAACACTTCAAATCAAATCAAAAACTTTCAAAGAAACAGGAACTGCAGATAGGCCACAATCCAAGTTCAATACTCAAAAACTGAAGGACCAGGACACAAAGGATATCTTCACTGCAATCATAAGGAAAAAGGCGGAGACGCGAATCAACACTAACGAAGAGACCAGCGTTGAAAAACACTAGAACAGCATGAAAGCGGTGTGGAGTCAAACCTGCATGGAAATTCTAGGCACAGAGAAGAAACAAAACAGACAGTGGCTCACTATGGACACGTGGAGACTTATAGAAGAGAGAAGGATGTTGAAACAAAAGATTATCCATTGCATCGATAAAGAATAGAAACAGGAGTTGAATGCAAGTTGCAATACACTGAACAAAAGAGTAAAGAAGAGTGCCAGGGAAGACAAAAGAAAATATTATGAAGCCATGGCAAGTGAAGCAGAACAAGCTGCAGGCAAAGGAGACCTCGCAACACTCTACCAAACAACTTGGTACCTATCGGGCAAACGTTTAACACAAATCAAGCCGGTGAAAGATGACAACGGAAAGTCAATCACCAAAGAAGTGGAGCAAAGGAAACACTGGGCTGAACACTTCAAAAGACTCCTAAATCGACCACCACCAACAACGCGCCCAACAATACCAACAACGGAGACAGAGCTACTAGTGAACACCAACCCCCCGACGAAATCAGAAGTCCTGAAGGCAATAAAGATGCTAAAAACTAGAAAAGCAGCAGGACCAGATGGAATCCCAGAAGAAACATTGAAAATGGATCCAGAGACAACAGCGGATTTGATGACGTCACTACTGGAGAAGGTGTGGACAGAGAGCAAGGTACCTGAGGATTGAAAGAAAGGCTACTTATTCAAACTGCCGAAGTAAGGGGACTTAGGTCAATGCAAGAGCTGGCGTGGCATTATGCTTCTGTCCATCCCAAGCAAAATACTAAGCCGCATCATCCTGGAGAGAATCAAACATGCCCAGTTGTATTACATATATGTCTTATAAATACACTTTTTTTAAATAATTATCGCTTTTCACCCAAAAGAATATAATTGGCAGGTTCAACGTCATTTGACTTTGGTGTCTATTCTTTACTGTTGCCTGGATTGTATCTTCTTGTGGTCAATAGTTGATTAAAACAATATGAAACACAGTTAACACGATGCACTTTGATGGATAAAAAAAATTGAGGTAGCCCAGTGATTTAAGCAGGCCGCCATTAGATAGATAAACTGAAACAATGGAGAAGATTTCTAACTCAGGTGAATGTGATATTTGATTAATTGTGTCCTCTGAGCTGGTTGAGAACAAAACTAATTCAAGATAGATAAATTAACAGAATAATCAGTGGATGCAGAATACTAATGCAAATCTGGTTTGCTTTGGTGTATGCCAGAAATCTAGGGTTTCCATTTTCTGCACAAGTTACCCTAGTCTAACTGTGAACTAAATACGACCTTTCGGTAGGGATTCTTGCAGCGAAATATTGGAAAATAAAGGTGAAAACTTCGGATAAGTTTAGACTGATGAGAGGTGAACCACTTTCCTATCCTCTTGAAAACCGTCTTACGTTCATGAAAGACAAAATTCGAATAAGAGCACAGCCATTAATTAATGAAGGCAATACACTATTTACATTATTAGGACGTTCCACAATCTCCAGCTGGCTGTAAATTTGGTTACGGATTAAATCGTACCCGAGAATATCCCAATATCGTCAATGGCTTTCATTGGAAATAAATTTATTTTGCTGAAATGTTGTATAACACAGGTCAACAAAAATCTCTATGAAGGAATAGCTGTGTTGTTTTAATTTAACACGTGAATAATCTCGAATAAATCGATGTGTGCGTCGGTGGCACAGTGTTTAGGACTCTCGTCGACCATGCACATGGCCCGGGCTCGATCCCCTGCCGACGCACACCTGATATCTATGGTCGGCCTGTAAAATTTGGGCTAGCGATATCACATGCTGAAAATTCCATACATGTACCAAAAAAATACTGTGTGGAATCAAGCTGTAATCAAAAATAAAAACAAAAAAATACTAATGTGGCGTCCTGGTTAATAAAGTTAACTATTTTTTGAGTAGTGATAAAATGAAATATCAAACGATTGGTATATTTACCAGACAGTGACTCTAAAGAGCAGTGTATGTGTATATTAGTAGACGTTAAGTTATTTAGGGGAAGATTGTCAAGAACCAACTGACTGGCGAGATGTGATTCGTCTAAAGACTCAGCGTATATGCATGACAGACGAAACTATTCACAATTCTATTTATTCAAGCGTCGAGCTTCTGGAGTCAACTTCCTACTGTGTAACCGCTGATAATGTGGTTGACGTCTTCACATGTATGACTGAAAAGTGTAATGGTAAAAGCGGACACCTATATGGGAAATAAATGTGCAGTAAGACGTTGAATACCTGCAACATAAAGCGTGTTCTCTGTACTGTATATATATATATATATATATATATATATATATATATATATTAATAGAAATCCAGAAATATCAGCTAATAATCCTGACTAGTGTCATAAAAGTGTTTCCACAATTAGAAACGGCGAGTTGGTCGTCCAAGGGTGACTTGGAGGAGGAGGTCATGTGAAGAGGAGATGAAAACGTGTGGAGAGACATGGAGTCAGTTGAAGACTCTAGCAGAGAACCAAATGCAATGGAGACGCACGGCTGAAGCCCTATGTTCCTCTAGGAATTAAAGGATACAATAATAATAATATACAATTAGAAACAATGAAGTTGAAATACATCAGCCACTTCGATGGACTTTGCTTACCCACTCACTGTACAACTAGTCAGAATCAAGAAGCATGATGAACAATGTGAATAAAGGTGAGACTACGAAGCAATAATGGTGAGGAGACATATTTTAAACAACACGATTTCCTGACAATTTTGAATAAATAGTTTTTCAGAATTATTAATATAAAACCTGTAAAATTACATACTGAAATGCGGCTATTGGTTTTCATGAATATGTGGTTTAACTGCGCTACACTTCGTTGGTACCGTTGACCTGTGTCCTTTTTGTTTGTAGTTTTCACACTTTCCCCAAAACACTCAAAATGATTTATTATCTGGGTATTTTATCAGTCACTTACTTTCAATGAAATGACAGTGGAAAAAAGGTTATTTAAAATAATGTATATCTTGACACTTTTATGAAGAAGTCAGAGGGGACACACTCACCACTTCAGTATCACTGCTTTCAATGGTTGTCGACTACACACAAGAAATCCACATTATGATTCTGCCGCCTCCCCAACTTCTGTCTATGCATCTCCTTCAACGACAAGTAGTTCTATTCCTTTTTCTGTTCTAGGTAATGGTGTTGAATACGGTTTTCTTTTTATCATTATCAAGCGACAGTTGGTTAAAGGTGACTTTTGAACGAAGCAAATTTTCCATACGCTACGTAATTAGCCAAACTTAATATATTTTCTGCATTATTAGTGTTCCCTTGGGTTCCGAGTGGAACATAGGGCTTCAACAACACATCTCCACTTTGTCCTATTCTCTGCGGTCCACTTCAGTTGGCCCTACCATTGGCCATAGTTTCTCATCTCCTCATCGCACGATCTCCTCCTCTATGTGTCACCCTTGGACACCCAACTCGTTCCACTAATGGGCCTGAATGATAGATACCACCTAATTGCCCATGCCTAAGTGTAGTAGATACAGTGAAATCCAAATCAATCATATTTTTTAATAAGTTATTGTGTAGTAAACGAATTTGAGTGAGTGGTACCTACCTGCTTACACACAGAACTTAACTTTTCTGGGCTCACTATCAGCTAGGTGACGTTTAAGACTGCACCGGTCGGGGGATCAAACCCCGGACCGGACCACGCGAATGGTTGTTGGTGAGCATCCTACACAAATCAAGCAACCATGTATGTACACCCCACTCCCACATTGAACGTAACTATTACCGTTTTGTTTTTACTGAATCGCACATTCAAAACAACCAAGAGTATGTATAAATTATGTATTTTTAATGTAAATTTTAGAAAACAAAATGATGCCAGTGGTAGTGGTAATATTAACCTGTACATGGAAATTCTGTGAATATTGAAAATATCAAATGTATTTAGTGATGATGATAATAATAATTATAATAATAATGATAATAAAATGTAATAATATATATATTATGATTTCAAAATACGCACGTTTCCACAAACATTAAATAATCCGCTAAATTTTTGTTTTTGTATATATACTATGATGATGATGATCATTGAATTATGAATGAAATGATAATAATGACAATATAAAATATATAAGATAAAGACTGAGTGAGTATGTTGGCGTTGAATGTATGTAGAATATAAAAGCAGAGAAGAAATATGACATTTGCTATATTATTAAGAGTTTCAAAAATACAAGAACGGGGGAGGGGGGAATAACAAAGCACAGCCATATCATGAAAAAAAGAATGTATGAATGAGGCATTAGTTACTAGAATGAAAATAATAATAACGATGATGACAGTGATGCCGATGAATGTGTATGTGCAGAGAGGTATTCACAAGTTAATTAGCGAAACTTTAATGAAATGAAGTGTATATATGTATTTGTGTGTTGGTAGGTATCATAAATCTCCGTATTGCAATAAAACCTTTGGTTTCCTAGACAATTCTGATTCCAGAGATGGTTGATGTTGTTGGGTATTACTGTCGCCTAACATAGAACTGAAAAATTGTTCACGTAATAAAGCAGATTTATTATTAGAATTTGATGTTTTATTACCATTATGATGATGATAATCAAATATTGGAATAGAATTTGAACAATTACTAGCCATACTGTTTATGTTATTCATGCTAACACTGCTAGTTGTTGACAATCCAGGCTTTTGAGTTTTTTCACGTCTTGTTGTATTTGATCTGATGCAGGTTGAGCAGACAGGAGGGTGAAGAAGTGTTAGAAGTAGGAAAAACAAAAATACAAAAGTTTGTACCAAAAATACTAATTTCGAAATTTCATCACCAGTCGTCTCATGTTGACTTCAAAAGTTCGATCACAAACTGACTTCAATTAGAGGAGAACTGAAAACCAAGAGTATTGAACGACTGTTTCATCCTTGTGTGGGACTCTTCAGTAACACGATCCCATAGACCCATACCCTGAAGTCGAACCCAGGACCTGCAGGTTACAAGGTGGGTTTTTGGATCATTCAGCCAGTAGGACGGAATCCAATGGGCTGTCAATTCTCTCTGATAGGAACCATGGGTGCGTAGTGATGAAGAGTCTCGAACTAGGACGAAACAGCTGTCCGGGACTCTCTGGTTTTCAGTGATTCTCTAAATAAAGCTCAATTTGTGATAAAAACTTGAAATTAGTCAAATTCATAGAAACCAACACTTGAAGACTTCTAGGGTGACAAGTAATACATTCTCCATTATAGATTATTCACACCTCAGAGAATTTCGAGACCATCTGTGATTTGTCAGATTGACTTCTCAATGATTATTTTAAATCTATACCATTTGCTTCTGATTATCCAGTCTGTGGTATTTCTCAAAGTTGTAGCATAGTAAACACTGATGAATAAACACATTTCAACACAAATCGAGTATTTCACAGTCCACCATAATCAGTCAGTGGGAAATGCCGAACAACCCAAGAACAGCATAATAACTGATACTCATTCGTTGCACAAGAGGTGGCTCTCATGGCCTTAATGGTGGGTGATGGGGTTTGAGTCTCAATGGGAACAATATCACTCACTCAGAATGCAAGCACACCTCAGTGACGAGTCCCCAGAAATGACGAAATCCACATCCTTGATACCAACCACTACGACTTGCCATCAATCAAATTATCATTGAATAAACCTTTCAGTTATCAATATGTTTGTAAGATGAATGATCTTAAATCGATTTCTACACTGTCAGTGAAAGTCATCGTATCGTATATAAGTGAAATGACGTTGGTGTATATTCGGTTGCATGCCTGTACCTTTTTTGTTGCATAGCTTGAAAAAACAAAACACCGCTTGTTTTAAGTAGTGTGCACAGTTTGCTGGGTGAATGTATCCACGTAATAATCAATAATCTTATCAAAACTACAATCCCTCCCATACACTAGTAAAGTAAGACGAACAAATAGGATGAAATCTGGAAAGTTTACGATTGTGTTTAAATTGAACCCTGTATCACTATACAAAAAAAAACTATCTCAATAACAAGAACTATACGAATGGAAACTGAAAATGAAGAAGCAAGTAAGATACAGCTAGCTTGTTCCATTTGTGCTATCTCCACTTATATGTTGCTAAAAATAGCCACAATACAATGAATTAGTTAGTGGCTGAAAGTTAAAAGTAAAAACCTCAGTCTCAAAGTATGCTAGTGACCACCTCCTCCTCGTGACTACTGTTCCGACCCCTTCTGCTATGTAAGTCTTGTAACTCAATTACCAGAAGACTGTGAGTAGGCGGATTGATATCCTAACTAACTAAACTAAAAAAGCCTTTGTAGTCAAGTGCCTAAGTGAGTAAAACACAGCTGTTCATCAGTATTAAGATGAGACGTAATATTTTCCTCATATTCTATTAAGTGAATATAGAAACGGATGGTCTTTTCATTCTATCAGGAACAGATGAAGGTTGAAGTCAACAGGAATTTTCAGGATTAACAGTAGGTGGACCGTAAATATAAGACGAATAGGGATATCTTGTGCTTAGTGTCTATGCAAATTCTTATTTATTTAGTGATAGGTGGTAGGTAGCAGTGGAATCCAGGAGTACGTTACCTAGATTTAATAATAATAATAGAAGTAATTTGGAGGATAATGACTGGCAGTGGAATCCACGATGTGCATTTCGTCCTGTCTGTGACTTGTCAGCTAGTGGATGTACCTGCATTCTTCACTGAGAGGTGGTGTTTCCCACTGAGGCTCGAACGCAGTATCCATCATTTCAAACGTCGAAGAGTCATTTGCTAGATCGATTGGGACACTAGAGCCACCTCTTGTGCAACGAGTATCAGCCTTATTATATAATTCAATTCGGACTTCCCCGTTGGTTAATTGACGGGACCTAAGTATTCGGCTTCAGGCTAACATGTCGGCTCCTTGTGCGGATGCTTTGTGGCCCAAGCGGTCTAGTGGATAACACTTTGGCGTTTGAAACAATGGACACTGGGTTCGAGCCTCAGTGAGAACATTATCATTCACTGGGGAATGCAGGTACATCGGCCAGATGACGAGTCCCAAATAGGACGGATTGCGCATCATGGATTGCACTACTAGTCACCACCCACCAAAATACTTCAAGCTGCACCCTCAGAAACCGTTGAAGAATCCGCACCAGGAGCCGACATTTCAACACTTCGATCAAATCAATCAACGGGGAAGTCCACATTGAATTAAATAATAACAAAAACAGCTTTATTCTATAAAAAATTCCATTCATATGCGATACTGAATTTCCAGAGTCTTTATTGCAACATATTTACTCCTCGCACAGAAACTACTAACAATACAACACTCAATAATATATCAACTGAAGCATTATTGTGCCATCCAATAATTCGTATAGATTTCGTTACATTCTTCAATTAGGAAAATTCATACCAGTAGGTTGAAAACATATTTGAAAGTGTGCCTGAGAATAAATTGTGATTCTAGACGTAATTGGATGATTTAAACAATACAAAATGTGAAGTAAATACTATGCATTTATATGAACAGGAAATCTAGGTAACCCAGAGATTTATTTAAGCAGGCCCCCATACCAACCCACATCTTAGTTAGTAATTAGTCTTACGCATGAATCAAATTTCCGATTTGCTATTTACACAGTTCGGGGTGAAATTCAACCACAGCTTCCTTCGGAGACCGAAACGGTCTTCCGATCTTCAGATCCCCTCAATCTGGCTAGTATGCACTACTGGTTGATGTGAGGTGTGTCCAACTACTCATGTCAGCCAATCAGTAGTATATAGAGTCGTACATTTGAATCTCTAGCCTAAAGCTTATATCTAAGAATGTTATAATTTTACGATACTAAGTCATGATGAGTGCTGAATTCGAGTCCCACTGGGTGTATATCATTGATCGACAAGCCCCACTAGCGATAACCAAACAGATAATATCGCAATTCTTTTTTCCTTCACGTTCCCCGGTGGAACATAGGGCTTCAAGCTAGTGGCTTGAAGTTTCTGTAGCAGTGTTAATCTTACAGGATGAGGTTGCTAGCCTCATGCCCAACCTTTCCTTTTCACCAGCACTATTTCTGGCTTAGCGAGGTAAAGGAGTGCGTCGGCCGGAGCTCGAAACCCGGACCATGTGCATGGTCGGCGAGCAATGAAATGTGATAAATAAATAAATAGCTTCACTCTGAAGAAAATGTGTACACAGCGTACTGAATTCTGAATGTAATTTATTGCACAATATTTACTCCTCATCCAGGACCTCGAAGTAAAGTAGCAATCTGTAGTATATCACTTGACGTAATACTTTTAGATGTGAAGTGCAGACTATAATCCCTTATGATATTTTTTTACCTTCGTCTCTGCGAAATGCACACCAGTAGTTTGAAAAACAAATTTGAAAATTATGCGTGAGTACATTTTGCGACTTAATGACATAATTAAATGCTTAAAACAATAAAAATTAAGAGAAGACAATGGATAGTGATTCAAACAGGCCGCCTCAACCATGATGATGATGTCAAGAATGCCCAGTATACACTAACAGTCACCGATCCATTCACAATTAAATAATATTACATATGAACTGTGATCAAGATTTGACCGGATAGTTGCAAAATAATTGAGCGCTGAGTGAGAAGTAGACATTTATAAAAAATTATATTTGTAAAATCTCAGCGAAATTGAAATGATTAATTCCAACGTTTCCCGTGTTCGGCAATCTGGTCCGAACTTCTTCAGGGAAATTAATCGAAATTAACATAACAGAGGTTTATGTATAAAAGGAACAACTCTTGTTTTTAAAAACTTTGTCCAATCATGAGTCATGCTCATTACTGGTGAAGGTTAAGGATAAAATAGAACAAGAAAACCAGCAGAATTGCGTATACCAGATCAATTGTGGGGATTGTAACGCCGTATATGTAGGAGAAACTTCCAGACAGGTAAATATAAGAGTGAAAGAGCATAAACAATGTCTAAAGGTGGTTCCAAAGACCTCTGCAGACTTGAAGAAGCTAGAAAACAACTCAGCGATTGCACTGCATTCGATAGAAACGGGACACAAAATCGACTTTGATAAGACTAAGGTTTTACAGAAAGGTTTTGGTTCATATAAAGAAAGACTGACTGCAGAAGCCCTACATATATGGGTGAATCCCAACAGTTTGAACAGACGTGAAGGTGTGATCTTAGCTGATGCATGGCAAATCCTGACTAATAAATAAATTGGATATGTATCAACAACTAGTCACACTAGATCAAATTCCCGATTGTCTACGTCTTCTTATGGAGAGAATAACAATTTTATAAAATTATATTATATTTGTAAAAAATCTCAATTATTTTGTAACTATCCGGTCAAATCTTGATCACAGCTCATATGAGAATAACAAATGTTTTATGACTGTTCACACACACACACACCATTGATACTGCATATACACATATATTTTAACAAAAGTAGACTAATTTTGAAAGTCTGAGGTCAAATTTTGATCACAGTTCATATAAAAAATTTTGTTTTGTTTATTATACCTATTGATAGCTGTTTCTTGATTCACATGACAGGACAAACAATTTAAAACAAGAGATGTACTTTTATATATAAACATACTATTTTATTTATTTATTTATTATACATGTTGATGCCTGTTGCATGACTCATGATTGGACAAAGTTTAAAAAACAAGAGTTGTTCCTTTTATATATAAACCTCTGTTATGTTAATTTCGATTAATTTCCCTGAAGAAGTTCGGTTCGACCAGATTGCCGAACAGGAAACGTTGGAATTAATCATTTCAATTTCGCTGAGATTTTACAAATATAATTTTATAAATAATATTAGATTACAAGGAACACTAAATTACTCAATGGCAATATACACTTTTCATCAATTTATCTATATACATATAATGTCTGACTTACTCAGGATATTTCTCTGTATGCAGAATATAAATTGGATTATTGAAATGTGTAGAGTCTGCATCCAATCCAACACTGTTAGTAGTAGAGATATTATTATTATTATCACCTAAATTTTTCAATGAATTGTTCATCATTATTGTAGAAGATTGACAAGTATTACTATTATTATTATTATTATTGATGTTATTATTACTACTACTACTGGCCATACTGTTCGCTGAACGTTGTAAGTGTATAGGATTATTGATTTCATTATAGTATAATGATGATGATCTCGATAGACCTGGTTCTGTTGGTGACATGATTCTATTATTATTATTCTGTGAATTTGTATTAACACTAGATGAAACTGAAAGAAGAAAAGAAGAAAAACTTCAGTAGATAGATAAGACGATGATGATGAATTTACTCAAGTAATTGATAAATGTGTATGCTGTGTGTTGACGTACAAATTCAGTTTACGCGTGCTATGATTGAATCGTCAGTGATATGATAGAGAAGATTTGTAGCTCAGGTGGATGATTTTGATGTGGTTGTGTTCTCTGAGCTGGATAGTTAATTTGCGAAGCTTTCATCACCCTACTAGGCAACATCTTCAGCGCATACTTCAATTCGTTGAAGTGAGCTTTTAGATTTCTCCACGAGTTTATTAATCATCTCTCCTGGTGACCTTGGACGTGATTGGTTGTTTTTGTGTGTTTTCACACCTTCTAGGCTACTTGTATTGGAACTGATTGTTTCTTTGACTTGAACTTTGACCCTTTGTGTGTGAGGTTTCTTTCTTATCGGTTGATAAATTTTGTCTATCTCGATGTGTCTATTGATTGATGATTCACTGGAATGACAAGCTTCTAAAAATTCTCTAGCATTCTTGTTGTTTCCTCTGTCTAATATTTGAACGTTGTCCCAGTCGAATTGATGTCCGTGGTTGTCTGTATGTAGTGATATGAGGGAGTGGATATCATGTCTTTTGACGGCTAGCTTATGTTCGTGGACACGAAGACGAAGACGACGTCCACTTTGGCCAATGTAGTGTTCTTCGCAGTTGATACAATCTATTTTGTAGATGATGTTGGTTTTATCTTCCTTCGCTGTTGAGTCTTTTGGTTGACATAGAATTGAGTGAAGTGACTTTGTTGGTTTGTGTACGACGTCAATTCCTAAAGGTTTGAAGAGTCTTGTAGTGATTTCTGAGATATCCTTTATATATGGTAAGGAAACAACAAGAATGCTAGAGAATTTTTAGAAGCTTGGCATTCCAGTGAATCATCAATCAATAGACACATCGAGATAGACAAAATTTATCAACCGATAAGAAAGAAACCTCACACACAAAGGGTCAAAGTTCAAGTCAAAGAAACAATGAGTGACAGTACAAGTAACCTAGAAGGTGTGAAAACACACAAAAACAACCAATCACGTCCAAGGTCACTGGGAGAGATGATTAATAAACTCGTGGAGAAATCTAAAAGCTCACTTCAATGAATTGAAGTATGCGCTGAAGATGTCGCCTAGTAGGGTGATGAAAGCTTCGCAAATTAACTATCCAGCTCAGAGAACACAACCACATCAAAATATTGTAAATAACAGGAATAAATTACAAATTATTTGAGTAAGGAATAAGTAAGTAAGTAAGTAACACTTACTATCGGATATAATTCGTCTATGCATTATAACATCTGATTCATCGTTGGTGGTGGTGGTGGTGGTAGCTTTAATTTGTATCACTTCACTGATCTGTTTCTCACATCTTTCAGTTGATGGAAGATTCTGTCCATTCTGACTACTATTACTATTTATACTGTTATTGCTGTATACAGAACGATCATGAAGATCATTGTTACCTGAGAATAGAAGAAGAAAGAATCAATAACAATACAGGTTATAGCAGTAAACCATATATATATATATATATATGATTAGCAGTTAAGAATTCTTAGACTTTCTGAGTGAATTTATGATTGATGCGTAGTAGTAGGTCAGGTTGAATCGTTGGTTAAGCCCACGAATGATTCCGTAGGGACTTAATTGATGACTTGTAACACACCTCCTTTCAGACACAGAAAACTAAGTAATTCCATATTAGTTTGTTTATTAGATATATCACACAGTCACTGAAACAGTATTATTTACTGGATGACACAGTTTCGAACAAAATTTATGGTTCATAATCATTCCATCAACTGTAATAATCACACGACTTTGACACTTGAGTTTTATAGTTTTCTTTGTTCTCTCCTATTTGTCGTCGTAGGGTAGTGGAATTTTCCAGATATCTGGGTGGACAGGTGATGAATCATTCCTATTACATGTATTTGCAGTTGATTCGATAAACAAAGCTTCTGTTATCAATCTCTCCATCCACCTTGCTGTGACATTAGATTTTAAAACTGTCATCCTATCTCATCCTATTGTATGGTAATGTGTAATAGCATACAGTGAGTGCTATAGCTGAACTATTCTCTAGATTTCTTATCTTATTCAGGTCAACCAATCCAGATTTTGTTATGTTTTTATGTTCAGCTAGTCTGACTGCCCCTGTTCTACTGAATGTTAGTAAATATTACTGTATAACACTGTGAGACTCTATCAAAATAAAATTTACCCATAATGGAATTCTGCCTAAGGCTTCCGAAGTTCCTTCCTTGTATGGAATTACTACTGATGGTTTAGATTCCTTATTGTTGGTGTCGTCATTGATATCATTATTATTATTATTATCACTATTATTATTATTATCATTATTATTGTTATTATCACTATCGCTACTGTCATTATTATTATTATTGATATGATTATGAACAATAAATTTTGTTCGAAACGTCATCCAGTAAATAATACTGTTTCACTGTGTAATATATCTAATAAACAAACTAATATGGAATTACTTACTACCACAGTGCCCAAGTTTTACACATATATTAACAGAAAACTAAGGCTGATAAGTGACATTAAGAACGAAACAGGTGCATTCAGGCTTTTCAGCCGATTGATTTCTCCTAAGATCTAAGCATTGCGTTCCCCCCAGTCTAAACATAACTGAAATGAATTTCAGTGAACCGTCTGGATAAGCAATTTTGAATCCAACAGTATCTTGAATCAGCGGGTATCCTTCTGGACATTCTCGATCCATTCACTATTCTGAAGTAAAGTTCTTCCACACACTTAATCATTAATCTCATTTCATTCCCCCTTTTTTTCTAGAATTTTCATCAGTATTCACATCACCGTTTCTATAGATTTCATTTTTCCCCTCTAGCATTATTCTATGAAGCCAAGAATATTTGTGTTACAATGTCTCCCTTACACAAAATTACTCTTCATCGTGGTGCCACTCTAAGCATGAAGCCTAGGTATCTAGGATCTCCTGCCGACTTCCAACAACCACCTAACATTAGTTCAAAGTGCACTGTGATACAGCTAGCCACACCTATCTTGGTGACAACACTGTGAAATTCATTGACAGAATTCAGCAAAGTTACAAGTAAACTGAAGTGCCTTCAGTACAACTGCTATCTAGATTGTGATTATCTAAGAATTGAAGCTTCCAGAAGATACTCACGATTGCATTATGAATGATTTTAAATGGTTACTTACCTACTTCACAAGGAATATTGATATTCAAGTATTGGTTTTGTAGGGATTTTATTTGATTGCATGGAGGATTTCATCATGAGCTGACATCAGTTAGAGAACCACTGGAAAACCTGGGAGTAGTGGGACTCTTCAGCAGTACGCACCCACCGGAGTTCGAACCCAGGATCGGGTCCCAGTGGTTCAATGGTCTACGAGTGCGCCTTGTCACCAGAAGGTCCTGGGTTTGAACCCCTGGCTGTGGGTGCATACTACTGAAGAGTCCCAAAATAGGACAAAACAGCTGTACACTGCTCCCAGGTTTTCCAGTGGTTCTCGAACTGATGTCACTTCATGATGAAATCCTCCATGAATATTGATATCTTCAGTTTTTATAACTTTCACAATTTATGACTGATTTACATCGGTAAACAGTTATAATCACCAAAAAATCGATTAGATAACGTTTAAACATTTCAGTAGTGCAATAATAAAATAACAACAATATCTCTTCCTTTTGTCTACAAAGAATTCCTTATATACCGACTATAAGGGTTACTGTGAGTGTACAATTAGTCTTTTCTCCCCCAGTGGGGAAACTATCACTCATTGGGCATGCAGATACATCCATCTGATGAATCTAAGATATGACGAAACGTGCGTTTAAGATCCCACTACCAACCAAGGAACATTATCGCTACATTATCTCAAGACACCGTGGAAGGAAGCGTCCGTACCAGCAACTGACATGTCAACAGAGACCAATTACATCGTTTCAATTAGAAAAATAACTTTAACAAATTAATTTTGAGGACGTTAAGCAATAAATGGGGCTATGTGTTGATCACCGAATGAAATAGAGTACCCTGAAGTGAGAAGCAATGGATAAAGGTTTCACAATGGAAACAGAAGAAGCCGAATTACCTACCAGTTAACTAACTCCATCTGATGAGTCTTAACTGATATATTACACTTTAGTCTTAATTTTAACCGCTACTTACATATTAGAACCCTGAGCATAATTAACAGTAGTCATGTAAATTCTGTCATACACATCGACAATAGAAGATGACAAGTTAGGATAATAAAAGCAAACAACAACTCAATTTCATTCTCTTCTTAAGTCAATCGATCACTCACTCACCTAACCATCCATTTATTGAGTTATGCAAGTTTGATTTCTTTTCATTCATACTACTATTACTAATATCTGTTAAATTACGCGTATTATTATTCAGCATATCCTTGTCAATTCGATATGGAAAATGATGAATTTGTGAAGTTGTCTGAGATTTTAAACCACTTGAACTTGAATATGATGATCGACCGGATACTGGTGAATCCATACGTTGTGATGGTTCTGTGATGAAACGATCTGAACTAAGTCGTGATGCTGATCGTTTTTCTGTGCATGGACTATTGTTCATTGTTAAACCACCTGAATTCGGTCGCATAGGCAGTAGGAATTCATGATTACCACTACTACTACTATTAACAGGTTGTTTATAATCGGATGTTTGACTTGGAACAGCTGAATTGGGCTAGAATGAATATAAGTATAAGTATAAAGAGTAATAAAGAAAATGCAATAATAAAGTTAACAGATAGTCTCCGCATAATTTAATGAATGAACTTATAGGTAGGTGAATTTGTTTTAACTAAACAAGGTGCATTAGATCATCATAGATTTACACTGAATTACGAAATGTTAATTGTCAGGTACTACTAGTCTGTACTGATTTGACTGGTTCCAAGTTTTTGGATCATAGTAGGATTGATACGAGTTAGAGAATCACTGAAAACCAGGGACTACTACTGGACAGTTGTTTCGTCCTTGTTTGGGGACTCTCCATCAGTACTCACCTGTAATTCCCCAAACGCTGGAGACCGACCGACCGAACCCAGGACCTTCGGGATACGAGTTGAACTCACTGACCATTCAGCCACTGGGACGGAATACAATGGTCAGTGAATTCTAACTTCTGTCAATTCGAGATTGTTCAGACACCAACAGTCAACGTCGATGGCGATGGGTATTTATCCTCACACCGAACTTGGTCGACTCCACAATGATTACGACTTCTCAGTGATATTGGACACCGGTGGCGGCAAAAGTCGCGAATCAACAGAAGTACCTAGAGGCTTTCAGTAATTTATTTGGTACCTGATAGATGGTAGAAAAAAGATTCTTTAACATGAGCTTTATAGTCTGTTTGGACAGGGTAGTTCCCTTTATGAATTTAGACAAAGCAATAAGAAGACGTAATTTGTCTGAACAATCTGATCATACACGGACTTGTCATAGGAATATTTATGAAACTAATAAAGAGTTAAGAGGTGAGAAAATAGACTTAGGTCAAGTTAAAAGACCATATAGGAATATGCTCTGAAGCCAACCCTTACTTGCGAAGATCGATGAGTCATCCTTATGTACGTGTGGCCGCACGTACATTCAAATTGGTAAATACAGCGGGATGTGTCATCATTTTTCGCATGTTCTAGGGGATTCGATGGATAAATTGGCTTCACATTCTCAATTATTATGATCTTAGTTGCATAAAAAGTCTTTTTAACAGTAGCGTTCAATCTCTTTCGAGTTACCAAGCTGCTATGATCACCCATATAGGGTAGCCTGATGTATACGTCTTTCTTAGCGGAGAGTGTCTTGGTGTTCTTACTACTTTACATCTCCTGATGAACTTGTCTGGATAATTTTTACAAACAGAGTTTGTGTCAACTTTCTTTCTTCCTCATCAAGTGTGTCTTCGGTGCATTTACGTTGGATTCTACTGAAAAGGCACCTCACTCAATAAGGCTCTTTTGTACCGAACAGGGCAGAAACTGTGATAATTAAGATACTTTCCTGTCCATGTAGGTTTTCTATAAATAGATCGTTATATTGATCCATCCGGCCGTCGACTAAACGATACATCTAGGATAGATAAACAATTATCTTCCTCTTCTACAGACGTAAGTGAAATATATATTCCTATAAAAAGTCTGCGTGTGATCAGATTGTTCGAAATGTGTTGTGCAAATACAGCATTACACGATTCAGACAAATTAAGTCTTTCTTCTTATTGCTTTATGTCAATATGAGAACTGTTGATGGTTTTCACTACATTTTCATATAAACTTAGTAATTCACGTACACATTGACACACACACACAAACTTCTGCCCTATTGTCTTTCCCTGTTTTTGATATTATCATTCACATCCATATGAAGTTTATAATCAGTATGTGAATATAATTCAATATGAACATTAGTCATGAGCATTCATTGTTACTGATAATCATTTACTTTTGAAATCTGATGTTCATCTCAGTGTTACTTCTATGCATATTATCACATACACGCATCGATTGAACTATAATTTTCTTTAATTGCATGGAGGATTTCATCATGAGCTGACATCAGTTAGAGAACCACTGGAAAACCTGGGAGTACTGGACAGCTGCTTCTTCCTAGTTTGGGACTCTTCAGGAGCACGCGCCCGCCGGGTTCTCTAATTGATATCAGCTCATGATGAAATCCTCCATGCAATTAAACAAAATCCCTACCAAACCAATACTTGAAAAATATAATTTTTTTTGTTTATAGCTTGGAACCACACAATATATTTGGTACAAGTATGGAATTTTCAGCATGTGATATCGGTAACCCAATTTTACAGACCGACCAATTGATATCGGGTGTGCGCCGGCAGGGGATTGAACCCCGGACTATGTGCATGGTCGGCGAGAGTCCTAACCGCTGTGCCACCGACGCACAATCACATGAACTATAATTTTTTCTCCGAAGACTTTGTTCTACATATTACTGTATCGTGTGCAACTAACACCTTACACTCATCACTGGTGAATGCGTTAAGGATAAAGTAGAAGAAGACAGCTAACCAAAATTGCGACTACCAGATAAATTGTGGGGATTGTGACTCTGTATATATAGGAGAAACTTCCAGACAGGTAAATATAAGAATGAAGGAGCATAAGTAATGTCTAAATGTAGTTTCAAAGACCTCTGCAGATTTGAAGAAGCTAGAAAACAGATCAGTGATTGCACTACACTTGATGGAAACGCGACACAAGATTGATTTTGATAGAACTACGGTTCTACAGGAAGGTTTTGCTTCATATAAAGAAAGACTGACCACAGAAGCCCTACATATATAGGTGAATCCCAACAGTTTGAACAGACGTGAAGGTGTGATGTTAGTTTATTCATGGTAAAACCTAATTAATGTATAAAAAATGGATATGTATCACTAATTAATCATACTTGGTCAAAATTCCCGATTGTCTTTATATCTTCTTACGGAGAGGCTGACAAATGATTTACAATTTGTAAAAAATTATATTTGTAAAATGTCCAACGTTTCGTTCGGCAATCTAGTCCGAACTTCTTCAGGGAAATTAATCGAAATTAACATAACAGAGGTTTATATATAAAAGGAACATGACTTCTTTTTAAAAACTTTGTCCAATCATGAGTCATTCAAAAAGTATCAACAATTGTAATAAACAAAATTGTATGAGCTGTGATCAAAATTTGACCTCGGACTTACAAATATTGGTCTACCTTTGTTAAACACTTTAAACAGAGTGTGTATATGTGTGTGGGTAAACAGTTGTAAAACATTTCTTAACGTTTCCATAAGAAGATATGGACAGTCGAGAATTTTGACCAAGTATTAATAATTAGTGATACATATCCATTTTTATTTATTAATAAGGATTTCCTATGCATCAGCTAACATCACGCCTTCATGTCTGTTCAAACTGTTAGTATCTAGAATTTTATGATGAGACGTATTTCCAAAATTATGGTGTTTACGATTAGAGTTTAGTAGAAGCACCCTGTTGGACTTATTGCTTTCGATTAATTTCCCTGAAGAAGTTCGGACCAGATTGCCGAACGAAACGTTGGAATTACTCATTTCAATCTCGCTGAGATCTTACAAATATAATTTTTTATAAATGTCTACTTCTCACTCGGCGCCCAAATAATTTAGAACTATTCTGTCAAATCTTGACGACAGTTCATTTGAAATTATTTACTGTTGGTTCTCCGTACACACATGAACACACACCATTGTACACTGCAAATACATATATAGTCTTTCATGTTCAGTTATCTACGACTATGAACTTTAGTCGAACGTAATCACTAAAAATCTTATGCAAAAGTACGCAACGTTTAGAGTGTTTAACAAAAGTAGACTTATGATTGTGAGTCTGTGGTCAAATTTTGATCACAGTTCATTCAATTTTATTGATTATAATTTGATGTCTGTTTCATGACTCATGTGACTGGACAAGATTTTTAAAGACAAGATGTTTCCTTCGTTATTTTAATTTTGATTAATTCCGCTGAAGAAGTTCTGATCAGTTCACTAGACGAAACGTTCAAATTATTATTATTATTGTTTCCTTTAATTCCTAGAGGAACATAAAGCTTCAGACGTGCGTCTCCATCGCGCTCGGTTCTCTGCCCACACGTCTTCATCTCCTCTTCATATGACCTCCTCCAAGTCACCCACCTTCGAACTGACCACCGACTCGCCGATTCCCTTTCAGTCGGCTTCCACTCGAGCAATGGCTTGTCTAGTGATGTCACTCACTTGATAGTTTGTTTCCTCAGAGTATGGCCAGCCAATCAATCCATCTCCATTTCTTCCTGCCTATTTGTTACACAATCGGTTCCTGCTGTGTTGGTTGGTTCGCTCATTGCCAGAGATCCCTCTCTGTTGCTGATCACTTCTGGCCGGCCGGCCATCTGATCTTGAGTAGTATTGAGCGAAGACAACTAGCTGTTAATGAAGGTGTGTAGTTTGTTTGAGGTGCTGTTTATGACGCGCAGTGCAAGTCTCTGATCCATCCGTATAGGGAGCAGCACTGACTGACTTCACATTGGAGTTGAAAATCCGGATCTTATCTTTGTTTTGATGCTGAGTAGGGCTGTTGACCTCCTGCACACAGACTTGAGAGTAGTGAAAGCTTGTCTTGCTTTTCCGATCCTCATTGTTTTGATATCCTCGTCAGTTCCGCCTGCCTGTATTTGAGACGATGTTTCCCAGGTAGATCGGTTGGTGAAGGAGGTTGTTTCTTTCAGGTTCCCTCCATTTATGCTGGCTGATTGTTGTCTGTTTTTGTTGTTGTTGCTGTTGGTGGTGGTGTTGGCTTTGGCCAGGAATCTTCATCACCTCTGTTTTCTCTATGTTCATCTGAAGTCCTATCTTTGATGCTTCTCCTGCCAACTTGTTGCTTTTCGCTTGCATATCTTAGAGTTTGTGGGAAATCATACATATATCATCGGCGAAGTTCAGATCCTCCAATTTCGCTGAAATTTTACAAACATAGTTTTTACATTTGACTACTTATACCTATTTATAAGTAGCATACCCCACAACAGAACTACGGAGATATCCATTTTAGAAAAATAAATGATACAGACTAAACATCACTTACTCGTACATCTCCTGCTCCACTTGAATCATTTAAATACTTTAAGAATTGCTTCAATGCATCATGATTCTGTTCATCTGGATCACGATCATAAATTGACACAGAACCAGGTATCAGACGTTTATTATCATAACGATGAAGAGTTGATGTCAATCCACTCGTTGGTATTGATCTTTGACTATCATTTAACCAAGATACTTGTGAACGCAGTGTAGACATTGTATTGTAACCTGTAATAAAATGTGTTTTTTTTAAAATGATATCAGGGGAATAAGTTAAGTTAGTCCTCATGCTTGATAGTGAAACGTCAGTGGTCAAATGTATCAAAGCTAGAAGAATACCAAAGCGAAGACATTGGCTGGCGGTCGCGCTATGTCGCAAATTGGCAGAAGTTAGAATTCATGGGATGACCATTGGATCGGGTTCCAGTGGCTCAATGGTCTACGAGCTCGCTTTGTAACCATAAGGTCATGGGTTAGAACCCAACCCGGTGGGGTGCGTACTGATGAAGAGTGCCAAATTGGGCTGACGAAACAGCTGTCCAGTACGCCCAGCTGGTTTTCCAATGGTTCTCTAACCAATGTCAGCTCATGATGAAATCCAGTAACCAATACCAGACAATCTCATTTTCTTTTTCACAAGCAGAAAGATCTGAAGATGTATATACAGGAGAAAACAGAGTAGGATATAAGTGTTTATAAATAAGCTCTCTTGGAATAATTGATGCCTCAATCAGTATCACAATCGATGAACTATTTTTGCCCAACACCTTACCATACACACACACAAGTATATCTGAGTATAGAACACAAAGCTTGCATCAGATGAAAGTAAAAAGATGGAAATATAACTGATGAATAATAACTACAGTAAACACTGTTATTTGATACAGACTAATATGAAACGATAATTATACATCTCATCCAACAGCTGTACGACAATGCTCCATGCCAAGTAATCCACAACGGGAAGCTTACGGAATCCTTCGAAGTGAGGACAGCAGTAAGACAAGCTGGCTGGCTGCCTACTATCGCCAATGATTTTCCTGATTGCAGTAGATAGGATAATGCGACAAATGGCGGCGGGCAATGAGGAAACAGGCATAAAATGGACTCACACAAAAAACCAACTTGGAGGATCTGGACTTCGCCGATAACATATATATGTCTGATTTCCCACAAACTGGAAGATATGCAAGCGAAAAGTAACAAGTTGGCAGAACAAGCATTAAATATAGGACACCGCTTCAGGTGAACATAGAGAAAACAGAGGTGATAAAGATTCCTGGCCAACACCACCAACAGAAACAACAACAACAACAGACAACAATCACCATAAATGGAAGGAACCTGAAAGAAACAACCTACTTTAACTACCTACCTGGGAAGCATCGTTTCAACTACAGGAAGACGGAACTGACGAGGATATCAAAACAGCGAGGATCGAAAAAGCAAGACAAGCTTTCACTACTCTCAAGTCTGTGTGGAGGTCAACAGCCCTACTCAGCACGAAAACGAAGATAAGATCCGGATTTTCAACTCCAATGTGAAGTCAGTCAGTGCTACTCACTATACGGATCAGAGACTTGCACTGCGCGTCATAAAGAACATCTCAAACAAACTACACACCTTCATCAACAGCTAGCTGTCTTCGCTCAATACCACTCAAGATCAGATGGCCGGTCAGAAAAGATCAGCAACAGAGATCTCTGGCAATGAGCGAACCAACTCATCAGGAACCGATTGTGAAAGAAATAGGCAGGCAGGAATAAATGGAGATGGATTGGCTGGTCATACTCTGAGGAAACAATGCATCGAGTGACATGACTAGAGAAGCCATCTCTCGAGTGGAACCCGACTGAATTGGAAGCGGCGAGTTGGTCGTCAGTTTTAGGGTGGGGTGACTTTGAGGAGGTGATGTGAAGAGGAGATGAAAACGTGTGGGCAGACTTGGAGCCAGGTGAAGACTGTAGCAGAGAACGGAAGGCAATGGAGACGCGTGGCTGAAGCCCTTATGTTCCTCTAGGAATTAAAGGAAGCAATATTAATAATCAAGTATATCAGCTACTACGTTTAATACGCGAATGTAGATTTCTAATTATCACGAAAGACTTTAGATGGAAAGTTTAACGGTTCCCTTTATGCATTTTTTTCGCTCATTCAAAATTATTAATATAATTAGCCTAAGTTATTTAGTCATAAGAAAAAGACGTAAACAGAGGAGAAAATTTACTTTTCGACGACTCATATTCAAATTTAACAAAGAAAATATCACAAGACCAATCAGACACTGGTTAAAATCTGTCCTCGAAAACGTATTACGTAGTGTAAGGTGTAGTCGTCTAGAAAAGGATGATTAATTGGAAATTAGAAAAGAGGTAGAAGCGAAAACTGACAAACTGGTCGAAGAAGCAGCCAGAGAAGACAGGACTCCAGGTGAACATAGACAAAACGGAGGTCATGAAAATAACCAACAAACAACAACAATAGTAACATCCAGCGCCAATCACCATCAACGGGAGGGATTTGATGAAAGAGGTTACTTCACTCATTTATCTAGGGAGCATTCATTGTCTCAACTACAGGCATGTGGAACGGACGAGGATGTCAAATCGAGAATCGGTAAGGCTAGAAACACATTCATCAACCTCAAACCAATCTGGAAATCTTCGTCACTCAACTCAGCATCAACAACAAAATTCGGATTTTAAATACAAACGTCAGTCAAGTCAGTCACTTCTTCTATACGGATGGATCAGAAACTTGGCCAGTGTGTCACAAAGAATGAGTATTTCCAACAGCCTGTTGCACACCTTTATCAACAACTAACTGTCTTCGCTGGCTCTATACTCAAGATCAGATGGCCGCCGGAAAGAACAAGAACCAACAAGAAACATACTATGTGAAGAAACAAATCAAGAACCAATCGCTCAACAAATATGCAGGAGAAAGTGGAGATGGATTGGACACTCACTCGCTGAGGACGCCACTCGCTGGGTGACATCGCGCGTCAGGCCAGTGCTCGAATGGAACCCGAAAGGGAAGCGGCGAGTGTCCCACTCGCCAAGGGTGACATGGAGGAGATCGTGTGAAGAGGAGATGAAACAGTATGGACTAACATGGATGCAAGTGAAATGTACATCAGAAGACAGAAGCAAGTGGAGACGTGCAGTTGAAGTCGTATGTTCCACTAGGAACCCAAGCGAACAATAATAATAACAGCATCAACATAAAATAAAATGAATGTCAGAAGAATTAGGAAAGGTAATAGTACAAATTCATGAGTTTATAGTCTCTACTGAGGGCCAGGGCAGTAGTAGGGGCTGGCTGAACTTGTTTCTTTTGAACACAGAGCGCTGGTTGTTTGAGGCGAATTGCAATAGCCTCTGCTGTTTGGAGCAAGCGGTGCTTCGACGATTTTGGTAATTTGTTAGGCACCCGGTATATTATGGAGAAGGATTCGTCTACGCTGACTTTGTGACCGGTTTGCACCAGATGATCTAATATCGAGCTGTTAATAGTTTTAACAACACCTTTACTTAGCCATAGTGGGATATCTTCTCAAGCAATTTCCAATTGCCAATTAGTCACCCTTTTCTAGACGACTACACCTTACACTACGCAATACGTTTTCGAGGACAAATTTTAACCAGTGTCTGATTGGTCTTGTGTGATTTTTTCTTTGTTAAATATAATTACGATTGTACACCAGCTTATGAAAATGAGTCGTCGACAAGAAAATTTTCTCCACTGTTTACGTCTTTTTCTTATGACTCAATATGAAAATATTTCGTTCATTAATTTAATTAGTGCTGTAAATGATCAAACTTACCTGGATTACCTCTATTGTATTCAGAGTCATGCAGATGGCCATGAAGTGGATGACGCTGAAATGAAATATTTTTTTTAAAATGCTGAATTACTCTTAAGATAAATGAAGGGTTACTAATCAACAAAATATAAAACAAATACAAGCGTTGTAGATAGCTAGTTTGTATTGAACATGCGAGTAATAGCTCACTGGATGTGAGGTACTTGAATTTCGACATGAAGGTTATCATGTGGACACCTATTACGTAATTTTACGGCTGTTTGCACTGCTCATATTCACGGATATGCGTTTAGAAGAACACTCAGGTTTTATATGAGATTCAGACCAACAGAGAACTTTTAGCTCTGGAGTTAGAATTGATACTTTTATTCTGTCCTGATTAAGAATGAACAACCAATTCTGTCAGTCAGCAGTCACTGAAATCGTAGATCTTTATAGCTGTATAGTAATCACAAGTACGAAACCGTTGTAAAGACTCTCTGGATGACTGTATTTGTCTGTACACCACAGTTATTCAATATTTACATACATTAATCTTCCGTCCAATGTTCACCCAGCAACTCAAAGATGTCTTACTTAAGCTTAGCTCTTATTCATGCATATACCATTTCAACTGTTCCTGTGGTTCAAGTTATATAGGGCGCACGATTAGACAGGTCCGTCTATGGGTTCGAGAACATTTATCAGCTTGGTTCAGCAGGGGGAAATTAATTACATAAAAAGCTCGATCCTGTCACACTTGGTCGATACTGGACATCGCATCGATGCTAACACAGCTCTCAGGGTTATATACCGAATTCCGCAGTCGTTATCACGTACAGTTCGTTTACGTCTCCTACACATAGCTGAAGCTGTTGCAATAGGATCGACTAAACCGGAACTTTGTATCCAAAAAGAACACGTCCAGACGCTGTTCCTACCGTGACCAAACTTGGATTGATGATTCTTGTTCTCACCAAGAGTGCTCCTTCCCCTTAACTCTCTCGGCCTTTTTTTTCCTTTGCTTATTATTACAAATATTATTATTATTCGTCATAATTTATGCCACTCATGCAAACATTCTCTCAATACTATCGAAATTTTCATTTATACTATCCGGATTTATTATTAGTGATATTATCACTTTTCTCAATATATGCCTCCACCTGTTTCATTTCACATATTCGTTATTTCATTATGAACCTCTCATCGCAGTCTTACTATCTCCTGTTTAACACAGACCACTTTGTACTAGCCACTCACCTGACACCTTTTATAACCTTGAACTGACTTGTCAATTTTCCTACCCCACACTCTACAAATCTATTGTGACTAATCACCATCACTGTCTCCGGCGGATACATTTTTTCCGGTAGATAGAACTTTTGAGAGATCCATCATTACGTCTGCTAAGGCACAATCAAGAAAGGGAATACTTAGTTCGGACTCCTTTTCTACTGTGTATTGTAAAGAAGGATGGCTGTTGTTGAAAGCAAAGAAGACACCATCAAGAATTACATTTTTATCGCAGATAACGAAAGTGTCGTCTGCATATCTTTTATAAATGTCAAAATGACAGCTGGGTGATTTAGTTGTGAACAAAGTCATATCAAAATCATCTATATAAGCTACAAATCTTCTCTCTTACCTAAACGTTGAAAGAAATCCTTAGAAATGTATGTATACTCAAAAGAAACTAGAATAATGGTTTTATCATATTAATATGAGTGTATTTAATGGAAAAAATTGACAGAAAGCACTTTTTCATACGTGAAAAAGGTTAGAATATGCAGAATTAGGTTACATATATCGTAAATTTATTCTGTCGCATTTCTATGTGAATATATAAAGCATCTTAGTGACAACAATAATTTCAAGTCATAGCAAAAACTGATATCAATTAGAGAACTATTGAAAACAAGGGAGTACTGAACAGCTGTTTCATCCAATTTCCAGACTATACATCAATACACACCATTTCCAGTCATTGTCATCATCCAGTGATCAACGAACGGGTTTGCCTAGTAACCTGAAGGTTCTGGGTTCGATCCCCAGTGAGATCGTGGGTGTGTACTGCTGTAAAGTCCTCAACTAGGATCAATCAAACAAGTGTTCAATACACACCCTGGTTTTTGAAAGTTCTTGATCTTACTTGGAATCAATCAAATCCATGAAAGTCAAGACAACAATAAATTACCTACCTTATGCAACGCAGCTCGAGCTCTTTGAATGAGTGTTAAACGTCTTTGACTTCTGTGAATGAATGAATAAATAAATAAAAATTTGAAATTAAATATTTAAAAAAATATAACTACAAAGAGAGAAATAATTAGATTAACATTTTTTTGAAAAAAAAAGACGAATATATTACGAATGCTATGTTTTACCATAACTGTCTATTACTATTATTATTATTGTTCCCTTGGGTTCCTAGTGGAATATAGGGCTTCAACTGTACGCCTCCACTTGCTTCTGTCTTCTACTGTACTTTTCACCTGCATCCATGTTAGTCCATACTGTTTCAACTCCTCTTCACACGATCTCCTCCATGTCACCCTTGCACTGACGTCCCACTCGCCGCCTCCCTTTCGGGTTTCACTCGAGCTTTGGCCTGACGCACGATGTCACCCAGCGAGTGGCGTCCTCAGCGAGTGAGTGTCCAATCCATCTCCACCCTCTCCTGCATATTTGTTGGGCGATTGCTTCTTGTTTCGTTTGTTTCTTCCCATAGTATGTTTCTTGTTGGTTCTTGTTCTTTCCGGCGGCCATCTGATCTTGAGTATAGAGCCAGCGAAGACAGTTAGTTGTTGATAAAGGTCTGCACAACCTGTTGGAAATATTCTTTGTGACCCGCCAAGTTTCTGATCCGGATTACTAGGTCACTAGTTTTATAGCCGGTCCCAAGCCCGGATAAAGAGGGAGGGTTGGGGTGTGGTGCTAGCAACTCCACCCCCAAAACTTGACCAAATTTCTACAGAAACTTCAACTCCTTTCATCGTTTGCTTTCATTCAAATACAACCAGTATTAAAATGGTTCAATAGTTCCCTGTGTTCAAATTCGGTGAAAACAAATCAAATCCCTAAAAATCAACCACTGAAAATTTATCTGATGCTCGTTAGCAACTTGCTACAGGACGGAGTTTCCTGGAGTTAGTTCTAGTGAGAAGTGGTGACCATCCTGTCGGGATGTATGGATGGATTTTCACACCGATGACACTGGTTTGTAGTCGCGCTAAATCACGAGTTGGTAAAAGTTAGAATTCATGGACTGGCCATTGAGTTGGGTCTCAATGGCTGAATGGTATACGAGCTTGCCTTATAACCGGAAGTTCCTGGGTGGGCACGTACTACCGATGATTCCCAAACTAGGATGGAGAAAACAGCAGTCCGGAACTCCAGTGCTAGTTTTCTCAATGGTTCTCTAACTGATATCGATCCGTGGTCAAACTCGTATAAACAAATCAACTCTTGGAAATGAAAAGAGTCAGTTGGTCAACTAACCAGTTTAGTAATGATGAATGAATGGGTTTCAGAAATGAATTTAAAAATACCACAGAGAAGTTAGTCAAATTCATTTAATATAAATTATACTACTTTCATAATAAACGAAAATTAAAATAAGTGAAATTAAGGTGAAACTGTGATATAAGTACAGAATAACGACATAAATGAACTCAAAAAAAAATAAAATACTAATATACTACTGATAATTATATAAAAGTAGCTGCAATCTTCCTAGTTAAATACTTATCTAACTGATAAAAAAATAAATTTATAAATTACACATATCAAGAGAGAATAACTTAAGACGAAAATCTCTAGAAACTATAGAAAATCACCTGTCTAAATAATTTAGCCTGGAATGTCACTGTCACTTTTTTCCCAGTTTGGGACTCTTCAACAGTGCAACTTACCAAGGGATCTCTCTCCTTCCCCCCTCTCTCTCTCTCTTAAAATCCTTCATAATTGCAAAATATTTAGAAACGGCAAAATATCACATGGTTGAGTTGGTGGTTCAGTGGCAGAATTCTCGCCAACCACTCACATGATCTGGGTTCGATGGCACTTCAGTTCACTCCTAAACATCACCGAGCCAACAGTAAACCTGGTAAAGAGGGAAGGTTCACCGGTCTAATTGCCGGCTCAGCGAAGTTTAGGAGTGCGTCAGCTGGGGATCGAACTGCAGGTGACATTCGTGGTTGGCGAGCATTCTGCCGCCGGACCACGGATGCACTAAGTTGAAAAGTACTTGAGTATCTTTGTGATATTATAATCAACTTAAAACCAAGTTATCTGGGGTGTGAGAATACTAGTTTTTGAAAACTGTGCAGATAAAGGGAAACAATGAGAGACTTCACGAAATGACATGAAGCAACATGACTTAGTTGTTTCTACTTCCCTTTCAACTTACATCTACTGTGATCACCATGAAATGTCAAGGCAGTAATTAGTTGGCATCACGCATTTCCTAGCAAACTCACTTACTAAGGTTTCACAACTTAATAGGTGATTTTCAAATAGCTAGTTGAAACGAAATTTAACGACAAAATAGTTTATTCAGTAAAACTACTACACATAAGCAAAATGTAGGTGATATGATATCTGATTGTATGGAGGATTTCATCAGGAGCTGACATCAGTTAGAGAACCACTGGAAAACCTGAAAGGAGTACTGGACAGGTGTTTCGTCCCAGTTCGGGGCTCTTCATCAATACGCACCCACCAGGATTCGAACCCAGGACTTTCTGGTTACAAGGCGAGCTCGTAGACCATTGAGCCACTGGGACCCGATCCAATGGTCCTTGAATTCTAACTTCTGCCAATTCACGACATACCGCGACCATTTCGCAGTGTTTTCTTCGATGAGTTACTGCCTCATCTTCAACCTGCTGTACCCTAATGGTCACGGCTTCCCACTAGAACCCCAGGTCCTAGTGGCTCAATGGTCTACGAGCTCGCGTTGTAATCAGAATGTCCTGGGTTCGAATTCCGGTGGGTGCGTACTGATGAAGAGTCCCAAATTAGGACGATACAGCTGTCCAGTACTCCCAGGTTTTCCAGTGGTTCTCTAACTGATGTCAGCTCATGATGAAATCCTCCATGCAATCAAACAAAATCCCTACAAGACCAATACTTGAAAATATGTTATCTAACAAACTTATTTTTAAATTCCTATTTGATTATAACAGCGATAAATCACAGCTGCACACTAGAAAATCATGCATTACTGTATGGAAATGTTAGATTCCTAAGAAATTATGAATTTACATAAGTCCCTTTCATAAAATGAATTTTGTATGAACTCAACTATAATTACTGCTTGAAGTTGATCGACAGGTTAACGCATTAGTTTACACTTAAATGATACAAGGATGTTCGATACAAATTATGCGTAAACTTCACTTTCTTAATATCTCTCCTTAAGACGTTTAAATGTTCTATGTATATTTTAAATCTTTTAAAGTATTTCAGTCTATGAGAAGGCGAAGGTGAAAAGAGTTAATTCCTGAAATAATAAAAGAGGAGATTTGTACCTCAGCTGGATGTTTTAATATGTGTTCACTCTTTGATATCAGTGGTTAAATCGCAAAGCTTTCATTGTCCTTCCAGACAAAATCTTCAGCGCTCACATAGAATGATCGGTCGGTCGGTCGGTCGGTTTTTGACATAGAACTTTGCACATATGTGCACCAGTTCAAGTCGCCACACTCCCTCCTCATAGCACACAAAGCAACAGAACAAAGTAGGAGAAATGCATATTAGAGACAGTAAACAGAGGTGTGAGACAAAGGTATAGTAATAACGAAGAACAAAACAGTTTCATTGGAAATCATAAGTCGCAAGGAATGGATGCATCTGCGCCAGCCATTGACAACGACTTTGAGCTAGCCATGTCACCAATCGTTTCCAACCATTGGTTTTTACCGTCCCGAGGACCCCAACCAGTCAGGAAGCCAGTCTACACCTTCCTACATGGCTGGCTGGCTTAGACTAACTGTTGTAGATTTCATTGACTGGTGACATGTTTTCGTTTGACCGCCACTGGCTAGCTCTTTTCCAGCCTGACCCTATATCAGCTAACATTGCCCATTGTCGAGGAAGGCGATGACTAGGCATTCATTCGTAACACATGTCCTAACCATCTCAGTCGATGTAGCTTCACAGTCCCCTCCTTACCTAGCACTCGACCGATACCTAACCTCAATATTGCTCACCTTATTGTACCACTTCACACGGGAGATAGAACGCAGGCACCTGTGATCAAAGACAGCTAATCTTTTCATGTCTTCTACTCTCAAAGGTCAGGTCTCACAGCCATACTGCTGAGCAGTACACACGCCCTTTGATCGATAGCCGGATATCACGTCTACGCCAGAGACGGCGTAAACGGGCATATGCGAAACTAGCCCTCTGTATCCGTGCTGAGATTTCGTCAGAGATCAACCCGTTGGGGCTGATGGTACTTCTCAAATAAGTGAAGCGATCAACGTGCTCTATCACTTCACTTCCTATCACATAGAATGAAGCGCTAAATATATTGTCTAGAAGGAAAATCAAAGCTCTGCAACTGAACTATTCCACCTGAGAGAACACAACCATATCATCATCATCATCAAAAAGAGTTAGTTCTACTAACATTTCTGAAAAAAAATTGATAGTGGTTGACGACAGTTGTTATTACTAACAGTTTTGACTGTAACTTTTCCCAGTTATTCAGAAATTTCTATTTCTTAACCCCAAATAAAGACAGTAAAGTTAACGATCTTGTCTTAACAGACCAACAGATATACTTTTCAAAAGTTGCTTTGAAAGGGATTAGATTTGTTCTGACGGGTTGACCACGGACTGATATCAATTAGAGAACCATTGAGTACTGGACTGCTGTTTCATCCAAGTTTAGGAATCATCGGTAGTACGTGCCCACCCAGGACCTTCCTATTACAAGGCAAGCTCGTATACCATTCAGCCACTCGGACTCATGAATTCTAACAATTCGTGATTTTCAGCGCGACCTCCAACCAATGTCATAGGAAGGAAAATCCATCCTCACTCCCGACAGGATGGACCTCACTCGTCACGACTTCTCACTAGAACTGCAGGAAACTCCATCCTGCAGCAAGTCACTAACGAGCATCAGATTAATTTTCAGTAGTTGGTTTGTAAGGATTGAAAATTGATTTGATGCTCTCTGGTGACTTGATACAGGAAGGATTTTCCTGGGTGTGTGCTGCCGGTGAGTCGCAAACTAGGATGAAACAACAGCTGTACAGTACTCCCTGATTGTAAAAATGGTTTTCTAACTGATATCAATCCGTGATCAACTCGTGAAAACAAACAGATACACACGCTAAAAGGTCAATCTTTTTGACCAACTAAAACGGAAACCAACTTCAAGTTATAAAATATCGACTAAATGACAAAGAAAGCATACACAATACTTATATATGAGCAGTAGTGAGCTGATTTTACATCTAAATATTAGTGTGCATTTACTTTTTTTTAGAAAAATAAAAACGAACATAGACAGTCGTATAAAGTGTTGAAAAACCTAAAGTGAAAACATGCATTAACCATCATTTGAGGCATTACATTACATCATACAATGCAATTCAATGAAAAAAGAGAATAGGGTCAAAATGTATATGCATGCACAAAAAAAACATCTACATATATGTGTTGAACGTTGAAAGTATTTGTGAATCGCAATGGAATTATACAATAATCATAAATGAAAATCCCTAAATCTGAGAGATTTATTTGATGATCTCTATATTTAAATCTTGTAGTAGTTAAGTAAAGAAATACAAAACGCATGTTTTGGTTGTATCTGAGACTCATCAACTGGAGGCGTTTCAGTGAATATAGACCTTCCAACTGAATTCCGACTCCAGTAACCGCAGTCTGAAGCAGAAATATATCGGTCAATTTTGTTGATAAGTTACGACAGCTAAACGTTCTCCGAAACGTGTGTAGGTCTTCCAAGGTGATCGTGTGCCTTTGCATAAATTGATATATAGAGCAGAATGAATCAACTTAATACAAGTTTGACCACGGATTGACATCAGTTAAAGAAACATTGAAAACCAGCATGGAGTATTGGACAGCTGTTTCATCCCATTGGGTGCGTGCTGCCGATGATTCCCAAACTAGTGGGATGAAACAGCTGCCCTATACTCCATGCTGGTTTTCAATGTTTCTTTAACTGATATCCATCCGTGATCTAACACGTATTATTATTATTATTGTTTCCTTTAATTCCTAGAGGAACATAGAGGGCTTCAGCCAGGCGTCTCCATGGCGTTCGGTTCTCTCCTAGAGTCTTCACCTGGCTCCACACGCTCTCATCTCCTCTTCACATGACCTCCTCAAAGTCACCCATCCTCGCACTCACGACCAACTCGCCGCTTCCAATACAGTCGGGTTCCACTCGAGCAATGGCTTTTCTAGTGATGTCACTCACTTCATGGTTTGTTTCCTCAGAGTATGGCCAGCCAATCCATCTCCATTTCTTCCTGCCTGCCTATTTCTTTCACAATCGGTTCCTGCTGTGTTGGTTCGCTCATTGACAGAGATCCCTCTCTGTTGCTGATCTTTTCTGGCCATCTCATATTGAGCGGAGTATTCAGCGAAGACAGCTGTCGATGAAGGTGTGTAGTTTGTTTGAGATGCTCTTTATGACGCGCAGTGCAGTGCAAGTCTCTGATCCATCCGTATAGTGAGTAGCACTGACTGACTTCACATTGGAGTTGAAAATCTGGATCTTATCTTCGTTTTGATGCTGACTGAGTAGGGCTGTTGACCTCCTCCACACAGACTTGAGAGCAGTGAAAGCTTGTCTTGCTTTTCCGATCCTCACTGCTTTGACATCCTCGTCAGTTCCGCCTGTAGTTGAAACGATGCTTCCCAGGTTGGTTGGTGAAGGAGGTTGTTTCTTTCAGGTTCCTCCCATTTATGCTGATTGTTGTGTGTTGTTGTTGTTGCTGTTGGTGGTGTTGGCCAGGAATCTTCATCACCTCTGTTTTCTCTATGTTCACCTGAAGTCCTATCTTCTCCGGATGCTTCTTCTGCCAACTTGTTGTTTGACATATTGGTGACAAATTATTCTAAGATATTTGAAGACAGTCGGCAGCAAGCCTTGCCTGATCTAGTTTTCGTGCTTGTTGGCACTCACTCACCAGTCACAGCAAGGTGTATCTACAATCTTGAAGGAACTCATGTCCCTTCTGAGACTAGAGCTCGAATCACTCAGTACTGCAGTCACAGACGTTGCCACTGAACTGTTGATGCTCCTGACTGACCTCTAATGTCATGCGTCTAGTTCTTCTATCAGTCAAATTTGCCATGTCGCTGAAACATAATTTTTACACTGGGATATTTCACTGGGTGACGTGGGTTCGAATTTCAGAAGGGACATGAGTTCCTTCAAGGTTGCAGATACACCTTGCTGAGGAGTGCCAACTAGCACAAAACTTAGGTCCAAGGCTTGCTACCGATTGCCTCCAACCGTCTAATATTTCACTTCATTTTCTCACTCTATTCCCTCTGTGTTCCACTTACACCGAGCCAGAGTCAACTCTGAAGTTTTTGCTATGACCACCAACTATCAGTTCTGTTTAAAATGGGTGGAAAATATACATAAATCCTATCGAGAATGAAATATCAGACTTCTCATCTTCATCACTGAGTACAAACAACACACACATATACCTAAAGGGGTGCAAAGCATACATAGGCAAACACAGTGTGCAGTGCAGTTGGACGTAAGCAAACAAACAAAAAAGTGAAACTTTCTCGAACGAAAATTATACACAAACACAGAAAACAAGCAGGTTAATATTGTGTTGTATTGTTCTCTCTTTTCTTTTTTTTTTAACTAACTCATTCACATTCTTTTCTGTTGACTTACTCCAAAAGAAGTTGATTAGTTAGATCACTAGAATGCGAAATATTATATTAATCAATAAGCAACTTTTTACAAAAGAATGATAGTTGACACGTAGTCAACATACATATAATTCTTATATGAAATTATTTATCTCCAGCACAGGCAGGTAAATATTATTCAAGTTAAAAATGTTGAAAACGGGGATTTCTGATGTATAGTTGTGGTGAGAGCTGGCTGCTAGTCAAAGTTGGTAGACAGTAATTGAAGTCAATGTTTATGTCCCCAATATTGGTGGTGAGAAAATGAGAACAAAGACTTTGCGTAGTCGGATACAGTTAGCATATGGATGATCTGACACAGCCACAAAGAGATGCAAGGTTAACTTTCTGTGAGAAACAACCATCAATCAGAAGACTGTATTGTTTACTAACAATAATCTACAATAATGTACATTAAAATCTATAAATATGTGTTGATTTTCCTTAATAAACGATCCGTTGCCTGGCCCTTGTCTTCTGTTGTTATAATATGACTTAACTATCTCAGAAACAACCACAAAGAGATGACAGAATAATCTTCAGCAGGAAAACAACCGATCAGAAGACGTTGCTTCTCCGCTGACAACAACGCTAATAATGATGTACATAAAAATCTATAATCTATAGATATCTGAAGATTTTCTCAAAAAACGATCTGTCGCCTGTCCCTTGTCTTCTGTCGTTACATACTTACAATGATATCGTATTTGTTAAGCAACACGGGTAAAAAAAACTTAGTTTCATCAAAAAAAAGAAATTACATTAGTGAACCTGAGACCCCAATATAACCAAAGTCTCTTACTCTCTATATACACCAATCTTTGCTCCTACTGTAACGACAGAAGACAAGGGCCAGGCAACGGATCGTTTATTAAGGAAAATCAACACATATTTATAGATTTTAATGTACATTATTGTAGATTATTGTTAGTAAACAATACAGTCTTCTGATTGATGGTTGTTTCTCACAGAAAGTTAACCTTGCATCTCTTTGTGGCTGTGTCAGATCATCCATATGCTAACTGTATCCGCCTACTTGAAGCCTTTGTTCCTATTTTCTCACCACCAATATTGGGGACATAAACATTGACGTCAATTACTGTCTACCAACTTTGACTAGCAGCCAGCTCTCACCACACTACAATAATGAAACTGCAAATACTTCTCATTGAAAAAGTTAATAACTGATTAGTGAATGAATGATTCAGGGGAAAATAAAAAGGAAGTAGATGCAACAAAATTTCATAATGTAGCATGGACTGAAAGTGTTAACTTACTAGTGACTTGAAACAGGGTAAAAGGAATTAGAGAAAATCCACTTATGAAGACAATACACGAGTAAAACAAGAAAGCTAACAGGTATACCGCTTAAACTAAACACATGATAATAATAAAAAATATCCAAGTGGACAATAGAGATAGTCTTACTTTGTCATTTGATGTGTCCAGCAACGCGACCTAGTAGACTCCGAACACAATACGAACCTTAATGAGCTAAGGAGAATAACTCTAACTGTTAAACACAACACCGACCACAATAGTCGAACGCCACTGGTGCTTAGGAACAAGAGAAGACAGACCGTTGACATAAGAGAGCTTCTACTAACTCAAACAACAGTCCTAAACAAAGATGCTGAATCTATAGCTTCTTGAAGACCTCGACGTGCCAGTGGTTTAATGTTAGAATCCTCACCAACCACATGTTCCGGGTTCGATTTCCGACTGACATACACCTAAACCTTGCCTATACGGTAGTAAGCTCAGTAAAGAGGGAGGATTAGATGCGGGGCTAGAAACCCAACACTCCATAAAAACAACACCACTACTGAAACTTTGGAATCATTGGAACACAAAAGATGAAGATCGGTATCGGATATCTGATCAGAAAAGACTTTGACAACTGATAGGTTTGGGGAGTTAACAACCAATGGGTGGAAAATACAAGAGGCGTCATGGGTGTGCGATAACTTCAAAATATAGTCATTTTAAGGTAAATATACAGGAGTAGAGAAAATTATCATCAGTGAAAAGAAAGCATTTCTTTAAAATGTCCATTTATAGAAATTTTCCTACTTGATCTAAAGACAAGCGTAAAATTATAGAGAAAAGTTAGTTATACTTTAGAAGAATACTTTGATCATAGGAAGAATACATGCTAGTGTCATAAAAAGAACAGTAAATATTTTTACAACATGGAGAGGAACGTGAATCAAACGATGAAGAATGATTGACTTCAATTTGATTATTATTATTATTATTGTTCCCTTGGGTTCCTAGTGGAACATGGGGCTTCAACTACACGTCTCCACTTGCTTCTGTCTTCTGCTATACTTTTCACCTGCATCCATGTTAGTCCATACTGTTTCAACTCCTCTTCACACGATCTCCTCCATGTCAACCTTGCACTGAAGTCCCACTCGCCGCTTCCCTTCCGCGTTCCACTCGAGCGTTGGCCTGACGCGCGATGTCACCCAGCGAGTGGCCTCCTCAGCCAGTGAGTGAGTGTCCAATACATCTCCACTTTCTCCTGCATATTTGTTGAGCGATTGCTTCTTGTTTTGTTTGTTTGTTCCCATAGTTTGTTTCTTGTTGGTGATTCTTTCCGGCCATCTGATCTTCAGTATAGAGCCAGCGAAGACAGTTAGTTGTTGATAAAGGTGTGCAACAGGCTGTTGGAAATACTCATTCTTTGTGACCCGCCCCTAACTTTCTCATCCATCCGTATAGAAGAACTGACTGACTTGACTGACGTTTGTATTGAAAATCCGAATTTTGTTGTTGATGCTGGCTGGGTTGAGTGACGAAGATTTCCAGATTGGTTGGAGGTTGATGAATGTGTTTCTCGCCTTCCCGATTCTCGATTTGACATCCTCGTCCATTCCACCTGCCTGTAGTTGAGACAATGCTGGTTGCCTAGATAAGTGAATGAAGTAACCTCTTTCAAATCTCTCCCGTTGATGGTGATTGGCGCTGGATGTTGCTGTTGTTATTGTTATTATTATTGTTGGTTGGTTATTTTCATAACCTCCGTCTTGTCTATTTTCACCTGAAGTCCTGTCTTCTCTGGCTGCTTCTTCGGCCAGTTAGTCGGTTTTCGCTTGTAATTCTTCCTTTTTGTGTTTGATAAGTGAGTTAATCATTATTCCATTTAAATCTATACTACTTACTGACTGTTATTAGTAGTTGGTGATCAATCAAGACAATCAGTAGTGCTTGCCTGCCAGAGATCGTGGTGATTTAAGCCCCAGACCACTGTTTCATTCCTCCGAGGAAAAGCTCATCAGTGTCACGTATACAGACTAACACATCAGAGTGATTTTTACTGAATGTGAAAGAAGGTTAACAAATCCATAACACGGAAAGACATAATTATTTCATGAGTTGATCACGGATTGATATCAGTTAGAGAACCATTGAAAAAACCAGCACCGGAGTACTGGACAGCCGCTGTTTCATCCTAGTTGGTGAATCATCGATAGTAGTAGACACCCATTGGGGTTCAAACCCAGGACCTTCCGCTACCAAGGCGAGCTCGTGACGAATTCTAAAGTGAAATTTATCCAAATCCCTACAAGAACCCATAATTTAAATCCCTGGTTTTCAATGTTTCTCTAACTGATATCAATCCGTGATCAACTCGTAAAAACAAAACTAATCCTTAAAAAACAACTACAGAAAATTAATCTGATGCTCGCTAGTGACTTCCTACAGGATGGTGTTTCCTGGAGTTCTAGTGAGTAGTCGTGATCAGTGAGGTCCATCCAGTCACGTGTGAGGATAGATGTCCCACTGACAACATTAGTTGGTGTTTGCGCTTAATGTATCACGAATCAGTAGAAGTCAGAATTCATGGATTGGTCATCGAGTCGGGTCCCAGTGACTGAATGGCATACGAGCTGGCTTGCCTTGTAACCGGAACGTCCTGGATTCGAACCTTGGTGGCGGATGCATACTACCGATAATTCCCAGACTAGGAGGAAACAACTGTCCAGTACTCCAGTGCTGGTTTTTTCAATGGTTCCCTAGCTGATATCAATCCATGATCAACTCGTCAAAACAAAACTAATCCTTACAAACCATCTATAGATAATTATTTCAGTAATATACCAAATATTAAAAAAACTACTCAACGTTACCTTTTAGACGATGAACCGTTTCGATACTGTTCCATAACTTTTTCCTCAAGTTGTTGTTTCTGTCGATGCATTGATAGCAAACGTTCTCTTTAGAAAAGAAAAAAAAGCAAAGTAATAAAATTAAAATTAAACTGGAAAATACTGTCTTGCATATTAGCGAAACGTTCGCCAATAAAATACACTTCATGTAAAAAGGCATACCACTGCGAATAAGATTGATGAAATTTGTAATAATAAGACAGATGTCAAGAAAATAATTGCTACAATGTTAATAAGTGGTGACTACTTAACATTACATTCACTGGTTCTAATGTTTCTCTTATCGTAGCTGAACTTATTTAATAGGTTGTATGTCCAGTGTCTAGATGGAAACTTGGGGAGATTTTTCGTCCGCATTCTTTTTACTGTTAGACATAAGTAACTGGTTGACAAGAAGGCTTACGTAAAATAGGTTTCGTGTTTTTAGGGGATTTGTATTTCAGTCTTCACAAAAGAACGAAGATTTTTTCAATGTTTCAAATATGCTCTGTCGATGAGTGTCACAACAGGCATAAATTAGGATTTGATGAAAGCTTCTTACCAGTTATCTCCGAAATAAAGTGATCAGCCCCAACGGATTGATTGCTGACGAAATCTCAGCACGGATACAGAAGGCTAGTTTTGCATATGCCAGTTTACGCCGTCTCTGGCTTAGTAGACGTGATATCCGACTATCGACCAAAGGGCGTGTGTACTGCTCATCAGTCCGCTCCGTCCTCCCTTATGGCTGTGAGACCTGGCCATTGAGAGTGGAAGACATGAAAAGATTAGCTGTCTTCGATCATAGGTGTCTGCGTTCTATCTCCCGTGTGAAGTGGTATAATAAGGTGAGCAATATTGAGGTTAGGCGTCGAGTGCTAGATATTGAGGGGAAATCAGTCGACAAGACTGTGAAGTTACGCCGATTGAGATGGTCAGGACATGTGTTACGAATGAATGTCTAGTCATCGCCTTCCTCGACAATGGGCAATGTTAGCTGACATAGGAATGGCCAGGCTGGAAAAGAGCTAGCCAGTGGCGGTCAAACCAAAACATGGCACCAATCAATGAAATCTACAACAGTTAGTCTAGGCCACGTAGGAAGGTGTAGACTGGCTTCCTAACTGGTTGGGGTTCTCGGGACGGTGAAAACCGATGGTTGAAAACAATCGGTGATATGGCTCAAAATCGTTCTCAATGTCTGGCTGGCGCAGATGCATCCACTCTTTGTGACTCATGATTTCCAATGAAACTGTTTTGTTCTTCGTTATTACAATACCTTTGTCTCACACCTCTGTTTGCTGTTTCTAATACGCATTTCTCCTACTTTCTTCTCTCTCTTTGTGTGCTACAAGGAGGGAGTGTGGCGACTTGAACAGCCGCACATATGTGCAAAGTTCTATGTCAAAAAGAGACACAGATATCACAGTGTAGTTATACATAGCTTATAGAAGAGCATTACGAATCTAATCGATGAGCCTCCATCAAATAAATAAATCGAAAATATATTGCCCCAGATAGTTAGTAGCTTGATTGCAGTAGTGATGGACCTAATTTATAGTAGAACATCAGTTGGGTTTATCATAAACTGAGCGGATACAATGAAAAAGAAATAACGCATAGTACGAAATAAGGAGAAAATGCACCACGAGAAATGCAAGAGAATACACAGAGTATGGCGCATTTGGATGCGATTAAACCTCTATTAGCAACTGCCATTGAAAGTCGAAGATACGAAAAGATTAGCTGTCTTCGATCATAGGTGTCTGCGTTCTATCTCCCGTGTGAAGTGGTATAATAAGGTAAGCGATATTGAGATGAGGCATCGGTCGAATGCTAGGTAACGAGGGGAAATCAATCGACGAGGTTGTGAAGTCACATTGGTTGAGATGTTTAGGACATGTGTTACGCACGCCTAGTCTAACCATCACCTTCCTCAACGGGTGATGTTACCTGACTTAGGATCAGGCTGGAAAACGGCTAGTGGTGGTTAAACCAAAACATGGCTTCATCAGTCAATGGAATCCACAACATATAATTTGAGCCAGCCAGCCAGCCACGTAAGGAGGTGCAGACATCCTGACCGATTGGGGTCCTCGGGGTTGGTAAGAACCAATAGCTTGGTGATATAACTCAAAATCGTCCTCAATGGCTGGCGCAGATGTATTGTATTCACTCTTTGTGATTTGCCACATTCCATGAAACTAAATTGTTCTTCCATATCACTATTCTTTTGCCTCATATTTCTGTTTATTATCTCTGTTTTGAATCTCTCTTTACTCTCTCCTGTTGCTTTGTGTACTACATGGAGGGAGTGTGCCAGCTGGAACTGCTGCACATCTGTGAAAAGTTCTACGTTGAAACCAGTCAGTCAGTATATTGCCAACAGAAATCAAATTTATCTGTTGTCACTAACTATTTATAAATGATAACCTTCTTTATACTTGATATCTCACCAAGATTCTGAGCAATTCCACACCATAACCTCAACCAATAATCGAAAATATCATGAATAATAGGTCTAATACCGTAAGTGTATGCAGAACAACCTCACTAGACAGTTTAGCCTTTGACTGTGCAAGTCGCGATAAACTAGGTTATTCGTATTCTTCGGGCATTCTTGTTTGTGTGAACTGAGCGCATTTTTACGGAGTATCTTCTGTTAAATAAGGTCAATATATTTGTCTACCAATATTACAGTACCACAGCACAAGTATAATATACTCTATCCAGAAAGAGACCTAGTTGTCGTTTGAATAGAGTCTCGGAGTCTCAGAGTCTACACGACATTTATCATTCATATACCAACCATACAAGTCACTTTACCTTTATAGAAATCAATTCACAACTACAATAGGATAAGTAAGAATTGGCAGTTTGAATAAAATAATTGAAAAAAGAGTAGTGATTATTTATTAATACCTCAATACACCTTCTTGATTGACATGATTTTCGCAACTTTTCAATGTAGATGCTAAAATCTCTTGATTTTGATTTAATAAGTTTTGAAGTTGACTAAGTAAAGATTTATTTTCTTTTTCATACTTTGAACTAAGTTCTGTCAGCATCTACAAATAATAATAATAACAATAGTACTAATAAGTAGCACAGTATTTCAGCTAAAAATGTACAGTAATTGACATTAGTACCTAACCTCCCTTGTACTGCCACTCTGGGAATGACATACCGAGCCACCACCTTCCTAGACGAGAGATATGCTGGATGACATAGGATTAGGTTTGGAAAGAGTAAGGGGTAGAGTCAAACCGAAACCTCTAATCAATACATGAAACCTTTCACTACTGCTGGTTTGAGCCAGTCAACTAGACAGGCGTAGAGCACCTCTAGTTGGGGTCCTCAGGATGCTAAGAACAAATGGCTGCTGGAGACTGTTATTAATATAGATCAAAATCGCTGTCACCAAATCTCTATCCGGGAAGAGATCAACACAAGTGAAACCTATAAAAGACAGCCAAGGGAACCCAATTACCAAGGAAGAAAGACAGATTAAGCAATGGGTGGACCACTTCAAAGAACTTTTCAACCTACCAACACCTGCAACCCATCCAAAAATACCAACAAAGGCACGTATACAACTGCAAGTTGATACCAATCCTCCAATGAAAGCTGAAGTCTTGAATGCAGTCAAGCTTCTGAAAGGTGGAAAAGCAACTGGACCAGATGGAATACTCCTGAAGCACTGAGAGCGGACCCAGAGACGACAGTAGATATGCTGACGCCATTATTGCAAAAGGTCTGGAAGGAGGGAAAGGTGCCTACTGACTGGAGGAAAGGTTACCTCTTGAACCTACCAAAGAAGGGCGACTTAGGACTCTGCAAGAACTGGCGAGGAATCACGCTCCTGTCAACGCCAAGTGAAATTGTGAGTCGCATCATCCTGGAGAGAATGAAGGACGCACTGGATGCAGAACTCCGACCAGAACAAGCTGGAATCAGAAAAGGCAAATCATGTTCTGATCAAATTGCAACTCTACGCATCATCATCACAGAACAAAGCATGGAATGGCAATCAAACCTCTACCTCAACTTCCTTCATAGACTTTGAGAAGGCCTTCGACAGCGTTGACCGCGAAGTAATTTGGAAACTACTCGAGTGCTACGGCGTACACCAAATATTCACCAACCTTATTCAACAGCTGTACGACAACGACACATGTCAAGTGATCCACAACGGAAAACTCAGTGGGGCGTTTGGAGTAAACACAGGAGTCAGACAAGGGTGCTTTTTATCACCAATGATATTCCTAATTGTGGTGGACTGGACTGGATTATGCGTCAGACAGTGGGAAACGAGAAGACAGGGATATCCTGGACCGACATGAAGAACCTTGAAGACCTGAAATTCACGCATGGATGATTTATGTTTGATTTCACACAAAATCGAAGACTTACAAGCAAAAGCCGACAAACTTGTCGAAGAAGCAGCTGGAGAAGACAGGACTCCAGGTGAACATAGACAAGATGGAGGTTATGAAAATAACCAACCAACCAACAACAGCAGCAGCAGGAGAAACATCCAGCGCCAATCACCATCAACGGGAGAGATTTGAAAGAGGTTACTTCATTCACTTATCTAGGCAACCAGCATTGTCTCAACTACACGAGGAGGAGGAACGGACGAGGATGTCAAATCGAGAATCGGAAAGGCGAGAAACACATTCATCAACCTGAAACCAATCTGGAAATCTTCGTCACTCAACCCAGTCAGCATCAACAACAAAATTCGGATTTTCAATACAAACGTCAGTCAAGTCAGTCAGTTCTTCTATACGGATGGATCAGAAACTTAGCGGCGGGTCACAAAGAATGAGTATTTCCAACAGCCTGTTGCACACCTTTATCAACAACTAACTGTCTTCGCTGGCTGGCTCTATACTCAAGATCAGATGGCCACCGGAAAGAACAAGAACCAACAAGAAACTATGGGAACAAACAAAACAAGAAGCAATCGCCCAACAAATATGCAGGAGAAAGTGGAGATGTATTGGACACTCACTCACTGGCTGAGGAGGCCACTCGCTGGGTGACATCGCGCATCAGGCCGACGCTCGAGTGGAACCCGAAAGGGAAGCGGCGGCGAGTGGGACGTCAGTGCAAGGGTGACATGGAGGAGATCGTGTGAAGAAGAGTTGAAACAGTATGGACTAACATGGATGCAGGTGAAATGTACTGCAGAAGACTGAAGCAAGTGGAGACGTGCAGCTGAAGCCCAATTTTCCACTAGAAACCGAAGTGAACAATAATGATAATAAAGTAGCAACGCACCTATTTGTCAATGACAAGAGTTCCAAATAAACCACAAATATATCAAACTGTAATACCTAATGATTTTGATATGACACTGTTAAATATTTACAGTTTACGTTAAACTATTTCATGAGAAGAGAAACAATGAATATTAAGCATTTGTGGTGAGAGCTGTCTACTAGCCAAATTGGTAGACAGTAATTTACGTCAATGTTTACGTTCTCGAGATTTGTCGTGAGAAAATATGAACAAAGACTGATTCAAAACCGACCACAGCAGACTTTGCGTAGGCGGATGCAGTTAACATATAGAGGATTTGACATTCAAGAAACAGTCACAAATAGATGAAAGATTAACTTTACGTGAGAAACAACCAATCGGAAGACTGTGTTTGTTTGCTTAAATATCCATAGTAATGTACATGAAAATATATAAATATGCGTTGATTTCCTTAATAAATGATCTGTTGCCTGACCCTTGCCTTCTGTTGTTACACATTGACTGAGAGAGAGTAAATGCGAACCATTACAACTGAAAAAACATATAAACACATCCTATAAAATAGAAATGTACTCAAGCTTAAAATTTTTTAAAACATTAACTCAGCTATAGCGTATCAGTTTACAAAATAATAATTTTCACAAAACTCACTTGCAATCGTGTTTTTAAACTTTCCATTTCATTTTGTAAGGTTTGTTCTAATTTTTGATATTTTTGTAGCTCATTAGTTAACTGTTCAATTCTATTTTCACTAGTCTGTAATTGACGACGTATCTCACGTACACGTTCTAAGGCATTACTCTTTTCATGTCGTTCACGATTTAATATTTCATTCAGAGAATTTAATTCAGCTTGAAGGCGGGCGCCTTCTTCTCTTAGTTGAACAATTTGTCTAACTTCACCTGTAAATATTATACATATTGATATATATTAAAAATAAATTATAATCCTATAATAAACGATGCATCTATATATATATATATATCCTTTGAGTCCCGAGTGGAACGCTGGACTTCAGGCTTGCGTTCTGAAGTTTCACTAAGGATCTTTCTTCTTGCTAGGTAGGGAGGGAGGGTTGTTAGCTTTACACCCAACCTTCTGTCTTTACCGGGTAGGGGAGGTTATAAGAAGTGCGTGAGCTTGGGATTATTAGACCTGGAGTAGTAAGTGCTTGGTTGGCGAACATTCCTAACATTGCACCACTGATGAACATATATATATGTCCAATGTAAAATCAGCAACACATATACATGCAATACCAACCTGTTATACTCTCCTTTAAGATATATCCACAACACACATAATCAAGTAGACAGTGATTCAGGGGTTGATAGGATTGAAACCAGTGCCCATCCTAATATTAACTTCACAATGGAGTATGAAAAAGAGGAGAAGTTCCGTTTTCTTGGCCTGGGTATCCAACGAGATGTAGACGGCAAGATCATAAGATATATACACACAGAAAAGAGACCTGGAGGGCGGTTTATCTTAACCTCAAAAGTTTCTGTCCTATATGTTACAAAAAAGGATTAGTGAGAATATTATTTGATCGTGTAAGGAAGCTGTGTTCCGAAGAAAAGATTGAGGAAGAGCTATCCATTGTGGAGAAATGCCTATGCGACAACGGTTACCCACAAAAGTTCATCGACAAGTATCGGAGACGTCATGTTGAAAAAGTGAAAAGCAGCACAGTAGAGAAAAAGCCTATCTTTCTGCAGCTTGCATTCAAAGGTGATGATACTGCTAGTAGAATAAGATGCAGACTGTACGCTGCCCTGAAAAGAACATCTCCAGCCGCCAAGCTTGTATGTGTTTATCAAACAACTAGTTGTTTGAGACAATCAAAAGTGGACAAATACCCACCTCATGTTACCTCCAACTGTGTCTACCAATTTACATGTACGTGCCAAAGCACATACATCGGAAGAACAGAGAGAAGGGTTATTGTCCGCATTTCTGAACACATACCAAAGAACCTGAGACTGAAAGGTCCACAAGTATTAAACAGTGCAATTGCGCGTCATCTATTGGACACTGGTCATATTGTAGACAACTTGAAGTCGTTCAAAATAATCAACAAGCAAAAGAAACCTAGCTTGCTACGCTTTGCTGAAGCAATTGCTATCAAACGACTTAAACCAAATCTATGTACGCAGAAAGAGACAGTGGTGAATCTTGCACTGCCCTGGTGATAACAAAATATACAACTTGTATGAGTCACCCTTTTTCTTGTTTAGAAAACTCTACTCTCTCATCTAAACATGACTCACCCTATCTTGTTCTTTTCTCTCCCTTTTTTTCTATTGGCTATTAGATAAAACATTTTCTTTAGTTACGTAATCTACCTTTTTGTTATGCTCTTTCTAGCTAAACCTTGTTTCTATACACATATATATATATATGCAACTCTGTTTTTGTTTCCAAGCCTAATTGTCTAATTATTCTATAAATAGTCAGTGTTTGTAACTCTTAATTAGTTAAATCATTCCGGACTAATGTTACTTTTACTTCCTACCAATTACTCCTTGTGATCGTGGAAAAGTATGTTCAAATCTTTAATGTAATGTAATTCATATTTTTTATCGTTCAGGTTGTAACCAGTTGAGAAGAATCCTCGAAATAATAAAAGATGAGCTCATATTATCCTGGTACAATTGTTGTTCTTGCTTTGTTCAAGTTTATTAATGGGAAGAATTGCATGAAGTCTTTGAAACCATTTAGCTGAAAAGGTATGAATGCAAAAACAATACTTCTCTAGTGGTAGCTACCACCAGAAGGTAGGGAGGGCATTTCATCCTTTTTCAAATTCATCAACTGAATGTAGCTATTCTTCAGTAAGCAATAAGTCTCAAATAGGACGAAAGGCGCCTTCTGGATTCCACTGCTGGCCACCAGTAAGCAGTTAGCTCCGACTTATATTATTACCCCTGTTAATATCGGGGCATATATGTTGTTCATGGAGCCCATATAATAAAATTAAGCTATTCAACTTGTGTCCAGAAATATTAATATGGGAAATTACTTCACGAGTCAAACTATTACTTGTCGTCCTTATAATGATGGTCATTAGTCCAACCATTCCATATCAGTTTGTTTATTAGGTATATCACACAGTGAAACAGTATTATTTACTGGATGACACAGTTTCGAACAAAATTTATTGTTCATAATCATATCAATTGTGATCACACGACTTGGACACTTGAATTTTATAGCTTTCTTTGTCTTCTCCTATTTGTCGTCGTAGGGGTAGTAGAATTTTCCAGATATCTGGGTGGACAGGTGTTGAATCATTCCTATTACATGTATTTGCAGTTGATTCAATAAACAAAGCTTCTGTTATCAATCTCTCCCTCCACCCTGTAACATTAGATTTTAAAACTTTCATCCTATCCCATCCAGCCTATTTTATGGTTGTGTAACTGCATGTAGTGAGTGGAATAGCTGAAATATTCTCTAAATTTCTTATCTTATTCGGGTCAACCAATCTAGATTTTGCTAAGTTTTTATGTTCAGTTAGTCTGACTGCCCCTGTTCTACTAGTTTGACCTATGTATTTGACCTGACAATCATTGCAGGCGGGGTATTAGATAAACTAAATTGTTTTGTTTTAAAGGCTCTATAGGATCCTTTAGCCGACAAAGCTTGTTTCTAATTGAGTTTGTGTGTTTGAATGCCGTTTTTATTCCTGCCTTGTTCAGAATTCTGCCTAAAGCTTCTGAGGTTCTGAGGTACGGGCACAATGTGCACTAACATTAAAACGGCAAAAATGTGGAAAGCCTAACCTGACAAAACAAGAGATAGAAAGGAACCGTAGAAGCTTTAGGCAGAATTCTGAACAAGGCAGGAATAAAAACGGCATTCAAACACACAAACTCAATTAGAAACAAGCTTTGTCGGCTAAAGGATCCTATAGAGCCTTTAAAACAAAACAATTTAGTTTATCTAATACCCCGCCTGCAATGATTGTCAGGTCAAATACATAGGTCAAACTAGTAGAACAGGGGCAGTCAGACTAACTGAACATAAAAACTTAGCAAAATCTAGATTGGTTGACCCGAATAAGATAAGAAATCTAGAGAATAGTTCAGCTATAGCACTACATGCAGTTACACAACCATAAAATAGGCTGGATGGGATAGGATGAAAGTTTTAAAATCTAATGTCACAGGGTATAGAGAGAGATTGATAACAGAAGCTTTGTTTATTGAATCAACTGCAAATACATGTAATAGGAATGATTCAACACCTGTCCACCCAGATATCTGGAAAATTCTACTACCCCTACGACGACAAATAGGAGAAGACAAAGAAAGCTATAAAACTCAAGTTTCAAAGTCGTGTGATCACAATTGATATGATTATGAACAATAAATTTTGTTCGAAACTGTGTCATTCAGTAAATAATACTGTTTCACTGACTGTGTGATACATCTAATAAACAAACTAATATGGAATTACTTACTACCACAGTGCCCAAGTTTTACACATATATTAGTCCAACCAGCTTACCTTTTAAACTGCCTCTTTCTTGTTCTAAAGCATCTTTTAGTCTCTGGACTTCATTTGCTTCAGTCTGTAATTTATTCACTTGTTCGCTAGTTGACTGTAGTTCTGATTTCAGCTGACGTTGAGATTCTTTTGATGTTTTCAAGGTATCCGTCAGCTGTTCATAATCTTGTGTTAGCTTTTCATGTAAACATTGTAAGTGTTCATAGTCATTGGTCAGTTGAGATTTTGAAGTGTGCATTGTATCTAGTACAGCTGATAAATGATGAATTTCAGCTGAAAGAAAGAAAGAAATAAAAACACATAAACACACACACACATCAGCAGTAGTTGTTGTGCCTTGTCTAACTAAGGGTCTAGCGATCCAAGAGAAAGAATGAATGGTGAGAGCTGTCTGTTAGCCAAAACTGTAGACACCAGTTTACGTCAATGTTTACATCCCGAATAAAGGTCATGAGAAAAGACAATAAGAAAGTCAAACCTTGAGAAGCTCAACAACCAATCACAGAAGATTTTGCATGCGCAGGTACGATTCGCAGATATATGGCTCAACTTTCTAAGAAACGACCACAAAGAGATGATAGAAAAGAACCAATCAGAAGACGTTGCTTCTCCGCTAACAATAACGCTAATAATAATTATTATTATTATTGTATCCTTTAATTCCTAGAGGAACATAGGGCTTCAGCCGTGCGTCTACATTACATTCGGTTTTCTGCTACAGTCTTCAACAACCTCCAAGTCTGCCCACATGCTTTCATCTCCTCTTCACATCACCTCCTCCAAATCACCCACTCTCGCACTGACGAACAACTCGCCGATTCCCTTTCGGGTTCCACTCGAGCAATGACTTGTCTAGTGATGTCACTCACTTGATGGTTTGTTTTCTAAGAGTGTGGCCAGCCAATCCATCTTCATTTCTTCTTGCCTGTTTGTTTCACAATCGGTTCCTGATGAGTTGGTTCGCTCATTGCCAGAGATCCCTCTCTGTTGCTGATCTTTTCTGACCGGCTAGCTGATCTTGAGTGGTATTGAGCGAAGACAACTGTTAATGAAGGTCTGTAGTTTGTTTGAGATGCTCTTTAGGACGCGCAATGCAAGTCTCTGATCCATCCATATAGTGAGTAGCACTGACTGACTTCACATTGGAGTTGAAAATCCGGATCTTATCTTCGTTTTCATTCTGAGTAGGGCTGTTGACCTCCTCCACACAGACTTGAGATTAATGAAAGCTTGTCTTGCTTTCCCGATCCTCACTGTTTTGATATCCTCATCAGTTCCGTCCATTTGTAGTTGAAACGATGCTTCCCAGGTCGGTTGGTGAAGGAGGTTGTTTCTTTCAGGTTCCTTCCATTTATGCTGGCTTATTGTTGTCTGTTGTTGTTGCTGTTGGTGGTGTTGGTGTTGGCCAGGAATCTTCATCACCTCTGTTTTCTCTATGTTCACCTGAAGTCCTATCTTCCCTGGATACTTCTTCTGTTAACTTGTTGCTTTTCGCTTGCATATCTTCCAGTTTGTGGGAAATCAGACATATATCATCATCGGCGAAGTCCAGATCCTCCAGGTTCTTTTTTTGTGAGTCCATTTTATGCCTGCTTCCTCATTGCCGTCGCTGTTTGTCGCATTGTCCAATCTACTGCAATCAGGAAAATCATTGGCGATAGTAGGTAGCCAGCCAGCTTGTCTTACTCCTGTCCTCACTTCGAAGGATTCCGTAAGTTTCCCATTGTGGATTACTTGGCATGCAGGATTGTCGTACAGCTTTTGGATGAGATGTATAATTGTCGATGGCACCCCTTTGTAGTAGTGAAGTAGTTTCAAAAGCACCTCTCGATCGACGCTGTCGAAGGCCTTTTCAAAGTCGATGAATTTGAGATAGATAGGTGACTGCCATTCCAAGCTTTTTTCAATGACGATCCGTAATGTGGCGATCTGATCAATGCATGACTTGTTTCTCCTGAATCCAGCCTGTTCCGGTCGAAGGTTTTCATCCAGGGCATGTTTGATTCTCTCCAGGATGATGCGGCTTAGTATTTTGCTTGGGATGGACAGGAGCATAATTCCGCGCCAGTTCTTGCATTCACTTAGGTCTCCTTTCTTTGGTAGTTTGAATAAGTATCCTTTCTTCCAATCCTCGGGTACTTTGCCTTCTTTCCGCACCTTCTCCAGTAGTGGCGTCATCAAGTCCGCTGTTGTCTCCGGGTCCGTTTTCAATGCTTCTGCTAGGATTCCATCTGGTCCTGCTGCTTTGCCAGCTTTTAGCATCTTGATTGCCTTCAGGACTTCTGATTTCGTCTGGGGGTTGGTTTTCACTGGTAGCTCTGTCTCCGTTGTTGGTATTGTTGGGCGCGTTGTAGGTGGTGGTCGATTTAGGAGTCTTTTGAAGTGTTCATCCCAGTGTTTCCTTTGCTCCACTTCTTTGGTGAGTGACTTTCCATTGTCATCCTTCACCGGCTTGATTTGTGTCAAACGTTTGCCCGATAGGTACCTAGTAGTTTGGTAGAGTGTTGCGAGGTCTCCTTTGCCTGCAGCTTGTTCTGCCTCACTTGCCATGGTTTCATAGTACTTTCTTTTGTCTTCTCTTGCACTCTTCTTTACTCTTTACGCTAATAATAATGTACATAAAAATCTATAATCTATAAATATCTGTTGATTTTCTCAATAAACGATCTGTTGCTTGTCCCTTGTCTTTTGTTGTTGTTGCAAAGGCACCAATCACCTCCTATCGCGCAAAAAGATCAAGGTAAGGAATCCAGGTAGGAAAAATCAAACCATATTCGCGAAGAATTGCTGAAAAAAAACGCAAGAATATTAAACAGGACGCCTTTCTTGATACTTTCCTTTCCTCATTTCCTGGGTTGATGCGATTGGCCGTTTAAAAATGCTTTTAGTGAATCCTTTCCCTTGGGTGGCTATTCTTTAACTTTTCAAAATTAACTCCTGACAAAGTTTTATCATCTTTTTCGGGATCATCTAGTTTTGTGTGTATTTTGCGTTTAGTAGATTTGTTAGGTCAAGTTATCATATGAATACATATGAAAATTTCAAAAACAATCAACTTCCCTTTTGATATGTTATTTTTCAATAAAGAGGAGGAATTCTATATTGGCAGGTTTATTATAAAATGCAGACCACAACACAGTGAAACAGTACTACTTCACTGGATGATGTCTGGAACACAGATCTAACTCCACAACTTTGAAAAATGATTTCTAATCTTCCAATCGCCCCTTGTCCAAATGTCTTAGATATAGTAGAATCCTCTAGATGTTTGGTACATGTATTGAATCATCTTTATTGTATGTATTCCTAATCGATTTGGTAAACAAATATTCAGCAACCAGAATATCTCTCCACCCTTTTGCGTTAAAGTTTTACGACTGCCACTTTGTCTTAACCTACTGTGTAGTAGTAGCGCGAAATTTCTTACGTTAGTAATCTCTACTAATGTGGATTTCGCTACGGCTCTTGTGTTCTGTTAATCTAATTGATCCTGATCTACTCTACTTTGACCCCACATCACTCACTTGGCGAATATTGTTACTATTATTCCCTTGAGTACCAAGTGGAATATATACCTTCAGCAGCCCATCTCCGTTTTACACTGTTCTCTGAAGTCTTCAATTTAGCTAGCTCCCAGATTGCCCACAAGCTTCCATCTCCTCTTCAAACGATCTCCTCCATATCATCCATACACCAACGCTCAACTCGTTCTTACCAGTTTGGCTTCCACTCGAGGACGTGCACTATGGATTTCATTGCTAGCAACCATCATCAACCGAATAATAATTCTCGTGTTAAATAGAAAATAGAAGTAACAATGGAGATAGGAAATTCTCGACAACGCTTTATTTCCTGAATATTCTTCAAGTAAAATTCATCTATAATGATAACATAAGATTATTAAAAGAGAAATCAGAAGTTAGCAATTACTAACAAACAATTTATCAAGAGATTCAATCGCCCATACAGTAAAACAATACACCCGAGATAGTAACTTACATTCAAGTTCACTTATACGTGTAGACAGACTAGAGTTTTGACCTTGGAAACTATCCACTTGACTATGCAGTGTAGTATTTTCCACTTGTAAACGAGCATTTGTACCAATTAATTCAGCTAGCTGTCTTTGAACTGATACAGATTGTTCCTGAAAATTACTAATACGACTTTCTAAATTTTGATTATTTGCTTTAATATTCTCAGCACGTTCATTTTCATTTTGTAAGGCTTCACCAAGTCTAGCATTCTATCCAAGAGAAATTCATAAAACATTGGATCTTACTTTTCATTGAAGTATCAAGAGGCAAATAATTTATGAGAGATTATGGAATTTTAAAAAATGTTTTTATATCGCACGAGTTTAACATATTCTTCTGATTCCTTTGAGTGTCGAGTGGAACACAGGGATTCAAGCTTTCGAAGTTTTAGTGGTGGTGATGATGATGAGTTTTTCAAAGGATGACATTGCTAGCCTCCCGCCCAACCATCCCTTTTTTCGTTGCCTAATGGGGCAAGGTTTATGAATGTGTTAGCCTGGAAAGGAACTCGGATCACATGTGTGGTTGGGGTGAGTCCTACCATTGAACTACCGACGCCTGAACATATTTAAATAAGTGTTATTTCATAACCCTATCCATCAACTAAACAAACATGGGAGGTATTGAACATTTGTATTGTCTTGTTTCATGACAGCATTCGCAGTCTCAACTGGATTTGAACCAGGAATCACCAGACTTTGCGATAAGCAATTCATCACTAAGTCAATAGGCTTTTTAAAGCTTGTAAATCATTCAACACCGAAATTTACTGATTACAAATGTAAATTCTACCAAAAATACTCATGCTAGTAAATGATGAATGGTTTTACAACGAAACGATGGTCGGTCGAAGCTTATCTCCGTAAGGAAACAAAGGCTATTAGGCCTAAAGGTATGTGGTACTGTATGGATATACGGATTAAACAAGTGAAATTAAATATCTCTTTGAAAACCTGAGTTCTCACTGGAATATATGTAAATGTAGCTTTAGGAATAATCATTAAAGATCACTAGCGCAAACGGGATCGACCGTCAGTAGAAAATGTCAACATGGCAAGATGTTAGTTTTAAATCAAAACTTCAATTATTTACCACTATTCTGTTGCATTCAATCTCTTTCTATCCTCATCTAGAATACTCTTCAAATCGCTTCATATATATACTGTGATATATACTGCTTGTAAGTAGTATATATAGTGACATCTTTGCAGAAGCGATGAAGAGGAAATGCAGAAGTGGAGTAAAGACACTGAGAAGCACATCGAATAAGAAACAGACAAGGAAACTTACACATTCACAAGCGAAAACCCCCAAGTTAACAGAAAAAGTAACAAAGATAAGTTTTCAGGTGACCATAGAGAGAGGAGACAGAATTGTTGAAGATATCCAACCAACCATAACGAATACCAATCACCATCAATGGTAGAAATCTAAAGGAAGTCGTCTTTTTCACCTAAATGATATGGACAGCGGCGTCGTTTCAACTACAGATGGTTGGCATGAATGAGGAAATTAAAACCAGCCAGTTAAACAGGTTTCATTATCCTGAAAACAGTTTGGAGATCTTAATATATGTGTAAAACTTGCGCACTGTGGTAGTAAGTTATTTCATATTAGTTTGTTCATTAGATGTATCACACAGTCAGTGAGACAGTATTATTTACTGGATGACGTTTCGAACAAAATTTATTGTTCACAATCATAGCAATTGTAATCACACCACTTCGAAACTTGAGTTTTATAGTTTTCTTTGTTTTCCCTTATTTGTCGTCGTCGGGGTAGTAGAATTTTCCAGATATCTGGCTGGACAGATGATGAGTCATTCCTATTACATGTATTTGCAGTTGATTCGATAAACAAAGCTTCTGTTGACATCAATCTCTCTCTCCACCCACCCTGTGACATTAGGTTTTAAAACTGTTATCCTATCCCATCCCATCCTATTGTATGGTTGTGTGTTACTGCATGTAGTGCTATAGCTGAGCTATTATCTAGATTTCTTATCGTATTCGGGTCAACCAATCTAGATCTTGCTGCTGGGTTTTTATGTTCAGCTAGTCTGATTGTCCCTGTTCTACTAGTTTGACCTATGTATTTGACCTGACAATCATTGCAGACAGGGTATTAGATAAACTAAATTGTTTTGTTTTAAAGGCTCTACAGGATTGATCCTTTAACCGACAAAGCTTGTTTCTAATTGAGTTTGTGGTTGGTTTGAATGCCGTTTTTATTCCTGCCTTGTTAAGAATTCTGCGTAAGGTTTCCGAGGTTCCTTCCTTGTATGGAATTACTACTGATGATTTAGATTCTTTATTGTTGGTGTCGTCATTAATATTATTATTATCACTATAATTATTATCATTATTATTGTGAAGATCTACAACATTTAGGAGAAACAAGAAAATACTAATTTTTAATACTAATTTCAAGATAGAACTTCTATGTTCTTCCGAGGTTAGGCACACAGACACACACCACCAAAAGCATTCCCAACAGGCAACTACAGACTTTTAGCAATACTAGCCTTCACTGGATCAATACTGAAGATCAAATAACCTCTAGAAAAGATAAGCAAAATCAAACTCCTGAAACGAACCAGTCAACAACCTACTGCCTAACAAATATGCAGAAGGGAATGAAGAAGGACTGGATATACGCTGAGGAGACATTCAAGTGAGATCACACACCATGCCTCCGAGTAGCATCTTAATGGGAAATGAGACAAGTTGCCTGTTGATCCGGGGATGACATAGAGCAGATCATGTGAAGAGGAAATGAAAACTGGTGGACGGTCGTCGACCTCATTGAAAGTGCTGACAGAGATCCGAGTGCAATTAAGATATTTACCGCTGAACCCCTATATCCCGCTCGAAACGCAAGGAATAAATAACAATATAAGGTGATCAAAAGGAGACGGATAAAACAGCTTCCTTTTCTATATGGTGATGATAAAGTGTTGAAGACAGTTCAGCAGTAACAGGCACGCTGAAGCCGGGACTGTTACATTCTTCAGTGCAATCCTAAATTAAACCGCATATATCAAGCATCAATATCAAAAAGATACCAGTTAATCAGATCATTTTTTATCAGTTCAAATAGACAGACAAACACACTCACTTCACGCTCAAGTTCAATGACACGATCTTTTAGTTGTACTAAAATCACAGAGCTCTCTTTTGTAGAAATGTCAGTAGCAGATGTTGTTCGTGATCTCTCATATTCTTCTATTTTCTGACTTTTAGCCTTCAGTTGATTCTGTAATTCAGAATTTTTTACCTGAAGACTATTCAATTGTTGTTTAATAAGATCAATTTCTTCATTTTTATTATTTATATCAATAGTCAATTGGTTGATGAAACTTTTTATGAATGCGTCTAATAATTTAGTTTGTCTGAAATAAAAGAAATAAAGATAAAATTCACAAATAAACTGGTTTGAAATATATATATATATATATACTCCATATGTATTCACAGTTTAACTACTCCTACGGGTTGTAGACTTTCATCAACAGCTGCCCACTTCGCTCCATACTGAAGATCAAATGGCCAGAAAGAATAAGCAAAAAGAAACTATGAGAACAAACCAACAGGAAAGAGCCGATCGCTCAACAAATATGTAGGAGAAAGTGGAGATGGATCGGGCACACACTGAGGAGGCCGCCGAATGACATCGCACGCCAGGCCATAGCTCGAATGGAATCCAAATGGGAAGCGACGAGTGGGTCGTCAGTGCAAGGCTGACATGGAGGAGATCATGTGTGTTGGAGAAGAAGAGAGAGTTTGGTCAACCGTGGACCCAGATGAAGAGGACGGCAGAAAACAGAACAGAACAAAGTGGAGATGTGTTGTTGAGGCCCTATGTTACACACGAAACCCAGGTGAATAATAATAATAATAATAATATGTGAGATTTGAAAACTTCCAAGAAAGCGGTAAAATCTATGACTTCAATAATGCCGTGTTCATTCCAGAATTGATTAAATCCAAATATAATTGTACTACACATACAAGTTCATACTTTAGTCATCTGAGTCCTATCGATTCAGCAGCTGAAAAACGTAGTTGAGGTTAGGTGTCGAGTGCTAGGTAAGGAGGGGAAATCAGTCGACGAGACTGTGATGGTTAGGACATGTGTTTCGTATGCCTAGTCATCGCCTTCCTCAACAATGGGCAATGTTACCTGATATAGGGTCAGGCTGGAAAAGAGCTAGCCAGTGGCGGTCAAACGAAAACATGGCACCAGTCAATGAAATCTACAACAGTTAGTCTAAGCCAGCCACGTAGGAAGGTGTAGACTGGCTTCCTGACTGGTTGGGGTCCTCGGGACGGTGAAAACCAATGGTTGGAAACAATTGGTGACATGGCTCAAAATCGTTCTCAATGGCTGGCGCAGATGCATCCACTCCTTGTGACTTATGATTTCCAATGAAACTGTTTTGTTCTTCGTTATTACTATACCTTTGTCTCACACCTCTGTTTACTGTCTATATTATGCATTTCTCCTACTTTCTTCTGTTGCTTTGTGTGCTACAAGGAGGGAGTGTGGCGACTTGAACTGGTGCACATCAGTGCAGAGTTCTTTGTCGAAAACAGACAGACAGACAGACAGTTGTCAATGCAGCACTTCAACATAAAAACGTGATACGTTTCCCAATGTGCCAAGCAACTTAGCTTGTTACAAAGCAATCACCAACTGGTACATTCCCAATATATATTCTAGTTCACCCTCAAAACACTTACTTACTGGAAAGTTAGAATGTTAATAACTTAAACAAACCTTGCACAAACAGTCTTCATGTGAAAAATGATGATATTTTAAAACAATGCGAAGAAGAAAAAATTAACTTACTCCATCGAGTTTTCTTTTGAGCTTAGTTCAACCAGCCAATCTTTTGGTAGTCCATATTTCTCAAAGCCTACTTGAATACATTTCAATTCTGAAGTACGCTTTTGTAATTGAATTTTCTCCATGATCAATTCATTACGCAACGCTGATACTGTTTTCTGTTCAATATTAACCTACAATAATGAGAATAAAAATTGTAAGAATAATGATGGTGATCTTTTGTCTCTTTTAGTTACGTCAAAAGAATGACTAAAATTCATTAAACAGTCATTTCATCCTTGTGGTCTGCATCTCAGACATGTACATGTTCACAAACATCTAATGCAGTAAAAAGCCAAAGCCAGAACTGAAACGACAGACGTACCATGAGAAATCCATTATTATTATTATTATTCCCTTGGGTTCCTAGTGGAACATAAGGCTTCAACTACACACCTCCACTTGCTTCTGTCTTCTAATGCACTTTTCACCTGCGACTATGTTAGTCCATACTGTTTCAGCTCCTCTTCACACGATCTCCTCCATGTTACCCTTGCACTGACGTCCCACTCGCCACTGCTTCGCTTTCAGGTTCCACTCGAGCGTTGGCCTGACGCGCGATGTCACCCAGCGAGTGGCCTCCTCAGCCAGTGAGTGTCCAATCCATCTCCACCACTTCTCCTGCATATTTGTTGGGCGATTGGTTCTTGTTTTGTTTCTTCCCATAGTTTGTTTCTTGTTGGTTCTTGTTCTTTCCGGCGGCCATCTGTGATCTTCAGTATAGAGCCAGCGAAGACAGTTAGTTGTTGATAAAGGTGTGCAACAGGCTGTTCGAAATACTCATTCTTTGTGACCCGCCGCTAAGTTTCTGATCCATCCGTATAGAAGAACTGACTGACTTGACTGACTTGACGTTTGTATTGAAAATCCGAATTTTGTTGTTGATGTTGAGGAGTGACAGCGGAAGATTTCTAGATTGGTTTCAGGTTGATGAATGTGTTTCTCATCTTCCCGATTCTCGATTTGACATCCTCGTCCGTTCCTCCTCCTCATGTAGTTGAGACAATGCTCCCTAGATAGGTGAGTGAATGAAGTAACCTCTTTCATCAAATCCCTCCCGTTGATGGTGATTGGCGGTGGATGTTGCTGATGCTGTTGTTGTTGTTGGTTGGTTATTTTCATAACCTCCATCTTGTCTATGTTCACCTGGAGTCAGTCCTGTCTTCTCTGGCTGCTTCCTCGACCAGTTTGTCGGCTTTCGCTTGTAAGTCTTCGATTTTGTGTGACATCAAACATAAATCATCCACCGCGAAATCCAGGTCTTCTAGGTCCATACTCATACAGAAATCTCCCACCACAGATTCCTAATCTGAAATTTTCCTTAAATTATGATACTAAAAATGTAAGACTGTATTTAAAATTACAGGACAATAGAGGCTTTTTTGCACTATTTTCAATATAGATTTCATCACAAACCAACCTCAGTTAGAGCCATTGAAAATCAAGGAGCCCTGGGCAGCTGCTTCATCCCAGTTTGGGACTCTTTAGCAGTGTGTGCCCACGAAGCCCCAGGAACCGAACCCATGACCTTCAGGTTACAAGCCCAACCCTTCGACCATTCAGCGACTGAGTTAAAAATTCAATGACCCATGAAGTCTAACTTCTAATCAACTGATGTCATAGATGACCGCGCCCATTTCATCCTATTATGGTGGACTCTAGTGGTCACTACTTATTAGGACTGAAGAACAAGCAGAAGGTCTCGGGTTCGATTCTTGGTAGGTAGGTCGTCAGTGTAAGTAAGTGTCTGAGGAGTCCCAAACTAGGGTGAAACAGACATTCAATGCTCCGTGATCTTCATTGACTCTCTAACTGATTTTGGTTCGAGACGAAATATACACTGAAATTAATCTAAACCCCTACAAGACCGATACTCTTGTTATATTAATATTTAGAAGCTCGTCAATCAGTCTCCAATGTACAGCTACAATTTGTGATATGCAAGAAACTGTTCAGCCAGAACGCGAAAGACAAGCTATCGGCATTGGGCCACTTCAACGTGCATATACCAGTTTACTTGCTCGTGCGGAGCTGAGTACATCGGACGTACCATGCGCCAACTTGAAAAACGCCCTCGCTAACACTAATTTGTTATATTTTTACCAGTTATAATATGACTCTTTACCGGAAATATTTCTGAAACTTTCTCACCCCCTTATAATATATACACGAATGTCCAGCCTAGTTGATGCCTTCGTCGAAAAGAAAATTTTCCTCTCTGCTACCGTCTTTCTAGTTTTTCCTATTTTTTACACTAGATAGAACTAACCATCAAGTGAGTTCACTAAAATGATCTAAGGCATTTCATACTTGTTTGGAGGATTTCATCATGGGCTGACATCAGTTAGAGAACCATTAGAAACCATCTGGGAGTACTGGACAGCTGTTTCGTCCCAGTTCGGGACTCTATCACAGTACACACCCACTGCCACGTTTCGAACCCAGGACCTTCTGTCTACAAGCGAGCCAGCTCGTAGACCATTAAGCCACTGGGACCCCAACCAATGGCCTGTAAATTCTAACTTCTGCCAATTCACGACATAGCGCAACCGCTAGCCAATGTCTTCTTCGGTGAGTTACTGTCCTCACCTGCGACCTGCTGTACCCTACTGGTCACGGCTTCCCACCAGAACCCTAGGTAACTGCCTACCTGAATAGGGCCAGTCGCTAGTGGGCATCAGATGAATTTTCAAGTATTGCTCTTTGTAGGAATTTTGTTTCATTGGTTGGATGATTTCATCGGTTAGAGAACAATTGGAAAACCAGCTACTGGAGTACTGGACAGCTATTTCGTCCTAGTTTGGGACTCCTCACAGTACGCACCCACCACCAGGGTTCGAACCCAGGACCTTCTGGTTACAAGGCGAGACAGCTCGTAGACCATTTTTCATATATCTACAAATAGAATAAACACTCACCTGTTGACATAATTCATTTCGTTGTTGTTCACTATCGTGCAGCTGACTTTCATTTTGTTTAATTGTACTATTTAATTTTAAAATTTGTGATTCTAACTGTTTCACTTTTTCTACTGCATCAGATAAATTTTGATCTGGTTCAGATTCTCTTAATTCTCTACGTAGTTTACGTACTTCTTGATCCGATGATCGAAGTGAAGCCTTTAAATGATTTATTTCTGATTCTAGCTGACATATTTGTTGTTTTGCACGTTCATCTGATTCTTTCATAGCAGATCTACGAGAGAGAGAGATTAAAGCAAAGAAGAACAACAGAAATAAAGTTTGCAGGGACCTTACCGATTAGGAAGTTTAAGCCCCTTTAACAATCAGAAACAATTATCATCACAATAAATTCTTATAACATGAGCGTGTATGACCAGACTATTCGAAATAATTATACACAATTCAGATAAATTGTCTTATTCAATTGGTGGATGGTGACCAGCAGTGGAATCCAGGATAACGCGCATTTCGTCCCATTTGGGACTCGTCACTGGGTGTACCTGCATTCCCCAGTGAGTGATGGTGGAACACATTGCCTATATTTTCAAACGCCAAAGCGTTATCCACTAGACCACTTTCACAAGAGGTGGCTCTCGTGGCCCGAGTGGTCCATCCAGTTGATAATGCTTTGGCGTCTGAAACTAGAGGGCACTGCGTTCGAGCCTCGGTGGAAACACCATCACTCACTGGGGAATGCAGGTACACCCAACTGACGAGTCCCAAATAGGACGAAATGTGCATCCTGCATTCCACTGCTGGTCATCATCCACCAATTGACTTCAAGTTACATGACCAGACATTGTCGAAGCATCTGTACAGGGAGCCAATATGTCAACCTGACACCAAGCACTTCGGTTGAATCAATCGACGGAAAAATCTAAAATTGATTGATCCAATTAAACATGATGGTTAAAACAAAGAGCTTGTAGTGCACCTTCCTGGCACTGGCATACGACTAGGGCAAAATACACAGATTAAATTAAATAAGCCGACGTTAAACTATAGCAGCCACGAGGATACATGATCTTCGACAACCAATTAGATTCACCTGTTTATTAAAATCAAATTATGCCTTCTGTTCTGGATTTGCGTAACGAGTTCCTGGATGGTCGATTGTTTGATTACTGTGTGAATAGTGGATTGACAGAATTTTTAATAAAAAAAATGGGTATGAGGTGGGGTGGCGGGTGGTGGTCATCAGGAATAACCAGTCTCCAGGAAGGATTGGATTTTGAAGCAGATCAGAGAAGAGAATCAGATATATATAAACGGATCTTAGAACGCTATGATCTATAGTCATCCTGCTATAGTTTATCTTCCCCCTAAATACTAGCCGGATGATGAAAGTCTAGCTTGCCTCCAGATCCTTAAGGTGGTCTAAGTTTTGCTTCAATAAGTACACATCCAGCCGGTCAACACGCACATTCTCAGAGTCTCTAACAATTTTTCCCTAAAATAACCACAACCGTTATTCTATCCTGCTGTTTCGACGGTATTCTTGAATCTTTTCGATCAGTCTTTCGTTATCAGTACTTACAAGTTAAGCAGGCTACTGTTTAATCGGATAATAGAGCACAATGAGTTCAGTAAGAAGAATGACTAAGTGATATATGATGACAACTCAGATGACATTCAACTTACAAGCTAATCACTTTTAAAATTACTCTGAGACACCATAGAATTACCTACTAAATCAAGAGATATTCAAAACTTTACACAAACAGACGATTTTATACATAAATTTTCCAAACCAGCACCAGTGGGTGCGTACAGATGAAGAGTCCCAAGCTAGGACGAAACAGCTGGTTATCCAGTACTCCGAGCTGGTTTTCCAATGGTTCTCTAACCAATGTCAGCTCATGATGATTTCTTTCAGTTCCGGGTAAAACACAAAACTTCAGGCTTTTGAAGTGTTACTGTCAGTGGTGTTGTTTTTCCAACTTGATGTTGCTGGCCTCGATGCCCGACCTTCCTTCTTTTCCAGACTTACTACGAGCTAGTAAAGTACGCGAAGTTTACGAGCGTGTCAACCAGGAGTCGAACCCAAGCCTCCTTCCTGGAGAACCGGAAAGCATTCCACTATTAAACCACCACAGGACACAGATCAAATTTTACTCAGAAAGATAATAATTAGACTTACTCATGCGCTGATTCTTCACTAGCCAATTTAGCTTTAATTTCTTCGAAATTTTTACGAAAAGTATCTCGTTCTACTTCTAAACGTTTAATTTCTGAATCCATTTTATTCAATTCTACTTCATAATTAACATATCCACCTCTTCTACGTCGATCACGATGACGTGAATTCGGTGGCATACTGATTGTTTTTCTGCGTAGTCTTGATACACCTAAGCATTCGGGGGATGTTTCTTCAGTTGAATCACCTGTTTTATTACCACTGTCAGCTTCTTCATCTTGTAAGTCGACAGTACCGCCTTCTTCATCATCCGCTTGATCATCTTCTGAATCATATAATCGCTGTGATGATTGTAAACTTTGTTGTAGCGTATTCAAACGACTTGATAAGTTGTCACGTTCTATTTCAACCTAAATTATCAATAAAAACAAAAATGAAAACACATCGGCGATAGAATACAGAAAAGATTAGTAACTTTTCTTAAGTCAGTAACATCATTAAAACTCTCAAGTTTCTTTGCCATAGAATCAGGTAACAAAACTGCTTTTGACAATATTGAAATAATCATCCAGAAAAACTTCAGAAATCATAAAGAACGTCTAATATCATCAGAAGCACTTCATATCAAGTGGAATCCAAATTGTCTGAACTGAATAGGAATGATGGACTAAAACAGAATCTGACCTGGTTACAACACCTCCCTCCCCCATCAAGTGACAAAATCAACACGAGTGTGATATGCAAGTTCACTATGTAAACACACACTGCCTTTATAATTTTAAACATTGATCAAATCCAACAATCCACACTCGATTTTGTTATCGTTACCAAATGACCAACTTGACAACGAAAAATGACTGCAGACTAACGAACGATGATCAAGTTAGTAAACTTTATTTTAATATCATAACAGATGTACTATTACCTTTGTTATTTGGTTTAGTGATCTTCATTGGTGTTTTAACTTTCAATATGTCCTTTTAACTTGACCTAAGTCTATTTTCTCACCCCTTAACTCTTTGTTATATATTTTCTATAGTTTGGTTTGTAAGGGTTAGTTATGTTTTTACGAGTTGATCACGGATTGATATCAGTTAGAGAACCATTGAAAACCAGCACTGGAGTACTGGACAGCTGCTGTTTCATCCTAGTTTGGGAATCATCGGCAGTACGCACCCACTGGGGTTCGAACCCAGGACCTTCCGGTTACAAGGCAAGCTCGTATACCATTCAGCCACTGGGACCCGATTCAATGGCCAGCCCATGAATTCTAACTTCTACCAATTCGTGATTTAGCGCGACCCCAACCATTGTCGTTGGTGGAACATCCATTCACACACGTGACATCTAATTGGACCTCACTGGTCACGACTTCTCACTAGAACTCCAGGAAACTCTATCCTGTAGCAAGTCACTAGCGAGCATCAGATTAATTTTCTATAGTTTGGTTTGTAAGGATTAGTTATGTTTTTACGAGTTGACCAAGGATTGATATCAGTTAGAGAACCATTGAAAACCAGGGAGTACTGGACATATATATGCTGAGATTTTGTAAATTCCGGTTTAATAATACTTTGATACAGCTATTGGAAGTATTAAATAGCGAAACGTCAGTAAAAGTAACAATATCGTTTTTTTTCATTCATTGGGAAATACAAAAAACCTCTTATTATAATGAATATCATATACCCAATGCCCAAATTTTTTCAAACTGTTAAAAGTGAACTTGGTTTGGACATATATAACACTTATATTAGTTTTAATATTAAAAGTTAAAGTTCTTGTTGACGCTTGCCAGAAGCCTCTATGAACTCGTCTTCAGCTTTGGCGCTAAGAAACCATCATCTTATGCAATACCGAAATATGAAACTCAATTACTAAGCTATTTCAAACTACAACTGACCACCCATACACGACTGGACTGCATAACTATCAAGTTCTGAGTTTTCAGAATATTCTGTGAAAGAACATATAAACATATTAACGAAACACAATGCGGTATGACCTTTACTTTGATTGGACACTAGTCAGTAACTAGTGTAATTTGTCTGGTCCTTCCTTTGGTGCAGACTGATATCTATCAGTCAGTCATGTTTGTAACGTGGCCACCATTCTAAGTAGCTCACCATCACGGTGAACATTGATTTGATGATATATTAGATGGCTGGAGGCAATCGGCCACAGGAAGCCTTGCTCAACCTTGGTTTCGTGCTAGCTGGCAGTCACCAGTCAGCAAGGCGGCGTATCTGCAACCTTGAAGGAACTCATGTCCCTTCTGAGATTCAAACCCACATCACCCAGTGAGTACTGCAGTCAGAGACGTTACCACTGAGCTATTCGAGCTCGCAGTTGACCTCCTGTAGGACTGTAGGGGATATTTTGACTGCAGCACTGGGTGACGCGGGTTCGGATCTCAGAAGGGACATGAAATCCCTTCAAGGTTGCAGATACGCCTTGCTGACGACTGGTGAGTGCCAACTAGCACGAAACCTAGGTCGTGCAAGGCTTCCTGTGGCCGATCGCCTCCAACCATCTAATATCATCAAAAGTGAAGATGTGTTGTCGAAGCCCTATTTTCACTCGGAACCCTAGGGAATAACAATAATAATAAAGTCTTGAAAGACTATTGATAAAGTCTGAGTCATCACGGTGAACATTGATTCGATGACATATTAGATGGTTGGAGGCAATTGGCCACAGGAAGCCTTGCTCAACCTTGGTTTCGTGCTAGTTGGTACTTGTCAGTCAGCAGGGCGTATCTGCAGTCACCTTGAAGGAACTCATGTCCCTTTCCAGTAAAGGTTATAATGATAATAACAATGATTACAATCAATCGCTTACTTGAGCTGTCTTCTGAATAGCAGTAAATAAGGCATTCTGTAATTGTTCACATTTATTTTCAATTTGTCTTAGCCTTATAACTTCGCTTTCCATATTTGTTGAATTTTCGCATACAGTTCGTATAGCCGATAATTGTGTTTGTAAACGAGCACAATTGCCTTCAGCTGCTACAAGAGCTATTTCCACATCTGTTTGTCTAAAGGGGAATGAATAAATATAAGCAAATTAAGTAAATGAAATAATAAGTAAACGCATAAAAAACAATATCAAGACAATTTAGAAAAAAAAATCCCCATTTAGACATTTAGAAAACAGAAAGATTGAGCGAAGAAATATTTTGCTTTTCAATTAGATCCTCATCTCATTCTGGCTCTACTCTAATATATATATAGCATTCTAATTCCAATACACAACAGTTTACCAATCAAGTGGCACTGATATGCTTGTTAACAATAATAATAATAATTATTATTATTTCCTTTAGTTCCTAGAGGAACATAGGGCTTCAGCCATGCGTCTCCATTGCGTTCGGTTCTCTGCTAGAGTTTTCACCTGGCTCCAAGTTTACCCACACGCTTTCATCTCCTCTTCACATGATCTCCTCCAGGTCACCCTTGGACGACCAACTCGTCGCTTCCCTTTCAGGTTCCATTCGAGGGCTTGTCTAGTGATGTCACTTGCTGGTTTCCTCAGAGTGTAGCCAATCCATCTCCATTTCTTCCTGCCTATATTTGTTTCACAATCTGTTCCTGGTTGGTTCGCTCCCAGAGATCTTTGTTGCTGATCCTTTCCGGCCATCTGATCTTGAGTATTGAGCGAAGACATCTGTTAATGAAAGTCTGTAGCTTGTTTGAGGTGCTCTTTGTGACACGCCAAGTCTCTGATCCGTATAGTGGTACTGACTTCACACTGGAGTTGAAAATCCGGATCTTATTTTTGACGCTGAATGATGTTCACCTCCACACAGACTTGAGAGTAATGAAAGCTTGCCTTGCTTTCCCAATCCTTGCTTTGATATCCTCGTCAGTTCCGTTCTCCTTTAGTTGAAACGATGCTTCCCAGGTCGGTTGGTGAAGGAGGTTGTTTCTTTCAGGTTCCTTCCATTTATGCTGGCTGATTGTTGTCTGTTGTTGTTGCTGTGGCTGTTGGTGTTGGCCAGGGATCTTCATCACCTCCGTTTTCTCTATGTTCACCTGGAGTCCTATCTTCTCCGGATGCTTCTTCTGCCAACTTGTTACTTTTCACTTGCATATCTTCCAGTTTGTGCGAAATCAGACATATATATGTTATCGGCGAAGTCCAGATCCTCCAAGTTCTTTTTGTGTGAGTCCATTTTATGCCTGTTTCCTCATTGCCCACTGTATGTCGCATTATTCAGTCTACTGCAATCAGGAAAGTCATTGCCGATAGTAGGCAGCCAGTTTGTTTTACTCCTGTCCTCACTTCGAAGGATTCCGTAAGTTTCCCGTTGTGGATTACTTGGTATGCAGCGTTGTCATACAACTGTTGGATGAGATGTATAATTGTTGGTGGCACCCCGTAGTAGCGAAGTAGTTTCCAAATCACCTCTCGATCGACGTTGTCGAAGGCCTTTTCAAAGTCGATGAAGTTGAGATAGAGAGGTGACTGCCATTCCAAACTTTGTTCAATGATGATCCGTAGTGTGGCAATTTGATCAATACATGACTTGTTTCTCCTGAATCCAGCTTGTTCTGGTCGAAGTTTTTCATCCAGGGCTTGTTTGATCCTTTCCAGGATGATTAGTCAGTGTCAACATGTCAATGGCGTGATAATTAACGAAGAAAATCAATACACACAATTAAAAGGTATAAATGGTTAGAATAAATTAATTTTACAAGGATAACACGTAATTAAAGATGAAGTGGTAAGAAAAATGATAAAATAATTTGGACAATTATAATTTTTATAATTTTAAAGGTTTAGGGGGAGAGGGGCGAAGTAGTCCTGTTTATACAGTCATGTAACGATGGCCAAGGCAAGGAAAGTGGCTGCACAAATTTCTTATGAACACATACAGGTTTGGCTTCTTCAGGTGGATTCCGATTGCGTCAGCTGTGTGTGTAGAAGACGAACTCGTAGAGCAAAATTAAGATTAGTAGGAATGCGATAGATAATTTTAAGTGCTGTATTAACATCAACCTTGTGCTCAATATCTACAAGGTCTGCTATAATAGAGCTACGAATAGATCTTGTTTGTCTCTTGCTTAACCATGCTGCAGGATGATGTTCGGAAATACGATGATGAACCTGCCTAATTGTACGCCCAATGAAGCTGGCTCCGCAGCTGCAGTCAAACTGGTAGATACACATAGAAAAGGCAAATTTAGGTAGTTTATCCTTATTTCTCGAACATAGAATACGGGTGGTTATGAAGAGACAACATACCTCTGCTGCATAATAAGTAAGCTCTTTTAACTGCATTCTTCAGGCGCTGTGTTATTATTTTGCTGATGTTGTCACCAAGGAACTGCAGTTTTATGAACATTGGTTTTTTCGGAACTGCTGCTATACTGACTACTCTCCTTGGTGCTGAATTCATATTTTTCTCAATGAATTTATCTGGATAACCACTTTTTCTAAGTAATTCTTTAATAATCTTAAGCTCCCCATTGAGGCAGTCGTCTGAACAGATTAACCTGGCTCTATACAAGTCAAGACAATTGACTTAAACATATGTGCTCAATCATCCAGTGGTGATTATTATTACTATTACTGTTACTATTGTTATTATTATTATTCCATTTGGTTCCAAGTGGAGTGCGGAGCTTCTGCAGAACATCTCCATCCCACTCTTTTCTCTGCAGTCCTGTTTAGCTGGCTGTACGATCACCCAAAAGCTTTCATTTTCTCCTTACACGATCTCATCCATGTCTCCCTTGGATGCTCAACTCCTCGTCTCCTATTCAGCTTCCACTCGAGCGTCTTTCGGGCATGTGATGTCATTCAACGGTCTCACTAGCGTGTGTTAAATCCACAGCCATGTTTAGTATTATTTCGAAATCATCAGACGCATATATCTGCACTACCCCTCCCTTGAGTGGTGAAGTTCCTATACCTATGACCTCCTTAGGTCATGAATTCAGCACATGGAAAGCATAATGTAGAGAAGAAAAGACTGAGGAGACTGGAAGGAAACGTATTGTACATAGGTAAATTTGGTATACCATATTCTCAAACCGCCATTTGCACATCATTTACCGCATCCTTGAACAAATGGTCGAATATCGTCACATTCGACAGCTTCTTGGATTCTGCATGATATGGCAACATTCTTCGCATAGTTCTCTTCTTTGATTGCTATTTCCAGTGTGCAAAACATATTGTTACTTTTCTGAATTCGCCTTCTGATATACTACTTATATCGGATAATAAGTAGCACTTACCACAATATAAGGCAATCATCGATATAGAATTTGTTCTTCACCATATCTACTACACTACTATCATAGTCACTAGCGAATTTTTGCGGAGTATTTAAAAATTCAAAACTTGAACAAAACTGTGACGATATTGCACCAAATTAGGATGTGTTAACCATTTCAGACAGAAGAAACACACCTAAATATCACTGTCTGGCCACCAAATGTGAAGTGTAGTGCACCACGATCACTATCCATGACCTTGAGCTTATTGTACATCTCTTCCCCATCTTCTGGGAGGGGCAGATAGTTCTCTGAGAAAACGCAAACGTACACGAACTAAATCTAATGTTGTGTTTTGGCCTTGATACATTAGATGTCGAAAATGGTAAGACAAATGCGACCTGGATCCCACTAATAGTCACCACCCAAACACCTCAAGGTTCCTAGTTCGAGATCATAAAAATATCGAGACATTTGTCCAGTGAGTCAACGTACCAAAATGAAGTACATCATTTCAGTTAAGCTATCAACTTCAGGTGAACATAGAGAAAACAGAGGTGAAGAAGATTCCTGGACAACACCACCAACAGCAACAACAACAACAGACAACAATCAGCCAGCATAAATGGGAGGAACCTGAAAGAAACAACCTCCTCCACCAACCGACATGGGAAGCATCGTTTCAACTACAGGCCGACGGAACTGACGAGGATATCAAAACAGTGAGGATCGGAAAAGTAAGACAAGCTTTCACTACTCTCAAGTCTATGTGGAGATCACCACTCAGCACTCAGCATCAAAATGAAAATAAGATCCGGATTTTCAACTCCAATGTGAAGTCAATCAGTGCTACTCACTATACGGATGGATCAGAGACTTGCACTGCACGTCATAAAGAGCATCTCAAACAATCTACACACCTTCATTAACACCTAGTTGTCTTCGCTCAATACTTCACTCAAGATCAGATGGCCGGTCAGGAAAGATCAGAAACAGAGAGGGATCTCTGGCAATGAGCGAACCAACCAACACAGCAGGAACCGATTGTGAAAGAAATAGGCAGGCAGGAAGAAATGGAGATGGATTGGCTGGTCATACTCTGAGGAAACAAACCATCAAGTGAGTGACATTACTAGACTAGCCATTGCTCGAGTGGAACCCGAAAGGGAAGCGGCGAGTTGGTCGTCAGTGTTAGAGTGGGTGACTTGGAGGAGGTGATGTGAAGAGGAGATGAAAACGTGTGGTCAGACTTGGAGCCAGGTGAAGACTGTAGCAGAGAACCGAACGCAATGGAGACGCACGGCTGAAGCCCTATGTTCCTCTAGGAATTAAAGGGAACAATAATGTGTTAATAATAATCAACTGGGAATCGCAATCATAAGCGGATAAAGGTATTCAGTGTTAATTTTTACCTAACCGTTGTGTACTCAATCGTAGTAAAGAGATTTCAGTGAATCGCTAGAAAATAATAATATGAATGACAGCGAAATAAGAAGTATTTGTTTCGCCATAAAACAGTCATGCACCGAACGGTGAATCGGACTAGTGAATGAATGAGAACCAGGCGTAAAACCGGTCTGCCCATATTGTGTTACATAATACGAATGTTGCCTAATCATCTAAGAACCATACTTTATGAACTTAAACCAGTTTCAAGCAGAAGCAGCAGCTTTTTCGGATAACCCCTTTTTTGCCCGACTTTATAAAGCTTTACAATCGTATATATATGGTTTTTAAGAAGTTATATCCGGTGAGGGAATTAAATCATAGGTGTGAATGCATAAAATAATAATTATATGAAATGAGCATATGTAGCTCTGATACTGTGGAAGACGAGTTATTCAATCCTGAGGAAAATCCTAATAAAAAATGGATTTCCACCACATTTTATAGATAAGAATATACATTCAAATCCTAAAAAACGTGACTTATCATCCGTACCCAAGAAAATACTTTACATGAGCTTGGAATTCAAGGGGGACTTAGCTTCCGATATCATGAAACGAAGGATATCACAGTCCCTGAACATAACATTCCCTGCTGCATCTCTGAGAATAGCCTTTACTAGTCGACCATTGCAGTTCAATAACCTGAAAGACAAGATCCCGCTGCTGACTAACTCTACGTGTGTTTATCAATTCACCTGCTCGTGTGGAGCTAAGTATATCGGTCGTTCGACACGAGTTTTGTCCAAGAGGGTGCAAGAACACTATCCTGCATGGTTACGAAAAGGTGGAAGTGGAGCAATAAGAAGCGCGATCATTGAACATCTGGTCGATAATGATCACCCTATCTTTATAGCCTCCGCCTTCAAAGTCATCTACAAGGCAAAGAGTAATTTACCCAAATCGCTACGTAGCCGACTAATCTGTATTACTGAAGCCATCTTTGACTATCGAAACAGAAAAGCCAGATCTCTGCGTACGGAAACAGTTCGTTCAAGCCCTCCAACTTTCATGGTCTAAATCCCTTTATGCTAAAGTATGGTAACCCCCAATCATATTTTAGCTCTACCAATTTTTCATTTTTGTTTATTCAATTTGTATACTCTTCCTTATTACGTCAATTGTTACTATTACTACTCTCACTTTTAACTGTCCCCGGTATTATTTCACTTGTTCCACTTGTCATTCTAAATCAAATCCTTTTTACAACATTAAATTCTATGCTATCAAATTTCACACAATATTACGTAACGTTTTTAGTTTATTCGATTTGTCTACTTATCTTATAATTGCACACTCTTTTTCAAGTTCTATCCATCCTATGAATTATTCTATCTATATATGACATTAATTTGCTTTGCCACTTGACCTTTAACTACGATTATAGTCACAAACATTTTAGTTTTAATTGCATTTCATATTATTATTTTTATTATTTTATGCATTCACACCTATGATTTAATTCCCTTACCGGATATAATTTTTATAAAAACCATATATATACGATTGTACAGCTTGATGATAAATTCGTTGTTGAAAAGAGTCTCTTCGCTGAATCACTTGTTTTGATTTTCTGTATGTTACAATGGGAATTTTTCATGATTTATAAAGCTTATCAAATTAGCTATTGGTAGCGTAAATGTTCTCCATGTGCTCCATATTCAGCAGAAGGTATCTGTGGGAGAACAGTCATTTTTGGTCATTAATCGAGTTGCCTATTGCTTACAATATCGAATACAAGTCCTGGCAGAGTATTATCAGCAGTCATAAATCAGAACCAATAGATAGATGGTAAAAAGAAATGGGAAACAAACCTTCCTCCCCCCCCCCCAATGATTTCCAGCTCATGACGTACAAACACTATAAGTGCTCATTCATCTAAACCCTCTCTAATAAAAAAAAAACGTTGCAGTAAAAAAATATGGGAATCATCACAATAGTAAAAAATAAAAGAACTTGCTTACTTTAAACAGGCTTCTTTGAGTGCTGCAATTTCACGTTTAGCTGCTCCTAGTTCAGCGCTCAATTGATTACGTTCTTCTGTTAACAAATCAACAGATTTACACAATTCATCTGCTCTACTTAAACGATGACGTAATTGGCTGATTTCTAATTCAGCTCGTGCTAAACTTGTTACATTATTCTGTACAGATTCACCGAGTACACTGTTCTCTTTTTCTAAACGAGCTATTCTCTCGTCTGAGGATATCTCGTTGACAGCTTTACCTCGTAGATTCTTTGTGAGATGGTGATGGTGAGGAGCAGAGGAGGAGATGAAATGAATAAAATACGAATTATTATGGCAGGCATAGATAGATAGATAGACAAAAGTAGAAGTGTGCTAGAGAGAATTAAAGTTTTAATAAACAATTTTCCTCCACTTACTCGCCATTTTTTGATAGAATAATATCCTTTCTGAACATTATCAGAGGAATTTTAAAAGAAGCGCCTTTTGTTTCGAACTTATTGGGTGAACTAGTATGAAAACGTAATTCTAAGGAGTTACAATACACCATTTTACAAGTACTGAACTTTTATATTTATTTTGACATAATGACCACTGAGCCATCCATTATTATTATTATTATGTATTGTTCCCTTGGGTTCCTAGTGGAACATACGGCTCCAACTGCACGTCTCCAATTGCTTCTGTCTTCTGCTGTACTTTTCACCTGCATCAATGTTAGTCCATACTGTTTCGACTTCTCTTCACACGATCTCCTCCATGTCACCCTTGCACTGACGTCCCACTCGCCGCTTCCCTTTCGGATTCCACTCGAGCGTTGGCCTGACGCGCGATGTCACCCAGCGAGTGGCCTCCTCAGCGAGCCAGTGAGTGTCCAATCCATCTCCACTTTCTCCCGTATATTCGGTGGGCGATTGGTTCTTGTTTTGTTTCTTCCCATAGTTTGTTTCTTGTTGGTTCTTGTTCTTTCCGGCGGCCGTCTGATCTTCAGTATATAGCCAGCGAAGACAGTTAGTTGTTGATAAAGGTCTACATTCTTTGTGACCCGCCGCCAAGTTTCTGATGCATCCGTATAGAAGAACTGACTGACTTGACTGACGTTTGTATTGAAAATCCGAATTTTGTTGTTGATGCTGGCTGAGTTGAGTGACGAAGATTTCCAGATTGGTTTCAGGTTGATGAATGTGTTTCTAGCCTTCCCGATTCTCCATTTGACATCCTCGTCCGTTAGTCTTCCTCCTGTAGTTGAGACAAGGCTCCGTAGATGAGTGAATGAAGTAACCTCTTACATCAAATCACTCCTGTTGATGGTGATTGGCACTGGATGCTGTTGTTGTTGTTTTTGTTGGTTGGTTATTTTCATAACCTCCATCTTGTCTATGTTCACCTGGAGTCCTGTCTTCTCTGGCTGCTTCTTTGACCAGTTTGTCGGTTTTCGCTTGTAAGTCTTCCATTTTCTGTGACATCAAACATAAATCACCCGCAAAATCCAGATCTTCACGTCGGTCCGGAATATCCCTGTCTTCTCGTTTCCCACTGTCTGACGCATAATCCATTTCAGTCCACCACGATTAGGAATATCATTGGTGATAATAGGCTAGCACCCTTGTCTGACTCCTGTGTTTACTCCAAACGCCTCACTGAGTTTTCCGTTGTGGATCACTTGACATGTGACGTTGTCGTACAGCTGTTGAATAAGGTTGATGAATATTTGGGGTACGCCGTGGTGCTCGAGTAGTTTCCAAATTACTTCGTGGTCAACGCTGTTGATGGCCTTCTCAAAGTCTATGAAGTTGAGGTAGAGGTTTGATTGCCATTCCATGTTCGTTCTGTGATGATGATGCGTAGAGTTGCAATTTGGTCAGAACATGATTTGCCTTTCCTGAATCCAGCTTGTTCTGATCGGCATTCTGTATCCAGGGCGTCCTTTATTCTCTCCAGGATGATGTGACTCAGGATTTTACTTGGCGTCGACAGGAGCATGATTCCTCGCCAGTTCTTGCAGAGTCCTAAGTCGCCCTTCTTTGGTAGTTTCTCCAGTCAGTAAGCACCATTATTAGGGCAGAATGAACCCATTGACTAACTCGTAAAAAAAAATTCTTACAACTGCCATTCATTCATCTTGACAATCTCGATTAACAGAAATTAAAACTAAAACACTAACTATTTTTATCCACATGAACTCAGATGAGAAGGTTTACAATTACTGAAAGACCAAGGAGTTATTTTAACCCAAGAAAATTTAGCGATACCTATGAATAAATGAATAGTTACTTCTAAGAGGTAAAATGTACGGCAATAGGCTAAACATCTTTAATCAAAGTCTGTCGTGACCATCAGAATCCATAAACTCGTGTGCAAGAACAAATACTCACTGACGACACTGGTAAGTGGTCACCCTGCATATCGCAAATTGGAAGAAGTAAAAATTCATGGCCTATCGAATTCCGTTTCAGTGGTTAGGCGGTCAACGAGCTCACCTCGCAACCTGAAGGCTATAGGTTCGATCCATGGTGGTATCATAGGCGAGGAATGTTGCCGGGTTTGAAAGTTGGGGGCGAGAGGACTGTCTAGTACTCGCTGGTTTCTGATGTTCCCCCAACTGAAGTCAGTTCGAGATCGAACTTGAGACAAATTAAGGATCAAACTGAAACTGTGGAGCATACCTGTTTAATCTCTGGTGTTATTGTGTTGTCCTCTTACCTGAATGGCTTAGTTGCAAAGCTTTCATTGTCCCTTTAGATGACATCTTCAGCACTTACTCAGATGAAAAATAACCTTTTGGAATTCCCTGTGAATGACATATATGTTTACCCTAAGGCACTTGACTATGAGTAGTTATCTGTTGATGTTTTTTTTTTATTCTTGTGTTCGTTTGTGCTGGTTAAACATCAGGACGAACGAGACAATCAATAGCAATAGAAAAATGAGCACACATTAACAGTCACGTTCATCTGGAGAGACAGTTATATCATTCATGTAGAATTCCCCGAAACTCACTACTTCATAATGAAGTCTGCATTGAAGATTTTGTCTATAAAAATTATGAAAGCTTTCATATTCAACTATCCAGCTTGGAAAAACACACAGGACAACACTAGAAACATTCATCTCTGGCCCACAAATCTTTCCTATTATTTCAACAACTTTATTTTTATGCTACAGAATAAGTTCTTAGCATAATTCTTGTTTGCTAACCGAAATCTACAAATCAAGAGCACAGAGAGATCACTAAATTAAATTAAATGACACTGTTGCACGCTGTAGTACACAGCAGTCTCATTTCACTATTAGACCACCCCTCCCCCAAAGTATGATTATTTAAACTTTAAAAAACGATAACTGCCCACTATTTGGTAACGAGTGTTATTGGGTGGTTATACAAGCAACCGCCAAAACAAATTTCGCTTTCATTTCCACCTCCTTGAAAGGAAGAAACATAAAAGTTCAATTACAATTTGAATTTCTTTAAGTAATTGGTGTTGTACATGGCTTTATGTGGTTTTGTATTACGTGTTTAAAGGAGTAATAAAATTGTTCCAAGTGTTACATTTGGCTATTTTAAAAATGTTAATCGATGGTTTACAACACACCTGGAATATCTGTTGATTCAATGGTACGCTGTGCGAGGAAATGCCTTTGCGATAACTTTTATTCTCACCTGTATTATCAGTTTATAAATATCCTAAGTTGACAATTAATCTTAGTGTTCAATGTACAATGTTCATGAAAAGAATAATAATAATGATAATAATAATAAATAACTCACTTTAATTGTCTCAGTTAAATAATCATTTTCACGTGATAACTCATTAATATGCCTTTCTGAAGTTTCTTTAAATGTATTCAATAATTCACGTGATTTTCGTGCATCTGTTTCAAAATTCATTCTTTCTAAATCTAATTGACATAGACGTTCAGCTTGAGCAGAAATAGCAGTTTCAAGTCGTTCAAGCTGAAATTCAACATTACACAGACAAAAACAGACGTGGAATTGAAATATCTCACTATGAAAGAGTTATGTTACTTTAAGTTAAGTAATCAGGAAACCATCAGGGCAAAGTTCAACAATAGCGTCCCAAGTGATGCGAACGCACCAAATGTCCTTGAGCCGACCAATCATCACATAAATGAGGCATTTTTGCATGAAAAATGACGTATACTTGCAAGAAAATGCATGCAAAAACACATCAAACAGGGTATCTTTTCAAGTATTGGTATCTTTTTCTGACATGACTTAAAAATGTGTCTAAGTTATAGTGAGGAGTATCAGTTACTAAGTTAGACTAGTTTCTTTACATGTATTCACCGAGGTGACTGAAGATGAGCTGCTTTTGTGGATCGTTTATCTCTCTTATCTTGTTGTGCAGTCCTCCCCGAAGCCCTCGGTTGAATTACTGTGGTTTCCTTTAAGAGGATCGACGACTACTTACCAGGAAAGTGTGGATAGTAACACAAATTAAAATAAATGACATCAACTCTAAATCTATCTTTAATCGCAGCCCTAACCTTAATCGTGATCTTGACCTTGAACTTAACACTAACCCTAACATTAATCCCAACCCTAATTACAACCTTTATTCTAACCGTAATCCTAATCCTAACTGCAGTGAGCTATTAACACATTGTCTAAACAGTACTTAAAAATGTGATCTGGGTGAAATTCGCTTTCCAGTTGATGTATATCACTGATATTTCAGCTTTGATAATGACAGGTGCCATAAGCCAACGATTAACATGCGTTCAAGGTCATTAGAGCGTTCGAACACCTGGGACGCTATTTTTGAACTTCGCCCCATTCAGATTAAATTTATATAAATCTTTAGCGCCAGTCCAGAATAATCTGCCATTTGTGAACATCGGATCCAATTTTATTGATTAGGAATGTCAATCTCAGAGAATGGCTGCAGGGTTGCACGATGTTTTATAATATATCATATTTTCATTACCAACAGACATCGTTTAGTCAAATTTTAGAAGACATAACCTTTTATTACACCAGCAGAAGCATATTTTTCTTTTCTTTTATCAACTTTTTGCGCTCTGAGTGCAACATAGAGATTCAAGCTTTGAAGTTTCAGATGTGGTGGTGTCAGTTTTACAGAGTGGAGTTGCTAGACACACTTCCAACCCGTGGTGAGAGCTGTCTGCTAGTCAAAATCGGTAGACGTCAATGTCTACGCCCCAAATCGGGGTCATTAGAAAAAAAACAAGAACGAAGACTAACTCAACAAACAATCACAGCAGACTTTGCGTGGGCGGATACGATTAGCAGATATATATGGTGTGACCTTCAAAGAAATGGCCACAAGAGATGACAGAATAACCTTCAGCAGGAAAACAAACAATCAGAAGCCGCTGTTTCTCTGCTAATAATAACACTATTTCATGCATTTATTCCCCTTGATGAATTTGAATAAAGCAAGAACAAAAGTGGTTTGTGCAGAATAATATGGTACCATCATTTATTTCGTAGGCTTCTCATCAGCTGCTTACAGCCTAAATAAATTATGAGGTTTGCGTACAGAAAAGTTTTAACATACTTGCAAATTTTTACATGTTGTCAGTTGACAAAAAGTTCCACAGTAAGTGAACAGTGCTCAGAAAATTGCGCTTATATAGTTTTTACACAGGCAGTTCAAGTTTAAACAAAATAGATGTATGCATACAATGGTAAAAGAGTTACGTAATAAAGACGAAATATGAGTTAGATACAGAGTGACTAATAAATTAGGTAACAATGTACTGAGTTCAACTCAAATCATAGAAACAAGAGACAAGCAAAATTACAGAATATAAAAGGGGGTGAGGTTAAAGACAAAGATTACGTAATCAGATGAGAGAATAAAGACATTCAGTTACCAGGGCAAAGAAAGATTAATAACTGCTTCTTTCTGAACACATAAATCTGGTTCAGTTTGATAGAGATTGCTTCGTCAAACTTGAGGAGAATGGAACTCCTTTGTCTATTGATAATTTTAAAGGATTTCTCGATTTCTACCTCATGACCCGTGTCGAGATGTCTGGTGATAGCGCTGCTATAAGAGTTTGTTCCTTTGAGACGTAGGCTTTTTGGCACATGTTCAGAAAATCGGAGGTGTGCCCTTCTCTCTGTTCTCCCAATGTAACTGCTCCCGCAGATACACGTAAATTTGTATACACAGTTGGAGTTAACATGAGAAGGGTATCTATCGACTTTTGACTGCACCAAAGAGCATGTTGTTCGATGGACGGGAACCAACTTAGCTGCAGGATAGGCTCTGGCTAGTGATGTTCTCAGTCTTCTGTTGACCATTTCTGCAATGTTTTCACCTTTAAAATCTAGTTGAATGAAGACAGGCTTTTTTCAACTGTGATTTGTTTGGTATTTGAGTCTTCACATCTTCCATATTTGTTTATGAATCTTTGAGGGTAACCGTTATTTTTCAGCACCTTTTCGAGGAACATAAATTCTTCCTCTAGTTTCTCTGTAGAGCATATTCTCCTTGCTCTATAGTACAGAGTCTTGACTAGTGCTCGTTTATAGATATTTGGACAAAAGCTATTAAAATGTAAGTATTGTCCATTCCATGTAAGCTTTCGGTAAATTGACCTCTGGAGATTACCATCTTCTAGGCGTTGCATGGCGATGTCAAGGAAATGGAACTTCCCGTCATTTTCATGTTCCATGGTAAATAAAATATTTGTATGTGCTTTGTTGAATAGGCTGAGTGGGTAGGAGGCATGACTTTCGTTGTTGCATACTACAAATGTGTCATCGACATATCGACAATAGGAAGTTGTTTGATCGATTGCATGCTTCAACTTTGTTTTCTCAAGGTTTGACATGAAGATATCTGCTAGAACAGGGCTAAGTGGACTGCCCATGGCTACACCATCTATTTGTCGGTAAAGAGTGTTATCAAACTGGAATTGTACATCCATGGTACACATTAGCAGTAGGCGTTTGAATTCTGACTCTGGTAGTGGAAGCAGATCAGAATGTTGACAAAGGATTTCAATGGTTTCATTGATTGGGATCATTGTGAACAAGGATGTTGCATCAAATGAGACCATGAACTTATTTGAAACGTTCATATGATTCACGCTTTCGGCGAAATGAAATGAGTCTTTTATGGTATGCACGGCTAGACGTCGGCGAATGGGTTCCAACTTCTCCGCAAGCCAACGGGCAACCTTATGTTGGGGAGAGTTGATCATCGAAAGTATTGGTCTTATAGGGACTTCTTTCTTGTGTATCTTTGGAAGGCCATACATATAAGGCAAGCGGGACCCTCTGGGCTTTAATTCATTGTACGTGTTGTTGTCAATCAAATTCTTTTTTAGAAGATCTCTCAGTACATTTGTGATGCGTTTTTCAGTTGCATCTGTCTTGTCTTTCTGGCAGTCGTCGACTTTAAACCTCAATGGGTCATTCAGCAGAGTTTTCATTCTTGCGATGTAGTCATCTTTATCCATCAGTACCACTCCTGAGCCTTTGTCAGGTCGCAGTATGACGATTTTGTCATTATTTCTGAGAGATTTCAATGACATTTTCTTGACACGAGTCATGAGGTAGAAATCGAGAAATCCTTTAAAATTATCAATAGACAAAGGAGTTCCATTCTCCTCAAGTTTGACGAAGCAATCTCTATCAAACCAGATTTATGTGTTCAGAAAGAAGCAGTTATTAATCTTTCTTTGCCCTGGTAACTGAATGTCTTTATTCTCTCATCTGATTACGTAATCTTTGTCTTTAACCTCACCCCCTTTTATATTCTGTAATTTTGCTTGTCTCTTGTTTCTATGATTTGAGTTGAACTCAGTACATTGTTACCTAATTTATTAGTCACTCTGTATCTAACTCATATTTCGTCTTTATTACGTAACTCTTTTACCATTGTATGCATACATCTATTTTGTTTAAACTTGAACTGCCTGTGTAAAAACTATATAAGCGCAATTTTCTGAGCACTGTTCACTTACTGTGGAACTTTTTGTCAACTGGCAACATGTAAAAATTTGCAAGTATGTTAAAACTTTTCTGTACGCAAACCTCATAATTTATTTAGGCTGTAAGCAGCTGATGAGAAGCCTACGAAATAAATGATGGTACCATATTATTCTGCACAAACCACTTTTGTTCTTGCTTTATTTAAATAACACTATTAATAATGTACATAAAAATATATAAATATCTTTTGATTTCCTCAATAAACGATCTGTTGCCTGGTCCTTGTCTTCTATCGTTACAGTCCTGCACCCTCATTACTGGGTTTGTTATCGATTAGTAATAAACATGGTGAAACTTTGGAGTGTGTCGACTGGGGATCTAACCTGCACCTTCCAAGTAAGTGTGTGGTGAGAGCTGGCTGTTAGCCAAAGTTGGTAGATAATAATTGATGTCAATGTTTATGTCCCTAATATTGGTGGTGAGAAAATGAGAACAAAGGCATTGCGTAGGCGGATACAGTTAGCATGTGGATGATGTGACACAGCCACAAAGAGATGCAAGGTTAACTTTTTGTGAGAAACAACCAATCAAAAGACTGTATTTTCTACTAACAATAATCTACAATAATGTACATTAAAATCTATAAATATGTGTTGATTTTCCTTAATAAAGGATCTGTTGCTTGGCCCTTGTCTTCTGTTGTTACAATAAGATAAGAGAGTTGTCCATTATACCATTAGTTTACAATAATTTCATATTTTCATCAACAATCTTTGAATTCAAGTGTTGGTTTGCGAAGATTTGATTTGTTACAAGATTTCCTCGTGAGTTGACATCGGTTGGAGAACCACTGGAAAACCTGGGAGTACTTACTGGATAACTGTTTCATCCTAGTTTGGGACTCTTTACAGTATGTACCCACCGGGGTTCGGACCCAGGATCTTCCGGTAACCAATCTTTGAGTTAACGTTTTATCATACAAAAAACAGAAAAGCAGTTTTATAGAAACATTAGTAAGAATTAATTAGCCGCCTAACGACCGCTTAAACTACCCTCAGGTTAATGATTTTGACTGACTGCTCAAATAGTTTATATATAAAATTATCTTGACCAAGTTTTTTTTCAAATTAAATGAGAGTCTATTAATTAATTATAAAGAACGAATTCATAATCTATGCATTTATCAGCAAGTATTCTGTATTTTGGTATCATTTCACTTGAATCTTGCATACCCGATACAGTTTTTTGTGAACAGCTTTGACTCGGTCACACAACCTACCAATAGCTCAACTCGTATTAGTGAAGTCCAATATTATCGATCAAATAATCATCCAGGTTCACCACAGTAAAATAAGCCATTCAAAAAGTAACAACAATTTTGACTACAAGACTACAAGATCAATACAGCTAGGAAAACATTACCCCTGCACATACTAATTGCAGAAATAAAACTAAGTCAAATCTTCCCTGAAATCATTTTCTGAAACACAACGAGTATCAGTCAGTGGGAGCAATATGGGTTCATTCAGCTGAGGAGTCTCAAATAGGGTGAAACGTGCGTGCGTCCTAGACCACATTGCTAGCTACCACCAACTAAATATCATGTTGACATTAACATATCATCAAGGCATTCGTACTAACAGCTGGCATATCAACAACAAACACTGAGCAGTTCGTTTCCGCATAATCAATCAAGCGGCAGTTTAAAGTAACTTCAACACATTACTGAACGTTTAGTGAAATGTTTCTAGGACTCAGTTAGCTACAGTGTTTCATCAAAAAGTATCTCGACCGATAGCTGCTACCTTGACGTGGTGGTCGAGCTTGAACATCGCAATGACCCAACAAGCTACACTGTCTGGAACCAATGTTCCTGCAGGTCCTACCATGCCAGGAAGATTGTTAGGATAGCGAATAGACTAAAGCAGTTACCGGCATTGTGTAAGAATCTTTCCTACACTATTCTGGGGGTCTGAGGGCGAAGCCGTACTGCTGGGGAACAGGGATGTAACAGCAGTGAGGTGTTTCCCTCAGATGACCAGCATGCCAGCCAGCTATGCTGTTTCTCCACTCTGCAGAGAGAGGCGGTTATAAAAGGTCGACCCCAACAATTGTACATCCCAACTTACCCTACAGTGGTCCGTAACCAGCGGTAAGTTTACTAATACGGAACCAATCACACACGGCCAGTTCCTACAGGCCGTGGGCAGCGGGGAGGTAACAACCGCCCACACACTTCCAAAAGCACACGAAGCCTTCCTGATCATTATTCTCATTTACTCACATCACCTTCCTTATCTTGCTTCTCTACTACAGTTAATACTTATACTATTCATCAAAAAGTATATAAATATAAACAAGTCAGCAGAAACCAATTCAACTTACCTTATTAGTTAACAATTGGTTTTCTCGTTTAGCTTCAGCCAGTGATGCTTCAGTTTCAATATTATCAGCATTAACAGACTGAGCTTTAGTCAATAAACTTTTAGTCATTTCAAGTTCTTTGTTTAATCGACGATTCACCTCCTCTAAATGATTTAACCGATTAGTTACTGATTCAGATAATTGATCCGATAGACTAACGTTTAAACTATTCGTTTCCAATTTGTTGGCACCGGTAATATCTAAGTCTTCGTCGCCTGCATCAAACGAGATTCGACGCTCTTGAGCATTTTTATCACCATTACAATTTTTATTTTGATGTAAATCTGTATGAGAGATTATCTCTCTCAGATGAATTGATTTTTTAGTTGAATTCACGAATTTTGTATGTGTACAATGTTCAAGTTTCAATTTGCCTAATTCTTCTTGAAGATTTTTAATCAAGTCTAAATCTGAATTACGTGCCTATTATTTTGTTTAAAAGGAAAAAAGGAAAAATTATATGACGACGAGGTTATATCAAGAAAAAACTTCAAACTGTATATTTCAGATTACACCACAGACTGACATCAGTTAAAGAATCACTAGTCAATGACTCTTCATCAACACACAAACATGACTCTACCTGGGATCACGTAACCCAGGAACTTAGGATGACAAGGCGAGTCTGTCAACCGCTTAGCCACCTAGAAGGAATCCAATGGCGCGTGAATCTCAAATTCTTCCGATTCGCGACACATGGCTCGACCACCAACCATTATCATTGGTGCCATTAGATTCCGTACAAGTGGTTCAATGGTTAGTGGGCTCGCTTCATAACACGAGTGTCCTAGAATCAATACCCGGTGGGGTCATATGTTTATAATGCTAAAGAAAATTATAAATTGATATACAATCTGTTTAAAAATTCCCGCTTGGTTATAGTGAAGAAAAGCGTAAAACAACAGCCGAAGGTTTTTTGATGAAATTATGTTTAACACAAACTGTGTGTAACACACCTGTCCAAGCTTTAAACTTCCAAAAAATAGGTTAAGATTTCAAACTGCCCTCTAACCTGTCGCCTACAAACTTCTTAAGAACCAGGCCCAGTTATTCACACGCACCAAAATGTGAGTCGGGAACTAAAAAACGGTCACAAACACTTTGTCTAGCTTTCTAACTAGTACATGACAGGTAGACCTAAAAACGTTAGTGATGAGTATAGGCAAGAATTAATGATCAGACGTACAAGATACTGTAGTCTTGTTTTATATGCGATTATCACACGATCAGTCGATCTATATTAAAAAGGCGCTGATGTAAACGTTCTCATGAGTAGCATTTCGTAGTCTACTTGAAGATTATTACCAATACAGTCACACAACAAACTAGTTAGTACTTCACTAAAATGACTTGAAACAGACTAGATTAGATCCAATAATGGGACCGAGGTTTTATTGATGTTCAGAAACTACCACTATCATCTATCCTCAAATTCAGTTGCAATGAGGATCCTTTTACTTTCGTTGGATTAATATCTTTGACCTTTGACTTCACATCAAGTCAAACTTTTCCGTTTTTCAAAAGAATAGACATGAAACAAAGACTACTCTTTTCGATAAATTCATCATCAGGTTCTACAATTTTATATACATTATAATTAATGAATGAATTAGTCTCATGAACGACATTAATGTTGTTTAAACAACATCAAATCAATAATATTGATAAATTACAGCTGAACAGCATCAACATAACAATAAACTGAATGTCAGAAGAATTAGGAAAGATAATAGTACAAATTCATGGGTTTATAGTTTCTACTGAGGGCCAGGGCAGTAGTAGGGGCTGGCTGGACTTGTTTCTTTTGAACACGGAGCACTGGTTGTTTGAGGCGAATTGCAATAGCCTCTGGTGTTTGGAGCATGTGGTGCTTCGACGATTTTAGTAATTTGTTAGGCACCCGGTATATTATAGAGAAGGATTCTTCCACACTGGCTAGCTTTGTGACCGGTTTGCACCAGATGGTCTAATATCGAGCTGTCAATAGTTTTAACTACACCTTTACTTAGCCATAGTGGGATATGTTCTCGAGAGTGTACGAAAAATCAAGTTCCTAGAGCAATGGCCAACATAACTCGCTCCAATACAAGCGCAGTTGAATTGGTAGATACAATTCGAAGTGGCCAGCTAGTCTAGGTACTTCATCCATCTTTCAGTCGAGGTAGCACCATCGGTCGTGTACAGAATAATACGTGTAGTTCGCCAGCATTAAAGGTTCTTTGAACTGATTTTCTTAATTTCTTCGTAATTAACTCGCTTGGTATATCGCCCATGAATTGTAGTCGTATATAAAGTAGCTTCTTGTTTTTGTTTGATATGCGAAAACTCCAGTCATTCTATCGATTAGTTAAGTTAGAATCATTCAGTAAAATACTGATGCAAGATATCTTCACTTCAACTTCTTGACATATAAGTCCCTTTCCATTAAAACAGAAATCCAAATGATGTCAATTAGTGATCCAATGTCTCATGGGACACAATGATGCATACGGATAGTTGTTTTCTCATTGCCCGATAAGTGAGTATACGTTACAATCTTTAATTAAGTCAATACATAATTTCATCGTGAGATGACATCGGTTAGAGATGCCCACTAGCGACTGGCCCTATTCAGGTAGGCAGTTACTTGGGTTCTAGTGAGAAGTCGTGACCAGTAGCGTACAGCAGGTCGAAGATGAGGACAGTAACTCATCGAAGAAGACATTGAGAAGTGGTCGCGCTATGTCATGAATTGGCAGAAGTTAGAATTCATGGGCTGGCCATTGGATCGGGCAAGAGTGGCTTAATGGTCTACGAGCTCGCTAGCCTTGTAACTAGAAGATCCTGGGTTCGAACCCCCTGTGGGGGTGCGTACTGATGAAGAGTCCCGAACTAGGACGAAACAGCTGGCGGTCGAGTACTCCCAGCTGATTTTCCAATGGTTCTCTAACTGATGTCAGCTCATGATGAAATCCTCCAACCAATTAAACAAAATCCCTACAAAACCAATACTTGGAAAGCAATTAACACAATTAAGAGCAGACAAGCATATCTGTGTAATATAAACATACATTTTCAGTCTCTGTTAATTGATGTCGTGTTTTATTCAATTCTTTTTCTAAATCTGTAATTTTATAATGATAAGCATGTGTAATTTCTGCTTTATCTGCCCATTCTGAATGTTCATTCGACAGGATTTGTAAATCTTCAGTAAGCTGTTGACATCTAGCCTAAAAATAATAAATAAAAATTTGACAGAATGAAATTTTAACAAACATAATCGTCGTCTTAAAATATAAACATAATGATTACACTTTAAAGACAAATCTAAGTCACAATTAGACTTAAATCTTTGACCCATAGATTGTTCATCCATCGGTTTGTTCCAGTTGAACCATCATATCGATCATATTGAATAAATAGCAGACTTTATTCTTTTTTCTTTTAGTTGAAAACAATTCGAAGATCTATCTATAGGCGAAACAATGAGCAAGTCGGAAAAAGATGCAGTGAAGACAGGATTTCAAGTGAGAACAGCCTACAGAAGACAGAGGTGATGAAGATGCCTAACCAATAACAACAACAACAAACAACTAGGGCAATCTAAAGTAAGTCATCTCTGTCTGTCTGTCTGTCTGTCTGTTTTCGACATAGAACTTTGCACATATGTGCGCCAGTTCAAGTCGCCACACTCCCTCCTTGTAGCACACAAATCAAGAGAAGAAAGTAGAAGAAATGCATATTAGAGACAGTAAACAGAGGTGTGAGACAAAGGTATAGTAATAACGAAGAACAACAACAGAACAGTTTCATTGGAAATCATAATTCACAAGGAATGGATGCATCTGCGCCAACCATTGACAACGATTTTGAGCTAGCCATGTCACCAATTGTTTCCAACCATTGGTTTTACCGTCCATCCTGAGGACCCCAACCAGTCAGGAAGCCAGTCTACATCTTCCTACGTGGCTGGCTTAGACTAACTGTTGAGGATTTCATTGACTGGTGACATGTTTTGGTTTGACCACCATGTGCTAGTCCTTTTCCAACCGGACCCTATATCAGCTAACATTGCCCATCGAGGAAGGCGATGACTAGGCATACGTAGCACATGTCCTCACTATCTCAGTCGATGTAATTTCACAGCCTCGTCGATTGATTTCCCCTCCCACCTACCTAGCACTCAACCGAGGCCTAACCTCAATATTGCTCACCTTATTATACCACTTCACACGCAAGTTAGAACGCAGACACCTATGATCAAAGACAGTTAGCCGGCTTTTTCATGTCTTCCACTCTCAATGGCCAGGTCTTTCTCGCAGCCATAAAGGAGGACGGAGCGGACTGATGAGCATTACACACGCCCTTTGGTCGATAGCCAGTCGGATATCACATCTACTAAGCCAGAGACGGCGTAAACTGGCATATGCACAACTAGCCCTCTGTATCCGTACTCAGCTGAGATTTCGTCAAAGATCAACCCGTTGGGGCTGGCTGATGGTACTTCCCAAGTAAATGAAGTGGTCAACGTGCTCTATCACTTCGCTTCCTATTTCTAATCTAGGAGTCGTTGTAGTCCAATCCTGCAACATCATCTTACATTTGGCATCATCTCTACTCTACCACTTATCTCAACAGCGTCGTTTCAATCACAGGCGGAACAGACGAAGATGTGTCAAAGAGAATCAAGGTTGGAAAAGCAAGACAAACTCTTATGAGTCTGACTGAAATCAGTGTGCAAGTCTACTGAACTCAACATAATGGACAAGATTAGGATTTTCAACACTAACTGTCAATTATGTCAGTGATGTAGATGATTCAAAGAATTATTTTTGCCTGTCACCAAAGCATTTCCTTCACTGGATCAATGTACTGGAGATCGGGTGGCCGATCTGACAATGAACCAAGCAAAAAAAAATCTATCGCTCCAAAAATATGAAGAAGAAAATCGAGATTTGATTGGATATACTCTGATGAGACCTTTGAGAAAAAGAAAGACTAACTCGAGTTAATAGAGTTTCGTATCATCAGAATGTTGCATTATCTATTGTCCGTGTGACTGTTAGTTTTTTTTATTCCTTTACGTTCCCAGTGGAACATAGGGCAACTTCAAGCTAGAGGCTTGACGTTTCTGGATGGCGTTGCTAGCCGCATGCCTGACCTTCCCTCTTTACCTGTCTTTTTACTGGCTTAGCGAGGTAGAGCGGTGCGTCGGCCAGGGATCGAACTCCAAACCATATGCGTGGTTGACGAGCATCCTACCGCTGTGCCACTGACGTGACTGTTAGCTTAGATGAACATTATTTATTTCGCATCATTTTAAACATTTAAACTTAAAGTAACATCCAAGTGTTGGTTTGCAGGGATTTGATTGGTTACAGGATTTTCATCATGAGGTGACATTAGTTAGAGAACTATTGGAAAACCACCTGGGAGTATTGGACAGCTGCTTCGTCCTAGTTTGGGACTCTATCACAATACGCACCCACCACCACTGTTCGAACCCAGGACCTTCTGGTTACAAGGCGAGCTAGCGACTTGCCCTATTCAGGTAGGTAGTTACCTGGGTTCTAGTGAGAAGTCGTGACCAGTAGGGTGCAGCAGGTCGGGTGTGAGGACAAATAATCGCCGAAGACATTGGCTAGTGGTCGCGCTATGTGGTGAATTGGCAGAAGTTACAATTCATGGGCTGGCCATTGAATCGGGTCCCAGTGGCTTAATGGTCTACGAGGTCGACTTGTAACCGGAAGGTCCTGGGTTCAAACCCCAGATGATGAAGAGTCCCAAACTAAGACGAAACACCTGGCTGTCCGGTACTCCCAGGTGGTTTTCCAATGGTTCTCTAACCAATTTCAGCTCATGATGAAATCCTGTAACCAATCAAATCCCTACAAACCAACACTGGAACTCGTGTTGTTTTTAGGAGATATAGTTGCTAGCCACATGCTCAACCTTCCCTCTTTTCTTGGTTTACTACCCACAAGATGAGGTCGGGGAGTGAGTTGGCCAGAAATCGAATCCCGACCACGTGCATGTTGGTGACAATCCTACTCCTGATGTACTGACACAAAAGATAATATTTACACGTAGTGTTAGTCAAGCACATAGTTATTTATATATGGCAATAAACTACTACTATTACTACTACTAGTTATTCCCTGACAGTGACAATCAACCTTAATTGAAACAAATCAAAAACTTCTCACTTGATCAAGCATCACATCCATGCATAATTTTTAGATGCCCTGCTAAAAATACCCTTCCATATCAGTTTAGTTTTCATCACAGAGTGATATTAGATAACGAACATTATGAATGTTCAGTATGTCATGGAAAGTTTTTACTTCAGCCACCCTGGAACCTGATTCCTACAGTTCCAACTAATTTCTTCTACATATGTGGCATTTTGTGCCAAGTTACTTCTACGACATGTGTTTGGTTTTGATTAGAAAAAAATACCTTTTCCATAATTAAAAACTTCGTAACACTGCTCTGCATTAATTAAAAACAAATACATCGAATTGTTTCAAATTGTTCAAATTACACGTGTGTTATTTATTCATAAAGAAAAAAAGGTGTTAATAATTTATAATACCTTGTAATAGTCAATTTCATGTAATCTTTCCTTGAGTTTTTCATTTTCTGCTTCTAAGGTAATAACACGTTCAGCAGTTTGTTTTAAAGCGTCAACTTCATCTTGCCAATGTCTTGCTGTATGCGCTGCATCAGCTAGCCGAGCACGTTCTTCTTTCACTTGACTTAATTCACGACGTGTTTCAAATAAATGATCTTGTAATTCAACTAACTGGTCAGCTTGATCTTCACTAAAAACGCAGAGAAGAAAAACTTGTGAATGCATAATGACTTGTACATTTTTTTTGCATTCTTAACGTTATGAATGGAATATAGGGAATCCAACTGCTGAAGTTTCAGTAGAGATGGTGCTGTTTCCACGTGATGGTGGCATTGCTAGCCTCATGTTCAAACTTCCCGCTTCTATGGTCTCACTATGGACTAGCAAATTAAATTCGGTTAGGAAGGGAGTTGACCGGCAATCGTACCCGGAACACATGAGTATTCAGTGAGTATCCTGATAAACGATTTCATTAAAAACCGAAATGTTAAGTTCTTACTTAAGTTTATCACACAACTGAGCTACTTGATCAGCGTCATTTCAATCAGATTGAATAGGATGATTTCAACTGACAGTAGCAAACGTCACATTATTACTGAATAGTACCGAAGACTCCATCACATCAAATTGTTTTTTTGATACTGTTGGAGAATATAATTTTGGACTGCGCGTTACTCGTGGAAGTTTGGCAAACTATACAGAAAAATACATGGAGTGCTTCCTATATTTAGACGGAAATACTTAAATTTTGGTCGTTACACTCCTGTATTATCATGTACGATTGTCAAGAAAACTTTAATCCAGGATAAAAACAAATTTGAATACTTCCTCGTCAAAATATGTCGATTCATGGTGACGAAATCAACATTCGCAAGTACAAAGGCTACACAGGTGAAAATATCAGTCTTTTTATTTGGGGGTGAATTCTGGTAGTTATATGAAGAACCAAGTAAAGGTGAACAAACGTTTCACCTTGATATAAGGTTTTTCAATAATATACAAAGCTCTCAATTCACGTAGAATTATCACTGTTTATGGAATTGGTTTCGCCGTTTAACTTCTAAATTTAAGTGGAATGAAATAAAGTATAATTATATTTCAATAGTTAACACACAATGATAAGTTTTGTTATTGGTAATATTTCGAGCAAAATTACTGCCCGTGTTCACACCACTGTTGGAATTGTTTTGTTCGTGGAGTGTTATATAGTTACAAAAATAAGCTAAAAGATTTATACTACTTATGTATTCTGTAAGTAGTTCAAAATTATATTGAAAATAATTCAAGTTTGTCTTCTCGAACGAAACAATTCCAACAGTGGTGTGAACACGGGCAGACACTTTGCTCGAAATATTACCAATAACAAAACTTATAATTGTGTGTAAACTATTGAAATATAATTATACTTTATTTAATCTAATCCACAATGCTCAAACATTTTACTGATATTAAGTAGAATGGTTTATATACTTTGAATCTATACGACTGCAGTAAAATAGATTACAGAGGCCTACCATAGCTTGAAAACAAGTTTCTAGAAATATTTAACGAATCGAAAGCAAAAATTTACTATAAAGTCAATTTTATACGAAGGTCATGTCATTCGAAGAAGGAAAAGGTTCACTAATCATCAGTGTAGTGGAATAAATGATGGGGAAGTTCTTCCTCAACAATCTATTTACAATATTGATGCATATTTGAATATTTCAGCTAATCGTGTAATTATTAGCCTTTTTTCCTTGACCAATGTATCATTGTTCTAACTTGTACATTTCTTTTTCTTGCTTTATTCTTTACTATTTGTCTTTGCTGGTCGTGGATGCCCATTCGTAACGTTTCACTTTACTATTGAGTGATAGTAGACGTAGTAGCCGTTTTACGACTGCAACTTAGTTTGAATGAATTCAAGTTAACGTCGTACGGATTATCTAACCTTAGACTGTCAGCGGCAAACGAGTTTGGTGTATTTGATTTTTGCCGACAGTGTGTTAGGATCTCAACTTCTTGGGAATATTCTATTTGATTCCCCGGGTAATTCTTACGATTGTTATTTTTGGTAAACTACTTTTGTTCTACAGTTCATATCTTGTACCTGAGAAACGCCTGGACTTTAAAGCTACTTAACAGGATTGTTAAGGCAATTTTAACTGTCTTTTTGCTAAGACTGGAATATTTTCAGGATTGTGAGTCAGTTGCCACTGGTCCAAGGAAAACAGTCTTACCTTAAACCCCTCCAAATGCCAAACAGTCAATTTCACCTTAACGCGTAAATCCCACCTAAACAAACTGGTTGGCTCTCACGAGGTGTGCAACATAGATGGCACTGAAATAGAAACCAAGTCGGAAATTAAATACCTAGGCGTCATTCTATCTGCTGATCTCTCCTGGTCGTTTCATATCTTGACGATTTCTAAGAAAATACATTCCGTCTTACCTTCTATATCAAGAAGTTAAAACATTCTGGTATAACCCAACCCTTACTCCTACAATTCGTTAACTCTCGCATCTTCTCTGCCTATTATTCTCTATTGTTCCCCGGGCTTAGTTTTTCCCGGGCAACTGAAGAAAGACTATAACATCATATTACGCAGGATGTTAAAGGTTGTCAGCAGGGTAAGCAACGTGCCACTTAACCAGCTTGTTAATATTCTGGTTGACAGGCACATGGACTCATGTGAAAAATGGGCCAAATCCATTTTATCTAACTCACACCACCCTCTTCACTCACAACTCTCCCCTTGCATCTATCTCATCAGGCAAAACCAGAAGCCTATATAGAAAACTATATGCTCGCACCAGCAAGTACAAAAACTCAACCATACCCTACTTAGCTCGTGTTCTGTGCGAAAAGAAAGCATTAGGCGTGACACCTATAATTCATTAAATGGTCAGTAGAACAACTAGACCTCGTCTTTCCAACTCATATCATTTATAGGTACAACGTTTTCTTTCTTTCTTTTCCTTTTCTCTCTCTCTTTTTTCTTTCTGTTATGTGCTGCTTTGTTTCTTTCTTCCGCTTACGCCAGTAAATATGACAGCACCTACTTTTCTAACACCTTCAAACATTCTGTTCAACTTTGACTTTGCTACCGACATGCCAATATGTTGTTGTCATAATGAACTGAGATTTCCTTAATCTATGTAGAATTTATATTTATTGATAATGTACTAGCTGGATGCGATACTGTAGTAAAAATGCTGAGAATTCCATTCTGTATCACAAGTACTGTTTTGGAATAAAGCAAATTATTATTATTATTAAATAAGTTTGGTCAGCTATACAGAAGAATGCACACTGATGGATTCCCTGAGTTCAGACCGAAATACTTGTGTTATGGTCGTTACAATCAGTACTGAACAGTAGTTCTTAAACTAGTGAAAAAGAAACATAAACACACACACACACACTTACATTTCAATATGAGCCCGACGTAATTTTGCTTTAGTCTCAGCCAATTCCACTGATAAATGATGTTTATCCATATCCATCATGAGGATTTCAGGTGTAATCCCATCTGTAGGATATACAGAACGTATTGATTCTAATTCATTTGTCTCCACTTCTAAAACTGAATCGATTTGACTCATTTCTACAGGTTCACTTGTTTTATTACTTTGATTGATGATTGATGAATTCATCATCTTACTGTCATCTTCAATGCTCACTTCGTTGAATTGTTCATTGGTTGATATTAAAGATTCATTTAAATCACTTTTATTCGTGATATGAATAATATCTGATTTTTTACGCAACACTGAGGTTTGTTCATCTAGTCTAGGCGTAGAGACAGCAAAATTACTACTATTATTATTGATATTATCAACTCCAAGTGATATTGTAGAAATTGAACGTTCTTTTAATCCACTTGACCCCAATGTTCTAGATCGTGAAACTAGTTGATATCTTGCTTGTAAGGTGATAATTTTATTCTGTAATGATGCTAACTCATCTAGTAATTGAATAATTTCCTGAAATGTATAAATACATGGAGTGTTATATAGGTAAACAAAAATAAGCTAAAAGATTTATACTACTTATGTATTCTGTAAGTAGTTCAAAATTATATTGAAAATAAATCAAGTTTGTCTTCTCGAAACATTTAAAATGATAAGAAACTGGCAATATTTTGAATGCTAATATTGTAACTAGTTTGAAATAAAGATAGAGTTTGTCACAAATTGAGAGAAGTTGATAAGGATTCGATTTTAGCATGTACACATCTTACTGTTACTGTTTCAAAAGCCTCTAATCTTTAAATATATCATTTTACAATGAATAACGTATATGCACAAATTGAGATGAATAGACTATCTGTTGGGTGGAAATCTTTTGACTTAATCACCTGGAAACATTTTAATACTGCAGATATCAGAAAAAGTTCATATAGAAACGTGGAATGGAAATTCTCATATTAAGTTGATGTTCACCACAGATTATTATTATTATTGTTTCCTTTAATTCCTAGAGGAACATAGGGCTTCAGCCGCTCGTCTCCATTGCGTTCGATTCTCTGCCAAGGTTTTCGCCTGGCTCCACGTCTATCCACATGCTTTCATCTCCTCTTCACATGACCTCCTCCATGTCACCCTCGCACAGACGACCAACTCGCCGCCTCCCACTCGAGCAATGGCCTGGCGTATGATGTCACTTGATGGTTTTCTCAGAATATGGCCAATCCATCTCCATTTCTTCCTGCCTATTTGTGGCACAATCAGTTTCTGCTGGGTCGGTTTGTTCATAGCCAGAGATCCCTGTTGCTGATGTTTTATGGTCGGCCATCTGACCTTGAGTAGTATTGAGCGAAGACAGCTGTTGATGGAGGCCTGTAGTTTGTTCAAAGTACCTTTTGTGACGCGGCGCCAAGTCTCTGATTCGTATAGTAGCACTGACTTCACATTGGAGTTGAAAATGCGAAACTTGTTTTTCATGCTGAGTGCTGTTGATCTTCACACAGACTTGAGAGAAATGAAAGCTTGCCTTGCTTTCCCGATCCTCGCTGTTTTGATATCCTCGTCAGTTCCGTCCGCCTGTAGTTGAAACGATGCTTCCCAGATAGTTAGGTAAGTAAAGGAGTTTGCTTCTTTCAGATTTCCCCCATTTATGCTGATTGTTGTCTGTTGTTGGCCAGGAATCTTTATCACCTCTGTTTTCTCTATATTCACCACTGATTAGCAGAAGAGAAAACTCAAATAGATAAAATAAAATCACAATATTATTATTAAAACATCCTCAAATAAATTCAGTAGCATTATATCGTGTGCTTTTTGTTACTGATAATATTAATGAGATTGATTTGATTTTTTAAAGGATGAATCCGACTTTCTGAAATTATAAGAAGCTCAGAGTAAGATTCTTAAGATAATAAAGAAATGTACCACACGTTTGAATTTTAAGCATAGAATGCCTGATATGCTCATGTCAGTATGTATTTATACATTCAACTAACCTTTCGAAATGTAAAATAAGCATAGCTCATGAAAACGGTATCAATGGACGTAACTAGTTCCATTCAAGCCCATCTGACATCCTTTGATATCAGTATTTACAAGTCATGGAACCGTCTATCAAAGACAGTGAAATTTTGTCTTCTACAAATTAATTCGATCTCACAGTGGGCATAAATGAGTACTTGAATCATCAGTGAAGTTCATTTGAAATCCCTGCTAGAACTGTTGTTACTTTACAGCAGTTTATTGACGAAGAAAACTAAACTAGTGAAAAACAAATCAAGTGAGAGATGATAGGTACTCACTGACAACATTGAATGACTGTATTGGGAAATGTAAGCAGTCGGAAATTATGCATCATTGAAAATAACAAACTGCTCGCCAAGTAAGCTGATTTTCCTAGCACTGACTAAACCCCTCTTGTATTCGTTGTGAAATAGTGCTGAAGAGCCTTCAAACCTCCTGAACCAAAGAGCTTTTCAGTAACCCCCCCACCCCTCTAGTTTACAACACATTTCCAGAGGATGTCCGGATGGCAACAAAATCTACCTTGAAATCAATCAGATTGACACAAACCCCAAAACTTATGTATACTGAATACCATTTAAGTAGGACAAAGACAACCAAATGCATATAACTCATTATTTAATAAAAGAGCATCAATACATACCTCTAAGTAGACGTCTTCGATTTGATTGATAACAGATCGAAAGGTATGCAAAATATCAGTATCTGATGATCGTAATTTCTCGAAACTTATAATATTAGCCGAACTTTCAGTAACCTATATGTAGGTTTGAAAAATAGAACAGAAAAAATAATTAATTAAACATCCAAAGAGTGATGAAATGATGGAAAGTAAAAATATTTATGAAAAAGAGAAGACATTCAGCGAAGAGACTCTTTTCGACGGCGAATTCATTCACATAGCTGTACAATCGCATTTATATATAATTATTTGTGTGTGTGTGTACATGAGGTTTGTCAAGTTTAGATAATTGATCAGGTAATACAAGAATGATGTAATATAGAGACAAAGTTAATCAGACAGCAACTAAAGTAAGATTGAGTTAGTAAGCTAGATGACGTTATATAATTAGCGTCCCGAAAAAACTGCTCTACATGAACCTTCAATTCAATGGAGATATATCTGCGGAAACATTAAAATATCGACTGTCGCGCTCACTTAAGAAGACCTTCTTCGCAGCTGAACTACGACTAACCTTCTCCACAAAACCCATGATTCATGTGAACGTGAAGGATAAGCTACCGCTGCTGGCCTCATCAATGTGTATTTATCAATTCACTTGCTCGTGTGGAGCCAGGTATGTTGGCCATACCCAGCATTCGCTTTACAAACGTATCACCGAACACTTACCAACATGGTTTTACAAAGGAGAAAATCGATGCCCCCGCAGTTCCATCTTAGAACATCTGATAGAATCCGGACACCAAGCTACACCTCAAACAAACTTCAAAGTCATCTACAGAATACGAAGTAGTCTTCCTAGAGTTTTACGAATCAGACTTCTTCAAACTGCAGAAGCAATGGCGATTCACTTGCTAAGTCCTGAACTCTGCACACAGAAGAAGTTCGTTCAATCACTACACTTGCAATGGACGTAATCTATCTTATTAGCTGACAAGTAAATTCTACCTAATCTTTTTCTTTTTTCTGTCTCTTCATTAGTATTATTTTGTCTTCTCAATTGTAATATTTTACATTTTCGACTTTCTTGTTCTCTACCCCCACCCGATTCAATTTCTACACCTTACTACCACTGTTACTGACTTGAACAACGCTCAATTTCTAGTCATTTATGTTACGTCATCCAGCTTATTTGCTCAGTTTCACTTCTACTTAGTCTCTACCTGTAATTACCTCTGTTGGTACCCTCATCTAAGTTGAAACATTTTATGCAATTATATAACGTCATCTAGCTTACTAACTCAATCTTACTTTAGTTGCTGTCTGATTAACTTTGTCTCTATATTACATCATTCTTGTATTACCTGATCAATTATCTAAACTTGACAAACCTCGTGTACACACACACATATTTATATATAAATGCGATTGTACAGCTATGTGAATGAATTCGCCGTCGAAAAGAGTCTCTTCGCTGAACGTCTTCTCTTTTTCATATGACTCAAAAATACTCATGTGCACAAAATTAAGAAATAATGCAGAGCCTAGAAAAAGCATAACGATACAAGCTACCATGTTTCATAACTGGAAGGAGAAGTACTTATTTTGATTTCAGTGGTGTAACCTCTCATTTCCTCGAAACTGTATGAAGGTGGCTGGTACGACTCGGATTCCCGAGGCTAAGTAGGTGTAGAGGGACTCGAACCCAGGACCCAATGACTAGAAATCGAGTGATCAAGCCAATGAGTAACATTCGCGCACTATCGTTATAAGGCGTCACAAACGCATGATGTAACACTGTACACCAGCATAAAATAATGCCATAATCAAAAATATATCTTATCCATCTGTATTGTTAATTAAAGTAACCTTTCTAGTATTTAATTCCACAGAATATACGAAAAAACTCATCGATTCAATTCACCTATGATTCTACAGTCCGAAACAGGTAGGAAAGTCGACAGAACCGGTCCTGAGGTGGTCGCCTCGCAGCCACTGCGGTGATTGTTTGTTGATTCACGGTTTTATTAGTCATCTTTATTGACCTGGAATTTGAACTTTCTTATCATTTGACAATGGTTGTCATAAATAAATTCATGATTATGTTTAACTCTTGGTAACTGAACAGAAAATTTTCAATCTACTTTAACTACTTGAAAGTAGTATGAAATAAAAATTATAAATTATCAAGCTGACTATGTTATATATATATATATATATATTAAAACATGGGCATTAATAGGCGAATATTTATTTTGCTACATGTGTTTAAATCAACGAAAACAGAATTTGTGCCAAAACCTTCAAGTTAATTGACAACAAATACGTGTTTTTGTCGTAAGAAAGAAAAGTTGTACAATGATGAAGGGAGAAAGAAAATTCAGTGAAGCAAACCGAAATGCACAACAATATTTTAATATTTTCCAGAGATAAACAAATCTGTATAATGACAAGAGTTTGACATGTTGACGAAATTATATATGGGAAAATAATTCAAAACAAAAGCCTATTTATGAATTTCAAACTCAGAGTTAAGAATTCCAAACTAAAAAAGCACAATATTTTTCAATGAACTTAATGTGTATCATAATACTTGTTTTTTTCGGTAGCCAGTTAGCTATGGAATCTGGGACGTAAGTTTCGTCCTATCTAGAACTCGTCATGTGGATGTGTCTTCAACAAAATAATGTATACTCGGCTAAACTTATCAGATACAAAAAGTTTTGTTAGTTTGGTGTCTGAAACGCGGATGCTGTTGGGTTCGAGTCTCAGTGGGAACACTATCATTAACTGGAAAGCAGTTACGCTCAGATGAGGAGTCCCGAATGGGACGAAACATGCGTTATGAATTCTACTGTTAGTAACCATCAATCAAATGAAACAACCTATTCTGATTACAAACCCGTACAAGAATATCGAATGGATGCATAATTGAAAGTTTACTGAACACTGTCACATGAATAAATCTAGGACACTTTAAACTAGCTGGCTAAATTTAACTTTCCGACCTTTCAGACAATATAAAACTCAGAATCGGATTCTTTAACACGACGATAATCTTTAGCATCAATACCGTGGTTCAAAAAGCATTCAACACTGAACTAACTATAATTTTCAGCCACCAAAAAGTAAGAAACATAAACATGAGGACTAAATTGCATCGTAATCTCAACTATACTAACACAAGTGGCTATATATATATATATATATATATATATATATTATATCTTTAGACTTGCACACACTTAACAGTAGTCATTGATATAAGAATAAAACTTGTGCACTGTGGTAGAGTGTAATTCCATTATGGGTAAATTTTGTTTACTGATGACGTTTCGAGCAAAATTTATTGCTGCTCATAATCATATCAAGGTAATCACACGACTTCCTAAATTCATTTACACAGTTCCGTTGTTTTTCACTTGATTTGATTGGTAGTAATATTTTCGATATTTCGGGTAAGAGTGATGAATCATTCCTATTGCATGTGTTGGGTGTAGGCTCGATGACCCAGGATTCAGTAATCAACCTCTCTCCCTCTCCACCTACATAGATTACTTTTAGAATCTTAACCCTCTCTCACCCTATTGTGTGTTTGTTTGTTAATGCGTGAAGTGCAACAGCTGAGCTTTTTTCTAAATTACTTATCTTCTCTGGGTCAACCATTCTTACCTTAGCTAAATTCTGACAATATTATGATCAGACTACACCCGACCTACTAGTTTGACCTATGTAGTTGACCTGACTCACAGTCATTGCAGGGTATTTTGTAAATTATATTATTTTGCCTAATTGGGTCAACCGACAGGGTCCTTTAACCTACCTATAGAGCTTGTCCTACCTGAGTGAGTTTGTAGGTTTAAAAGCCACCCTAATTCCTGCTTTATTTAGAATCCTACGTAGGGTCTCAGATGTCCCCTGCTTACACGGTATAACATTAGATGCTTTATATTCTCTCTTATTTATGTTATTATTACTAGTTACACAATTATTTTTATTTTGCTTTTGGCATTTAGAGATCTTCCTAATGAATTTTTTAGGATAGTTATTTAACACCAACGCCTCTTCTATCTGTTTTATTTCATCATTTAGGTCTTTTCTTGTACTACTTAGTGCCATTGCTCGGTTTGTTAAACACTTAACTAAGCCTGCCTTAACAGTTAAAGGATGAGATGAATTAAAGTCTAATTATCTACTAGAATGTTTTGGTTTTCTATGAACACTAGTGTGTAATTTGCCTTCTTCTATTCGTTTTATTTTACAATCTAACATAGCTAACTCTCCTTGTTCATTAGTGGTGAACAGAAAAAACACGTACGTGTGATCTATTATTTTGATTATAAAATGCTCTCTGAAGATAAAGAATACAAAAGGAACTATTCGCATATGCTAGTTAAAGTATACAGCTACTACTGTGGTGAGTGCTACTGATAAGGTTTATCAGTAGTATGTAGAGGGATGTTCATTGGCATAAAAACAGCAAATAGCAGGGAGATAGATTTGATGTCAGAGAAATCAAGTGATTCAGCGTTGCGGAGAAACATGGGAGACGTGAAAGGAACACAAAGAAAAACAATATGAAGGAAGATCAGAAGTAGCACGACACGGAAGACCTGTGCAAATGATGATTTGAAGATAAGGTATACATAATTTGGTTACATAGAGATAGCATTCCTTTGGCAAGAGGATTTCATCATGAGCTGACATCGGTACTGGATAGTTTCGCCCTAGTACGGGACTCTTCAGAGGTACGCACCCACCACAGGGGTTCGAACCCAGGATCTTCTGGTTACAAGGTGGTCTATCTTGTAGACCATTAAGCCACTGGAACTTGATTCAATGGCAAATGAATTCCAAACTAGGACGAAACGGTTATCTAGTATTCCCACGCTTTCCAATGGTTCTCTAACCGATGTCAGCTCATGATGAACTCCTGTAACCAATCAATTAAATCCCTACAAACCAATACTTGTAAGCATTCCTTTACATTTCTACTGTTGTTTCGGACTATAAAAGCTCCCTGTAATTTGTTTTCGTGTGTTTGACTGTTTGACTTCTTATTAGCACGTTCAATTTGTATTGTTCTCAGTCTACCATTTCGCACTTTAAATCACTAAATTAAAACACAAAAAAGTAGGGCGGGAAAATCAATAGGTGACCTTGACAGAGCAACTTTACTATCTTGGCTTTGTCTGACGACTTTAAATAGACTATTATAGCTTATTCGAAAATATACACATACAACAAAATTCAAGTCAATGAAATTTTAAAAAATACATAATTCCAGTAAACAAAAGAAAAATAAAAGATAAAGGAAAATTCCCATTGAAATATTGAATTGTTTTAATAACCTACATCTTTTATGCATGTCATAATACCAGTTTGAACATCTGGATGCAGATTATCCATAATTTGACGAATAAAATAATCACGTCTATCGCATCGTACAGCTGCGCATAACAAGAATAGCAGAATCTTTTCCAATTCTTGATAAGACTGAGCTATAACAAAAAAAAATTTTAAATAAGTGAAACTGATAAAAACACAAATCAATAAAGAAAACAATTTGAATGAATTTAAAATATTTCCAAAAATTATTCTGTTTTTTATTACATTAATTTGCCTGTTTATTTTGTTTTAATATACGGAAGCTTTGTTTCCACTTACTATGAAACACTTCAAGGAAGTAATAAGAGAATAGTTCAACAGGAGTTCACATTACTGCAGGTTGTGCCACATAACATATGTGTCTCAGTAGCTGAATGTTCTACCAGCCTGCCTTGTAACTGGAAGGCTCTACGTTCAAACCGATGAAGAGTCCTAAACTAGGACAAAACAGTTGTCGTCCAGTAATCTGCGTGTCTGGGGTGTCCATGGTTTAGAGGTACAATAATGCACACCAACTACCCATTTGGCCTGGGGTTCGATCCCCAGCCAGCCAAGGCACTCCAAAACACATTGCTTAGCCGGTAGTAAGCCCTTTAGAGACGGAAGGTTAGGCATGAGGCTGAGGGCCCCACTCCGTAAAAACAAAGAATAACACCACTGCTATTAAAAATTCAAAGCTTGGAGTCTTAATATCCCACTCGGAATGCAAAGCAATAAGTTAAATATGATAACAATAACATCATCTACAATACATTATGAGAAAGAAAACAATAAGCGTATATGAAGTTGTCAGAAGCCGTGGAATAATGGTATTTTTTAAAATTGAGGGGGTAACTCAGGCATTTCATTCGAGTGTGACTATCTCCTCCTGAAGATTGGTATTCTTATGAAGAGTTTATGCACATAATATCTGAACACAAATGATTTCTTTTCAAGACTAATTAGATTTATATAAAAGAGAACACTCGATGATTTAAATGGTTGGTGGTGGCTGTCAGCAGTGAAATTAAGAAAGCACATTTCGTCTTGAATATTTATTATTTTATTGTTCCTGGTGGAACATAGGGCTTCAAGTACACGTTTCCACTTGCTTCTGTCTTCTGCTGTACTTTTCACCTCCATCCATGTTAGTCGATATTGTTTCAATTCCTCTTCACACGATCTCCTCCATGTCACCCTTGCACTGATTTCCCACTCGCCGCCGCTTCCCTTTCGGGTTCCACTCGAGCGTTGGCCTGACAAGCGATGTCACCCAGCGAGTGGCCTCCTCAGTGAGCCAGTGGGTGTCCAATCCATCTCCACTTTCTCCTGCATATTTGTTGAGCGATTGCTTCTTGTTTCGTTTGTTTCTTCCCATAGTTTGTTTCTTGTTGGTTCTTGTTCTTTCCGGCGGCCATCTGATCTTGAGTATAGAGCCAGCGAAGACAGTTAGTTAGTTGTTGATAAAGGTGTGCAACAGGCTGTTGGAAATACTCATTCTTTGTGACCCGCCGCTAAGTTTCTGATCCATCCGTATAGAAGAAGTGACTGACTTGACTGATGTTTGTATTGAAAATCCGAATTTTGTTGTTGATGTTGAGGAGTGACAGTGGAAGATTTCCAGATTGGTTTCAGGTTGATGAATGTGTTTCTCGCCTTCCCGATTCTCGATTTGACATCCTCGTCCGTTCCACCTGCCTGTAGTTGAGACAATGCTCCCTGGATAAGTGAATGAAGTAGCCTCTTTCAAATTTCTGCCGTTGATGGTGATTGGCGCTGGATGTTGCTGCTGCTGCTGCTGGTGTTGTTGTTGTTGGTTGGTTATTTTCATAACCTCCGTCTTGTCTAAGTTCACCTGGAGTCCTGTCTTTGCTGCTTCTTCGCCTTTTTTGTCGGTTGTCGCTTGTAAGTCTTCGATTTTGTGTGACATCAAACATAAATCATCCACGCGCGAAATTCAGGTCTTCTAGATTCTTCACGTTGGTCCAGGATATCTCTGTCTTCTCGTTTCGTACTCTCTGACGCATAATCCAGTCCACGACAATTAGGAATATCATTGGTGATAATAAGCACCCTTGTTTGACTCCTGTGTTTCCTCCAAACGCCTCGCTGAGTTTTCCGTTGTGGATCACTTCACATGTGGCATTGTCGTAAAGCTGTTGAATAAGCTTGATGAATATTTGGGGTACGCCGTACTGGAGTACTCAAGTAGTTTCCAAATTACTTGGTGGTCAACGCCGTCTGTCGAAGGCCTTCTCAAAGTCTACAAAAGTTGAGGTAGAGGTAATTGCCATTCCATGCTTTGTTCGATGATGATGTATAAAAATAAATTGGAATCTTTCAATTCCTCTCTACTTAAGTGATTCATCATTCCTTTTTTTTATTGTACACAAAATATAAACTAATTATTCACTAAGAAAATAATCATAACTATTTAAAAAAAAAGAAAGAAATTAAACTAAATGTAGGTAATTAGATAATTTCGAAAATAAATTCAATCGAATTCATCATAAAAAGAGACACTAAAAACCATGTTGACCACCCAGAAGATGGATGGATATCTGGTTAGCTTTTTTAGCTTTGTAATGTCTATGAATTATATAAAAATGTAATATGATAGACTGGAACCTGAATGAGGAGAGAACCGGTGTATCTCGGTGTGTGTTTCTGTCTATCTGTCTGTCTGAGTGTGTGCATATTTGAAAAATGTATATAAATAAAAAACCAGGGTTTTTTTCTTTTTGATCAACCATTTCTCTTTTTCCACTGATTTATTTATTGAATAAATAAGAAAGAAAAAAATAGCGGACATTTCGTTAATAACCAACATTTTTTGCATAAAATTGTGTAACTACTGATTAATTGGAATGAGTAGTAGCATACCAACCATATCGACCAGTAGTGATTGCTCTCTAGATCACCGTGACCTGAACACCAAATGACCGTTTCGCCTGTTTGAGGCAAAGCCCATCAAAGGTGAAGCCTTCCTCAACGGAAAATGTTAGCTGACATAGACAGAGTCAGGCTGGAAAAGAGCTACCTAGTGGCGGTCAAACCAAAACATGGCGGCAACAGTCTATGAAATCCACAACAGTTAGTTTAAGCCAGTCACGTGGGAAGGTGTACACTCCCTGTTTGGGGTCCTTGGGACGGTAAAAACCAATGGCTGGAAACAATCGTTCTCAATGGCGCAGATGCATCCACTCCTTGTGACTTATAATTTCCAATGAAACTATATTGTTCTTCGTTACTACTATTCCTTTTGTCTCATATCTCTGTTTACTGTCTCTATTATGCATTTCTTCTACTTTCTTCTCTTGCTTTGTGTGCTACAAGGAGGGAGTGTGGCGACTTGAACTGGTGCACATCGGTGCAAAGTTCTATGTTGAAAACAGACAAACAAAGGTGAAGCCAGTTTGACTCAGCTCCAATAGCCGAATCCGATTTCTGACTGGTGAGATTTGCAATTTACAAAGTTCATGTGGTGTAATTTCACCGTGTTTTAACTAGGGTAATGTGTGTCTAGTCCTTTTTTTATTTGGTGTAAACTGAATTCTATCTGGTTAGTAAGCACTGGTGGTTGGTATGAGCTGTATGCAACTACTACTCATCCCCATCGATCAGTAGTATATTATAGTTTAACTCAAATTCGCTTGCTTTCTTGATTACCTTTCATAGTGCCAAGTAGATCATATACTGTGATCGGAATAACTTTGTTTTTTCAAAGGAACCTAAGGTGAAAGCTCACCACCACTCGAACTGTATAAATTGCAAATTGTGAATTTGATTTAATAATCAGCACCGTTTAATCTCTTACAATAATATCTCATAAACAGAGATTAATAAAGCAGACATAAAATGATAAACTCCGTGATGGACGTTATCCAGCGGTGGAAAACTAAGGATCCAATTATTTGTGCAGGACAGCGGGATTTATTATTATTATTGTTCCCTTGGGTTCCTAGTCAAACATAGGGCTTCAACTACACGTCTCCACTTGCTTCTGTCTTCTGCTGTACTTTTCATCTGCGTCCATGTTAATCCATACTGTTTTAACTCCTCTTCACACGAACTCCTCCATGTCACCCTTGCACTCACGTCCCACTCGCCACCGCTTCCCTTTCGGGTTCCACTCGAGTATTGGCCTGACAAGCGATGTCACCCAGCGAGTGGCCTCCTCAGCCAGTGAGTGTCCAATCCATCTCCACTTTCTCCTGCATATTTGTTCAGCGATTGCTTCTTGTTTCGTTTGTTTCTTCCCATAGTTTGTTTCTTGTTGGTTCTTGTTCTTTCCGGCGGCCATCTGATCTTCAGTATAGAGCCAGCGAAGACAGTTAGTTGTTGATAAAGGTGTGCAACAGGCTGTTGGAAATACTCATTCTTTGTGACCCGTCGCCAAGTTTCTGATCCATCCGTATAGAAGTGAATTTTGTTGTTGATGCTGGCTGGGTTGAGTGACGAAGATTTCCAGATTGGTTTCAGGTTGATGAATGTGTTTCTCGCCTCCTCGATTTTCGATTTGACATCCTCGTCCGTTCCACCTGCCTGTAGTTGAGACAATGCTCCCTAGATAAGTGAGTGAATGAAGTAACCTCTTTCAAATCCCTCCCGTTGATGGTGATTGGCGCTGGATGTTGCTGCTGCAGGATTTAGTTCAGTCGTTTTACTGTCTTTCCTCCAGGAGACTTTATCCCACTGATTGAAGTTTCTTTTGAAAATTATTTAATAAATGACTATTGAGTTATAACTCTCAAGTTGTTGATTTACAAGGATCTGATTTGTTCCAAGATTGATAACATACTACTAACTTCAGTTAGAAAACTCGTGAAAACTAGGAAGTACTGGAAGTTGTTTCGTTCCAGTCGGGGGCTCTTCATAGACATACACTTATGACGCCACCCCCACAAGAGTCGAAACCAGGACCTTGAGCCTACGAGGTGACCCCCATGGCCATTTAGCCTCTGGGATGGAATCCAATGGCTCATGAACTCTAACTTTTGTCATACTGCGGTTTATAGTGCCACCGCCATAAGTTATCAGCGGACCTAGTGTAGCCTACTGGTCACGACTTCTCACTGGAAATTCAGGATTCCCGATACTAAGAGGGATTAGCGAATAACAGACACATTATTAT